CTAATGATGGGCTAATTTACGTCACGTCGTTTCCTACTGCATCATGCGTTTTATTTGCGTTCCATTGTCAAATTCAATTGCCTGAGGAAAAATGAGCAGAGGGAATGTGATTCACCGCCTGCTGCATCTACATGCTCCTGGCCGGTGGCTTTACTCTTCTACTTCTTGCCCTAACAAAAGACTTTGCTCTTTCTTGACACACTCACCAACAGAAAGCAAAATCGCCATCGAAACCCTTCAGTTGCAGCATCCATTTCACCATTTGCTTGGTTTCTCTCTTGAACCACTCATCTCTGCTGCATATCATTATTCGTCTTTAACTCCTCGGTTCTTGAACACCAGCTCTACCCAGAGCAATGATCAAGAGAATGCCAACAGCAAAGAAAACCCACTTCTATGTAATTCCTTATTGGTTTCTTTATTGTATACTGTTGCTTGTTTCGCAGTGCAAGTGTTTGATAAAAGTTCTTCAGTCTTTTCTTTTTTCTTGTGTTTGAAGTGATTTTTATTTTTCACTGTTGTTTGGGTTGTATCTTGTTTTTGGGGGAGATAACAGGTCATCTGTTGGTCCTATGGTGCCTGGCCCTTGCATAAAGTGAGAGGGGAACAAAAAAAAAAAAAAAAAAAAAAAAAAAAAAAAAAAAAAAAGGAGTACGTTCGCAAGAATGAAACTCAAAGGAATTGATGGGGGCTCGCATAAGCGGTAGAGCATGTGGTTTAATTCGATGCAAAGCGAAGAACCTTACCAGGGCTTGACATGCCGCGAATCCTCTTGAAAGAGGAAGGATGCCTTCGGGAACGCGGACACAGGTGGTGCATGGATGTCGTCAGCTCGTGCCGTAAGGTGTTGGGTTAAGTACTGCAATGAGCGCAGCCCTTGTGCTTAGTTGCCACTGTTGAGTTTGAAAGACTGAGCAAACTGCCGGTGATAAGCCGGAGGAAGGTGAGGATGATGTCAAGTCATCATGCCCCTTATGCTCTGGGCGACACACATGCTACAATGGCCGGGACAAAGGGTCAATCCCGCGAGGGTGAGCTAACTCCAAAAACCCATCCTCAGTTCGGATTGCAAGCTGCAACTCGCCTGCATGAAGCTGGAATCGCTAGTAATCACCAGTCAGTCATACGGCTGTGAATTCGTTCCCAGGCCTTGTACACACCGCCCGTCACACTATGGGAGCTGGCCATGCCCGAAGTCATTACTTTAACCGCAAGGAGGGGGATGCCGAAGGTGGTTAAGATCCTTTATCTAAGGACGGCGAAGGTGGTCAATTACGACACCCTCAACATAAGGACATGTATTTAAAACATAACTTGAACATACGAAGGGAAAATTTCAAAATAAAAATGAAAATAAAGAACAAGACACCTTTTTTAAATTAAAATTCTTGGGATTCCATTTATTGTAAATTTCATACTCATCGTGAGAAGTTATACAACCTTAACTATCTCATTTCTATTGAGTTCCACCTCTCTCCCCCCATTTTTATCATTCGACTTTTTATATCCGATCCTTATCTCTTCATTATCTTCTTCCTTGGCCTCTTCTAAGGGTTTATAAGTATACAACCAAGCACAAATTACATAATAAACAAGATTTATGACTTGGACACCTGTTACAAGCCAATAATAATAATCTAATCTTCCCCTGTTAAGATTGGTATCAGGCAACCAATTATTTTCTTGGCCAGTATATTTGTGAACTAGAGAGACAATAAGTGTACCGATATAATTTCCCATTGCTATAGTTATCCAATACAGAGCTGCAGCTGTGCTTCTCATGCTTTCTGGCGATTGATGATAAAGAAACTCCAAGTGCCCAACAGACATGAAAACTTCTGCTACTCCATGAAGGCAAAATTGAGGAACTAACCAAAACACGCTTATTGGAATAATGGCTTTAGGATTATCCAGTAAGTTGTGATGGGCAGCCACTGCTTTTCTTTTGCTCTCAATTAATGCTGAAATAATAGTTGCAATTATGTTAACAATAAAGCCTATTCCCATTCTCTGCAGGCAACTGATGCCTGCGGGATTTCCAGTGAAACGACGAGCAAAAGGGACGAAAAGGCGCTCGTATAAGACGAGCCCTATCATCATCGTTAAAATACTAAAAATGGATAAGCTCGCTGGTGGGATTTCGAAAGAATGCGACAAATGACGATCCATAGTGCGAGCTTGTTGGATGACAAAGCTATGCAGATGTGAAGAAGCGGTTATAAGTAAGATCCCAGATGCCCAAACGGGTAACATTCTAATGATGGATTTTAGTTCCTCAACTCTGTGGACCGTAGCCAGCCTCCAAAGATTTAGCGTCTTCGAATCTGTTTGCTCATCATCTTTTGTTACAATTGCAGCTTTATCAAGCCACCTGCAGGTATAAATGGTATTGAGATTAAATTAAAGCATTGATTCTAATTCTGCTTTGGACAAATTTATGCAGTCTACTGCTAACTAGGCAGAATATGAATTAAAGTTGCTTTTGTTTTTCTTTTTTCACTTGAAATTTTTAAGGATGAGATACATGATAAGTACTCCACTATTGTTAGATAGACCATGGTTCATTTTATACCACCTCTTTTGAAATGATTTTCGAGGATGGATCCATATGCATGGAATGCATCCATGTGAGATGGTCTATGAATGAATCATGATCTATAAAGTATTTCCCATTAACCAACATATTTAATCAAACTGGCTCCAAATAACTAAGTAAAGATTGGTGTTTTTTGAACTTTGTGCATAAACTTATAACTGCTCCATTGGTTTTAAATTAGATTAAGACTTAATAAAACGTACTTGAATTGATTGGTGTGTAAAAGCCTTCCATTGACAGAAATAGAAGCATCAAGCTCTCTATTCTGGTACAAAAGCGTAGGGTCATCTGGCAATGCTATTTTCCTCTTCTTCACAGCAGCAACAATCACTTGAGCCAATCTGATCAAAGGGCTACCACCGGGCAGTTGGTCAGATCTAGTATGGATCGTACATGGACGATAGTTGGAGTCGGCGGCTCTCCTAGGCTTCCCTCATCTGGGATCCCTGGGGAAGAGGATCAAGTTGGCCCTTGCGAATAGCTTGATGCACTATCTCCCTTCAACCCTTTGAGCGAAATGTGGCAAAAGGAAGGAAAATCCATGGACCGACCCCATTATCTCCACCCCGTAGGAACTACGAGATCACCCCAAGGACGCCTTCGGCGTCCAGGGGTCACGGACCGACCATAGACCCTGTTCAATAAGTGGAACACATTAGCCGTCCGCTCTCCGGTTGGGCAGTAAGGGTCGATTCCCTGTGACAGAAGGCATATATGTTTCTTTTAAGTAAAAGATAACTACAATTATTAAGGATTAAAGCTTTTGTTTGGATGAAAAAAAGAAAATAATCACGAAAATAGTTAGAAAAAAATCTTTTCCTTGTTTGGATAATGCAACAAATATTGAAGAAAATAATATTTCACTTATTTTTATAAATTATCTAAATATTTTAAAATAATATTTCACTTACTTTATATCCCGCGTAATAATATATTTGGAATCCCCTTAATTTAGAAAAAGAATAATGAAAGAAATTTGAAATTTCACCTATTTTTATAAATTATCTAAATATTTTAAAGAATATATAGTGTGTTGGACTTCCTCTCGTTTTCTTAGTTTTCTTTGTATAGTCTGTGTATTCCTTTTTCTCTTTTACTCATCTAAGAAGTCTCCCTTATTTTATGTATATGTAAATTTCCTATAACTTTTATATATATATTTTTGAGTATTTTTGTATAGTAAGTATGTTGCTTCTTTGTGTGAATGTTATGTCTACTATGTTATTCGGTTATGTATTATATGTTTGTAATTTATGTCTTTGTTTGTTCTTGGTTTGTGGTGTTATTTTATGTTTCTTAATCTGTTTTTGTCTCTTCTCTTTAATTGTTATGATTATCTATGTTTGTGGGTGTGTTTTCTCGTATGTATTGGTCTGGTTGTTTTATCTCTTTTGTTGGTGATGTTTAGTTTTGTGGTTTTCCTGTAGTCTCTCTCTGTGTTAATTCTCTCATATCTCTGTTGAACTTTTAGTCCTCTCGGTTTATCATTATTTTTATAGCTATTATTTCGTATTATGTCATCTCCTCTCTATTTTTTTTTATTTTATACCTCTTTTTTGTAAGTCTCTATATAATTTATTATCATATTTCTTTTTGTTAATTCTCAATCTCGTATAGTTGTCTTATATTATATTGTTTACTTCATTTTTTTCTCTGTGTGTTTTCCTATTTTTTTCCTTTTTTTCTTATTAAAATATATCCGAGAGGCGGTGGTTTACCCTGTGGCGGATGTCAGTGGTTCGAGTCCGCTTATCTCCAACTCGTGAACTTAGCCGGTACAAAGCTATACGATAGCACCCATTCACTTGTAAGCCTATAAATATACATATTCTTTTGTTAATTCAACGAAGTGCTAAATATTGTTACTCATCTCGTGCGTTTCCATTTTTCCTTTCCCAAAAAAAATTTCATCAGTAATCTCTCACCGGTTGCCAAATTAGCCTGCAGTATGTGCTCTCACCAACCAGATTGGGGCTAAGACAACTAAATGCACCTCGAGGTGCTGCCGAGGAAACGAGAAGGGAAATGAGGAACTGAGGGTCGATTCTTTATTTCGGTTAATACCAATTACTTGTCTATCTAATTAGATGGTGTTTCAGGTTAATTCACAGGTGCTTGCTCGTCTATTTCAGAGGACTGGATCGTATAATGGGAGGCATAAGAATTTGGTCTTGGCTTGCGTTGATTATCTACGACGGCCTTGGTCTGTAACAGTTCAACATGTGTATATGAAAGCAAAATTGGTTGATTATCTTTCTGAAGTGGCATTGCAGTACTACCATTCTTCAAGTGAGGTTCAAAGGATTCTTGTTGATGCTCATTGCTGCTGATGCAATTTCACAGGCAGGAATGAGGATGCAACTTGGGATTAAAGCCCTACTTCTCTGATTTTTTTAAAAATATATTCAACTAAGAAAAAATAATTTAATTTAAAGAAGTTTAAAGTAATAAATCAAGTGATGCTATTTAGTTATAATTATAGACTTTAATATGAAACAACTAATGAAATATTATTATGAAAAGCTAAAAGCTATGTATATTATTATGTATATTTTAGAACTTAATATACATATATCTATCTTCTCACCAAGAACATTAATTTTTTGTATTCAATTTAATTAAAATATTCATATATAGTTTGCAATATAATGAAAATGTAATCGATTGATAATAATATCAAGAATTACAAATAAGCATATACGCAAAATTCATATTATTTGAATTAGATCTTTCCACTTGAAGTTAATCTTGACAAAAAATATAAATCTTCATAACAACTATTTTGTTAATTGATTTGGACGTCAAAATAATAACTCCTTTGAATTTTCTATAACTGGATTGCTTTTTCAATAATTTGCAACATACGGCGAATACAGATAATTCTAATTATATGATACCTTGAAATATAATTTCTTACATTGACCATATATATTAAAACTTCACAAATACAATATCATCATATTTTCCAGACATCATCGCTGACTCAGACATATTTTACCATTCCAGTCGATCTTCATGGGTAAAGCTCTAATGCTTGATCAAAGTTATCTAATTGTGCTGACTTCATTAATGCACTTGCCAAATTTGCTGTCAGGTAATTTACTCTCCAGGGCCAGCAGAGGCAATTACATTAAAGGAGGCAATAACGATAATTGATAAAGAGAATTTTGAAATCCATTTATTTATATTAACGAATGCAGTATTCTACAAGTGGAGAGGACAAAATTTTATAAACTGTAACTAGTATACATTCATAAAATGATATCAGAAAATCATAATGCCTGGAAATTACATAAGATCTAAGCAGGCTGCCTTTACAAGTCCTTAAATAACAATTGATATTTTGGTATCCGCTCAGGGGGCAGAGGGCAATTCACAATCAATTTGCCTTTCATGGCCCCTCTAAATATGGCCTGCAAAAATGTAAAGCAATTTTTCGGTTTAGCTTCTGTTCTGTATGCCTGAATTGAATAAACTAGAGGCAAGAATGAAACAATCAACTTGTGATCCATTATAAAAGTATTAAATTTGCAGTAAAATAAGAGCAGCATTTAGATAGGACAAAAGAAAATCTTAACCAAACTTTAGACATGCATGTGAAATAGAATTTTGCATTCAGGTATTTCAAATTCCTCCACACAGAAGTTTTTCATCCCATTCAGGAATCAAATCAATAGGTGAAGAAAAGGGCATATCCCTTTCTATTTATCACATCAGCCCCCCTCACTCTCTACCCACTTCATGGCTGTTACCATGATCATTTTGAACTTAATGGTTTTCTTAAGTTCACACCAAGCAAATTGAACTTAGAGAAATACAGAGTCTATACAACCTCCATTTACTAGATTTGTTATAGACAAACCATATGAACCTAAATAGTTCAAAGCCTCCTCGCTTCATGAACTCTTTTTCAATTTCCTAGCTGTCTCATATAGTCATATTTATTTTCTTGATGATTCAAATGGGCGAGTAATTAACTACTCATTTGAATAGCTTGATGGGAGAAAAAAATAAAAAACCCAGCCGTTTTTTGAAAAGCATAGATTGTGGATTTTTCCAAGTGCCAAAAGATCATAAACTATATCCTCAATGAAAATCAAGAATGGATATTTTTTACGCATGGCCAGGAATTTCCAGCTTTTGCCAACATATAATACTGTAACTCCAACGGAAATTGCAGCCAGGAGGTAAACAATTAATCCATATGACAAGACAAAGATTGAAGGCTAGTTTAACACACTTAGTACTTTTCCCCTAATAAGTTCATTCAGCAATAGGACTATAAAAGCATCAATCATAATTTAACAATTTGTGGTTGAAATTTTCAGTGTGTTCAAATCAAATATATTGCTTAGATTGTTTAAAGATAAAATATGAGATAGAAATTCTTGCAAGTTGCCATGCGACGCCATATTACTCTTCTAGGCTTTCTCTGATCCAATAACAGATAAAAAGAAATTTCATCAATCCACAGATGGGAATGAAAATAATGGAGCATGGAACTCTTATTCTAAAAATTGCCTGCATTATAAACACAAATTGAAGTTAAAAAAAAAAAAAGCTAAATTGACAAGACAAACCTCCACTACATCAATGAAGTCCTGTTTGGTGTGGAAGGCCCCAATCCATTTAGTGTGATCAGCAGTCCTGAATCAACAATTAGAAAATCCCTCAATAAGAAAAATATGTTCTTCGTTTGCTTATTTTATATTTTTTAAAGAAAAAAGAATTAACAATTAATAAAAAATTACCCAGAATCCATTTTCATATGATGGGCATTGAAGAAAAACACAGTAGAAGGTATCAAAACAATGTCGAAATACTTGACATAAACTTGAACATCCTCTGAATCTATGTCTACTAATGCCACAGTTGCGAATTTCGAAACCTCGCGTGAAGATTTAGACAGCTGCAATTTGAGAACAATTTCAATAAACTAAGAGAAACAAAAATCATAACCCTAAACAAAGAAAGGGCGAAGGTAAGAATCAATCATACCAAGTCATCGAGGTGAAGGCAGACGGCGTCAGAGGCTCGGCCAAAGCGGAGGACAAGGACCTTGTCGATGGTGTCTCTGATAATGGAGTCTACTTCCTTCTTCTTCGTCAGCGTCGTTAATAAGTAGCTCATCCTCTCTCCGTGGATCGCAATTGAATTCCCTCACAGGATCTCGCCTTCTATGAGAGATTAAATAATATTTCTTGAATCAAATTTGAAATATATCAGAATCAAGAAAAAATAGTCTAGCAGTTTCTTTTTTCTTTTTTTTTTTTTTTTTAAATTCCAGTCTGACCATATTCGATTAAGGACTGAAGGCGCGTTTGATTATGATGGTCGATGGATGTCCGTATTTAGTAAAATGATTATATTTTTCTAATATATTGTGTATTTATATTTTAATTCTTATACTCTGCTATCCCATCTATCACTTGGGAGTAACACATACACAAGCTTAAGATGAAGATATTATTTTTTATTTTATATAAACAAAAACACTAATTAAATTTTTTTAAAAAATAATATAATAGAAATATCATTATTAATTATTTTTATAAAATTAAAAAGCTTCAATATAATATAAATATTATAAATATAAATCAACCAGTGGTAATAAAAAAAATTCAAAACATGAATAATAGAATCATCAACAAAAAGCTAATCCCGACAAGCTATACTAATTTTTAAAAATTTGAATAAAATAATTTATTTCAAAGATTTATTTTTAAAAAATTAATTTTTTAATTATTTTACCATAATTATAACTTTGTAAATGAATTCATATATTCATTTATCAAAATGTACAAGAATCATTTGAACAATCTATTATTTGAATATGAGGAGAGCATTCTTCATTCGCTCCAAAGGATGCAGAATTTCATCTTTTAGGTAGATATGAATCTTCAATTTTCTCCAGTATATCAGTATAATACAATATCAAATATAGCATAATTTCAACTACTGCCTCCAAGGATCTCAAATCCACTTCACATTTCTCCAACCATTGCACAGAGAATCTATAACATCCTGGCTTGCAATAATAATAGGAAAGAAAAAGGCAATACACTTTAAATTGCACAAGTAACACTATCATCATAACGAACATGATCATCTCTTTCGCTGAAATAGTAAAAAACTGCCATCAATGGGAAAGGTACAATGACAGAAGGCATTTTTAACTGCTAAACTTTTCAATAAGACTGAGAATATAAATCTGTCACCAGCCATGTGAAAAGGAAAACTAAAATCAGCAGTTATCCGTTGCGACTTCATTCTGGATCAGGGGAACCGCCAGGATGGTAACACAATGCAGAAGGCATGTTTTACTGCTAAATCTTTTCAAATAAGACTGAGAATATAAATTCTGTCACCAAGCCATGTGAAAAGGAAAACTAAAATCAGCAGTTAGTCCGTTGCGACTTCATTCTGGATCAGGGGAACCGCCAGGAACCAGCTTGCAGCAAAAAAGAAAAATCAGTTTCAACTCACCATATTTCTGCATTGTTACTTAGATAATTGAGTTTCATCAGTTATGTACGAAATGTACAGAAATATTTAAAAAATAAAAAAGAAACCTTGAATTGCTTGTTATGAAATCATTTGTTCGGGAATAACTAAGAAGTGAAGTGGATATGTTTGGACTTCCAACTGTTGACCAATATGATAATGAACGAGCGAAGCCCAAACCAAGACTTGCTAGTAAATTTTTTGATAAGTTTATTGTATTAGCTTTTCCAGTGGCTCCAAAAGTGTAGGGCCAACACTTTCATTACGTTGCTCTTCAATAGGAGATATTACATATCTGTTCCAATAGTACAGGTCTTAATTCATCAGATGCTTTAACTTATCACTGTGCAAGTTTATTTCCATTTTACAGTATCTGATCAAGCTTGGTAATCCGCCGCCCTGATCAAGCTTGGTAATCCGCCGCCCTTCGCTTGTGATTTCACTGTAATACCAATAAAGAAGCAGATTCCAATGAAATTCAGAAACAAAAACATAAAGCCTTGATGAGAAAAAGAAAAAGTCATTGTGTGAAGAGAAGGAGTTCGGAAGCAAGATACAAGAAAAAAGAGAACAAGAAAAAGTGTTGAAAGGTGCAAACAAATTAAATATTAGCTCTTTTTATCAAATGAAGCTTCATCATCAAATGACATCAGAAACATCTTATGCTACCATACATGTGATACATGCAATGGTCGAGATAGCTCAGCAGGTAGAGCAGAGGACTGAAAATCCTCGTGTCACCAGTTCAAGTCTGGTTCCTGACACATGATAAATTTGTGTATGAGTATCTCTGTCATTAAGGTGGAGAACTGAACCAAGAATTCTCTAGTCACTTCTCTTGTCCATGAATTGCAAAAATTAGCAAACACATTTTTTTCTCATAGTTCTATGATGTCTTGGCATTTGATTCCATACATATTATGTTTCTGTTAATTCCATCACAACAAGTTTAATATAACGAGGTAAAAACCTTAAACCATCACCAGTTCAACTCCTGCAAACCTTTGCCTCCACCAAAGCTTTACTGCAATCAACTCTTGCTCAAGATTCTCAGCCATCAAAACTTCAAATCAAGGGTTCATTTTATTACCATAACAAATTTGCTAACTTTGGCTGTCACAATGTCTATGTACAAGACCAAAATCAATTAATGTCAATTGTGTGTAAACATTTGAATTTCAGCAAAGCATTTTCCTGGACTGTACAATTGCACAAAATAGTAAAACTTCACATTCTTAGAGATGTAAGTCTCTAGCTCCATATGGCCATATCCCCACGTATTCCTAACCACATACAAGGACGAAGTCAAGACATGTTAAACGACATAAATTTGAACAGTCAATCTTTTGATATGAGTTCCTTAACCGAACTTCTTAAAGCCCTAGTTGACAAATATGTCTAAAATGCTTCATTTTTTTATATATGGAAATATTTAGCAAGACATCGATCATAAACCCCTTCCATTCCATAATCTCCAATCTTTTAGGTTGAACTTGAATCTTTTTTTCACTAATACAGACTTTAATCATAAAACTAATTGTAATTAAAACCCTGTAACTATCATAGTTAAAGCAACTGATAAGGCATTTTGGATAGATGTTCTGGTTTACGTTTATGAAAAAGCATAACAACAGAAGTAAACATACATTTTCCTGTACCATCCATTTGAACCCCATAACTAGTTCAATCACAAATGTGTTTTGAAACAAGTTGCACATCTAAGAAAAACACAAACATGAAGTTCTTGCTAGCTAGTGTATTTCCTTAAACCCGATTTCAAAGACAAAAACCCTAGAGGTAGAGTTGCATACTATTCAGTAACGTCTTCAAGGACCATGTTGACATAGACGTCGAAGCCTCTAAGAGTTCCAACGAGCTCCTTGTCTCCTTTCATTATTACCCATATTTTCGAGCCTATGCACCTGTCTATTAACTCTGCAGCATACAAATTCAGAGAAAAGGGGAAAAAAAAAAAAAGCTAGTTAGCATTTTCCTGGTTAATTTTCTCGAGTAAAATGAGAATAGGAAAATAATACGAGAGTATGTGTATGTACATACCAGACGGGAGGAGCTGAGAAGGATTGTTGGCCATGGATTTCGAAAACCGAACTTAGGCACTGGCACAGTGATTAAAAATGGCCGCTATATTCATTCCACTGCGGTTTGGGCCTTTAATTCCGATATGACCGAACTAGCCCCAGCGCTACTTTCCCAAATTGGCTGTAATAATTGTTGTCGACTTAGACCTGAAAATTCCTTTTAAATAAATTTTTGGAATGAATGTGAATTTATCTCCTACACTTGTTTAATACTCGTTATCTCACAATATAAATCATTTAAAATTTTTATATAATAATTAAAAAAATAATTGATTCTTCTGGATTATAATAAAATTAATATTAAATTATTTAAATTATCTTTTATCTCAAAATAATATTTATTTATAAAAATATTTATTGTATCTAATGTATAAATAAGGGTGATGTTGAAAAATCATCATTTATTATTCTTTAAAATATTTAAAAATAATTTATATTTTAAGAGAAAATAATCACTCAAAGATAAATTATATTTGGAATAAAAATAATATCAAAAATCATATTTTTATCTTTTCCGTAAATCTAACCTATAAATTTATTTAAAACAATTAAAAATATCAAATTTAACATTTTTTATATTAATTTAGCCCTGGGTTCTTTAATGTCCTTACAATAGAATGCTTATCTATTAAAATCATAGTTGGGAGCAAGCTGTATGAAATATATATAAAAAATTAAGTAAATATGAAATAGAAAAAAAAAATGATACAGAAAATATTTTATATTCCTCTTTAACATAAGGGTAGCGTTATTTCTATAGCACATTGTGTTAATGCCAGAGCAAGCAATTTTTTATAACATCAATTTGTTAATGCCATAGCACATTGGTGATATAGAGAGGCATATAATGTTATCAAAATCACAACTTCAAGATATAATATGTCACGATAAAAATTAATCCTGATAAATTGAATTAATTCATTAATTTGTAAAATCAAAATAAGTTCATAAATTAAATTAGTCTAAAAAGGTTAAATTTAACATTTTTAATCTTTTAAATAAGTTTGGAGTTAAATTAGTTGAAAAGATCAATTATGATCATTTTAATTCTAATAAACAAGTTCAAGGTCAATTCATCTTTATCCCTAATTTTTTTAACCCTCAATTGTTTATAAGACTCTAATATTCAATATTATTTATTGAAAAAAAAAACGCTAAATCAATAAAATTAATATATAATAATTTTTATTTTTAAAAAGTAATTATAAAGTTTTTAAATTATAATTTTGTTATTGTTTTGGTCCTTCTATCTAAAATTGAAGGATCAAAGTGTTAATGAAAATATTAATTTGGCGACCTCGTAGATAATTTAATTATAATTTAGAGACTAATTTCTCATTCAATCAAAATATACAATTTCAACATAAGAACTAAAATTTTAACGTAATCATAAGTTAAAACTCTCATAGCTAATTTTTGATTAAAATTTCGAACTTAATTTTAATTTTTTTTTCCATTATTTATTGATGAACAATACATTATGTAATGTAAATAAAATAATTTTACCAAAAAATGTAAATAATCAGGAAGCATATCTTAATTTTCAGCCTAGATGTTGTGCGCGACAGCCACGTGTAAGACATCAGGAGGGATGCCCCCTACAAGAAGGCGGTCGTATATTGTAAGCTTGTTGCCACCGGCTGCGACCCCACTTACCTTTCCTTTTTGCAATTTCCATTTCCACCTGCTATAAATTAGAAAAAAATTGCCCCAATTTCAATATGCATAAACTCTCTATTTAGATTTCACGCCTTACCTTTCTTTCTTTTTCTATATATCAGCGAGTCTTTTACGATCGATCACTTCTCCAGGAATTCAAACTTTTCTTTTGTAATTCCTCACCTCTGTTTCTTAATCATTTGAACAATCTCATTTTGTTATATGAAAATTGTGTTGATTATTTCTATTTCTGGTTGATCTGTGTTGAATTTGGTACAGGCTTTATTTTTTATTTTGATTTATCATCAAGCGAAGCGTTTAGAGCTTGGTTGGATAGGGTTAGATTGAATTGTAAGGGTTAAAGGAATTATTGGATTTGGATTCTGTTTTGGGGTTTATGTCTATGGCTCTGTGAAAAATTAACAATTTTGAACATCCACTGTTGGAGAGGCTGCTATGAAATTCCATTTATATGTCTTCCTCATTTTGCCTGTTGATTTGGTAAAGTCAGTGGATTGTTTTGGGAGTTGCTAAAGCTTGTTGTCTGTTCAATTCTAATTTCGGTGTCTGGTTTAATTGGGTAGTTAATTTCTGCAGTTATCTATATATGTTTAATTTCTTGTATGTGATAATGAATAATGATGGCTGCTTGGGGTCCTTGTAAACTACAATATCAATAATAAGTGTGATGCTAGATGCTGGTGTGAGCTGCCATTCCATACTTGCTGATTATGTATGTTAGGTAAGAGTGAATTTTTTTTGTGTGTTTCAGTAATGGCCATCGATCACTTTTCTTGACACATTTAATATTTAGTTCAAGACCGTTGTTGTGCAAACTTGCTAAGATTTGATTTTTTTGGGGGTGATTTTATGTGATTTCAATTATTTTCATAATACACACACACACACATATATATATATTGATCATCTCTACCAGTGCAATATCCAGACATGTATTTTATTCCTGTGCTGCGCTTAGGGGTTTGTTGATTGGATAACATATATCAAAATGTGATTCTGAATTGGTAGTATACCTTTTGTTTGTTGCTTATGTAAATTTTGGTTTCCGCAACATTTGCTTATGCACTTATAACTGTTTGCGTTTATTTTTGTGATAATTGATGAAATTGTCTTTATTAAGGTCCTGCACAGCCACCATGATTTATGCTATATCTATAATTGCAGGTTTTATGTCTCATTGGTAACTTAGGCTCAAGAAGAAATTATTATTTTTTATTGAAGATGTCCCAGGAAGTTTGTTGAATAGGAATCTGCGTTATTTACCACTTATCTGGAGCATTGTAAGAGTGCTTACCTTGTGATTTTCTTTATAAAGTCAATTAAAAGATTCTGTAGTTCTCAATTGCTTATACAAGTAGAGCTTCAGAAGCTTCCAGTGGGGTGTTTCTGTAGTATTGCTTTCCGTGGTAAGTATATATGCAGTTGAAAGATAATTATTTGTAAGTTTAAGCCTTGCCCTTGCTTTGTTTTTTTATATGTTTATTACATTTTCAATGATGTTTGATGTACCATGGTTATCTTTTTCCTTAGTTATATCTCTGTTCAAATAGCTTTTAAAATGTTACTGATTTTCAACATTGTGATAAACCACTGATATTTGCAGCATGAAGAATGAGTTGAGAATATGAAAAAGATATAGAGAAATGAATATCACATTGTTCAGTTGCAGAACAGTGTTCTTTACATCATAGCTTTGTTTTAGTTTTCTTAACAGAATGAACTACTGCCTTGAGTAATATTGGAGCAGTCTCTCATTTTTTCCACCCACTTAAAGAGGGTACGAGGTGAACAGGAAGGGTATTTGGGAACAATGGAGCAGAATGCTGTTATCTAATATTGCCATTTAGTTTTTATTCCACAAATAGATGTTGATCTTGAAAGATAAAGACTCTTGTTGTTATATACAATATGTAGCACATAGCTATTATAATGAACAACAAATTAGGGACTACATTTATGGACAATCTAGTTCTCTTGAGCTGCAAGTTTGATTATGAAACTTGGTTGGGTAACTTGAAGCTATCCTGGGTAAGTGTAGAGGTTGCTTTCGTTGGTTTGACCAAAATTATACGTGTCCTTGGTGGATTGCTATAGGGTACTTAAAATGAGGTGGGAAGGCTCATCCATAAGTTAAAAAGATATTCATGTTATTATAATGCTGCTTTAGTGTTTGAACCATCAAATTAAAGATGTCATAGTTACAATACTTTTTGATGTTTCTCTCACGTTGAATGCTTTTGATCTAGCAACACCGTGTTATTGGTTTTCCTCTTTAATGTTATGAGATATATTGTTTCCATGAATATTTTTGAGCTTGTTAAAACTTGTGGTGCGCCCCATAACTATTGTATCGAATTGCTGATTTTTACTGTCAATAATGTTCATTATTGGTGTTTTAATTTACACGGAACATAATTGACAAAAGTACTGCTGTTAACAGCAAACCATTTTCAGTGGTGCCTGTATCCTAATAGGTTCCTATGTTGAGTAACTTATTACAGTGCACTCAAGATGGCTGGTGCGAAACGAAGACTTTATACTGATTCAGATACCCATGCCCTTCACAAAGAGTTAGATGAGGTCTCATGTCCTATCTGCATGGACCATCCACATAATGCTGTTCTCCTCTTGTGCAGCTCGCATGACAAGGGCTGCAGATCTTACATTTGTGATACGAGTTACAGGCATTCAAATTGCCTAGATCGCTTTAAAAAATTAAGGGACAATTCTAGTAGCAATACAACCTTACCTAGCTCTTTACCTATCAACTCACTCAGTTCCAGTGATACTCCTGAAACAAGCTTGATCGCTAGAAATCATATGCTTGGTGGAAATGAATATCAAAATGTAAATGAAAGCAACAATTCAACCTCTGTTGGAATGCCTGAGAGACTAGAAAATAGTGTGCGAGGTCCTAATGGGCAGTTAGAAACACAAGGTGGCAGCATTCTGGAAGGTGGTGATTCTGTGTCATTTCGTGATAGGATTGAACTTGAGGGGCCTGGTGTGGGGAACTCATCAGAGTCAGAGTTGAGTTTAAAATGCCCTTTATGCCGGGGAACTGTACTAGGGTTGGAGGTTATAGAAGATGCCAGAAAATATCTTAACTTGAAGAAGCGAAGTTGCTCCCGAGAATCTTGCTCGTTTGTTGGAAACTACCAAGAATTGCGAAGACATGCTAGGAGAGTTCATCCTACAACACGACCCTCTGATGTTGATCCATCTAGAGAACGAGCTTGGAGATGCATTGAGCGCCAGAGAGAATATGGTGACATTGTCAGTGCCATTCGTTCAGCTATACCGGGTGCTGTCGTTGTTGGGGATTATGTGATTGAGAATGGTGATAGATTTCCTGTTGAAAGGGAAGGTGGGACAGGTGAAGTTAATGCACCATGGTGGACTACTTTCTTTTTGTTTCAGATGATTGGCTCAATTGATGGGGCAGCTGAACCAAGGGCTCGGTCAAGACCTTGGACAAGGCATCGCAGATCCGCTGGAGCATTACCTGAGCGTCGGTTTCTCTGGGGTGAGAATCTGTTGGGTCTACAGGATGATGATGACATCAATGATGATGATGATGATTTGCATGTATTAAGTGATGCAGGTGAAGATGCTTCTCCAGTCCCAAGAAGACGCCGGCGTTTGACTCGATCAAGGTCTGATGATCAGTCATGAGAGGTGATTGCAATTCTCTGGTAAATCTCAGGTTTGTTGACACAAGTTAAATATCTCTACTGGAATTGTATTACAGATTGCAATATCCTGACCCAATGAGTATCTTTACCATTAATGTCCCAGTAATGTGCAGAAACTGCTAGCAGGATCATTATGGTGATTAAGAATCAGATGTCAGGAACCCAGGAAGACTGGGCTGATGGCTGAGCAAGAAAATTTGTTCAATGAATATAAATTCTGGGTATATTCTGTTTGAACTTTTCAGTTCCTTACAGGGGAGGATGTGACTACAAGAACCATCAAAGATCAATCTGTCAATTGTTTTCATGGCTTTCGGACTATATCTATTCAGTTGGAACTGGATTTTATTGCTTAATTTCTTTGGTAGACCTTGGATTGTACATATGTCAAGTTGATGGTTCCTTGTGGTCGACATCTTTGTTTCATTGCTGGCAGATATTTTTCCCTGATTTTAGATCTAAATTGATTGGGAAGTTGGATTGTTGCGTGTATTCTTCTCACTTTGAAATGGGATATTATTCCCGATTGTTATAGCTTAGTTCTCATTTGATCTGAAGCTCGCAGAAAGCATGGAATTTTTGAGATCTTTTAATTGTAATTATGAAAATCCTATGGTGGATTTAGTGCATTATCTTCTGATGATTATGGTGGTTGCACTTGTTATTTGTAATATCTGCTGAGCCGCTTATCATATTTCAATGTCATTTTGATGATGTATTGGCGCATATACTCACAACTACAGTTCCTTTTCCCTATTGCTTATGTCAATGAAGATGGATAATTCTCTTTGCTTTGGCTTGGCTGATCATCCGTCATAGTTTCAGATTCAATTTATTACACCTTTTTCTCTCTAAAAATTCTGATATAAAGGAGAAAGGATTCCGTCTCTTGACCTGATGATACATAATGTTGTTTAGACTTCGTTTAACGACGGACAAGCAAGTGACCAATTCCGTGTTCCAGAAATATTCCCTAGCTCTATTTTCGTGTTGGTTGGTTGCAAATGAAGAATATTACCAAACATAGAATTGTTGATGTTGGCTCTAAGTTATTCACACATGCGCATTGCATTGCATTGCACGCACAGTGCATGGAGGAACGAAGGAACCTACCAGTAGTACGTGCATTTCTTGAGTAAAAAAAAAAAAAAGTAAAGAATTTTAAATCTTAATTTAATTAAAGATAAATATTACTAGAATTTGAATTCTAACTTGTAGAAAACTTTTGTAATAAAATATGTAAATTGGAGTGTGAAGAAGTAATGGAAGAACATTCTAGATAACTACTCGAGCACACTAGATACATTTTTGGGGGCGCTGCTGAAAGAGACGCCTGTTCCTCTCCTCCCTGATTCACTCTCAAGCACACATATTAGGCGTCTAGAATGAAGCCACGTCAACATCAAACACAGTGGAGGGAATAGTGACACATCATCCCACCTGGGGTTTTCCCCTATTATTAAATAAACGAATATATGATCGATCATATTATATGAATGTGATTCTGTATAAGTGAGAAGGACATGCAAGATGAGCTATAACACTGCCTAAAATCCAAGAAATGTGACCTGTATTTGGTTACACACCATAGGAATTATGAATATAAATTACTTTATTACTGTTATATACCCTATATGTCTTACTTAACTCCCATGTGAGAGCATAATAGAGAATCTTAAGCTTGTGCCCTTATCTTGAATATCACCTTTGCATTTCACTGCATAAAATATCTCCTTCCTTACATGTGGAGGTTAGAGAGTAGTAATGGAGCTGGCCTAGCTGGCTTGGTTTTGGTTTTCTTTGCTTAGTTCCACACATGTTGGTTAGGCTCTTCACATGACCTTTCTGCCTCCTTAAACCAACGCATGGTAGCAATGTGCTTGACCCTTTTTTTTTGCATCTTCTTCTCTTCTAGTTCTAGACCTTTAATGTATAAGAGCAGCAATCAGATGGACATCAATCAAAAACTTTATAATGTTTTTACGAATTAGGTGTTGTTTTATAACCTTTTTACGAATAAGGTGTTATTTTTGGTTGTTATAGTAAGCGACATCCTATAAATAAAGTTGAGAATGCAAATTCGATCTTTAGAAAGCATATTTTATTAAAAAGGTAAAAATTATTTATGCTCTACTGTCCGAGAGGGATTATACCTCCTGATAATTGAAAATGAGTGATATAAAGCAAAAATGAATTGCATCTCATTGCAAAGTTAGGGATTCGAGACATAAACTATATCTTTGGTTGGAGTGCGAAAATACTTATTTAAACAGAAAAAACAGAGTATTCCAATGTTACTGTAGCAGTAAATTCTGAGGGCAGTAAATGCAATTATAGGGGCCATTAGGATGAATAACAAGTGTATGGCAAAGAGAAATGCCACAACATTATAGCTCTTAATTAAATCACAATCTTTCCTTAACACCCACCACATGGTCATCCTATATAATATAACCCCCATGTTACATAGAATCACAAGCCACTCACTGCCTAGTTGTCTGCCCATCTTCACTAGATTCACCCTTAACTTTTCTGTCTTCTTCTCTCCAAAGGCCTTACAGTGTAGACAGGAATCTCTTGCACATACAGACAGTACAGATAGATCACTCTCTGCTGTCCATTTGACCAAGAAAGTCACCTCTCTCTCTCTCTCTCTCTCTTTATATATAACAGAGACTCAAAATATCAAAGCATAACATGCAGGTGAGCTTTATTAGACACAACAAAATTTAGATACCAAAAATGTGTATAGTGTTCACTTGAAAGCTTATGTGCTCTCCTCCTCCTATTAATTCTAGCAGATTTTTCATTGGCTTTTTAAGAAAGCACAAGAACAAGAAAGGGAGAATACCTCCACCACCTCTGCTAAGAACAATATTAATGGTAAGATTGATTTTTCTTTTTTTATTAATTAGATGCCGACTAAAGTCTCGAATTTTTAATATTAAAATTCTCGACGAGTCAAACTACATTTATATAAAATAAAGTAGAAGATGAACACTCGATTACTAATTATCGGCTCGAAGCAATTGAATAAAATCAATCATCATTACTACTAATTTGGCGAATGCATTTTTTTTTTTTTTTTTTTTTCTAATTAATTTCTAGCACGATTTTTCAATTGGCTTTTTTAAGGAAAGCACAAGACAACAAGAAAGGGAGAATACTACACCACCTCTGCTAAGAACAATATTTAATGGTAAGATTGATTTTTCTTTTTTTTTATTAAAATTTAGATGCCGACTAAAAAGTCTCGAATTTAAAATATTAACAATTTCTCGACCGATCAAACTACATTTTATATAAAAATAAAGTAGAAGATGAAACACTCGATTACTAATTATCCGCTCGAAGCAATTGAATAAAATCAATCATCATTACTGACTAAATTTGGCGAATGCCAATTTTTTTTTTTTTTTTATTTTTTTTTTTTTTTTTTGTAAAATTCAGATCAAGAAAAAGATATAAATCCCTTTAGGAATCGAAGGAGTAATCAAAGATCAGAAAGAGGAAAAGAAAGAAAAATTAGATTCAGAAGATTTGCATTTTTATGCACAAAAGAAGTTGCAACTGCTTTCTTTTATAGCACAATCAATTTGAGAAGACTTACTAGCATTAACAGGAGGGGACAGCAGAATTGGATCTACTCTATGAAGAAGATGAAGAAAGAAGACATTAATAAAGGACAAAGCATAAATAATATGAACAAGGTGGATTCAGCAAACAATGTAGTAGGCAATAAAGTTCTACCAATTACTGATACAACACTATCTTGTTCCTCATCAATTAGCCCCTCAAATGGTCAATGTGATTCATTGGAGAAGAAAAATATGCTTAAAGGGGATAAAACTAAAGCCATGTCAAGAATGAAGGAGCTACTGAGATGGGCTGCAGCTGCAAAATCTGATAAGAAAGGAAACTTTATAGGAAGAAAGGTAAATTTCTGTTTCATATATATATTTCGTAGGAAGAAAAGTATATTTTTGTCATATATCAACTGTAATTAGTGGGATAAATGTAGCTTCTTCATATATATTTCAGCTATTAATATCCTCCAAACAATTTGAATATTTTGTTCAGTAGAGGATGTTTGCTTCATAATTAAATGCTCTATTAATATGTCCAATCAAGTTTCCATCAATACTTCTTTTTCCAAAGTATGAAGTTGTTAGTAGTCTATTTAGCTTATTGCAGCTAAATTAATATTTAAAAAAAAAAAAAAAAAATATATATATATATATACCTATAACTCATATATATAGTATATATTTTTTTTTTTTTTTTTTTTTCAGGTTCATCACTTGAAAATAGAGGAACCCTAAATAGCAGTACGCTAGATGATGATCAACTAAGAACTGAGGTCTCCCAAGATCAGTTCAGATGGGATGGTGGAAAGCTGCTCTCCACTTCCCTCTGTGTACGTCCAGGCGCATTTCATTGGCTTCCTCTACCCGAAAATAATGGTTTCTCTCAATTCCTTCCTTTACATTGACAGGAATTTTTTTCAGGTTCTACACTTGAGAAATAGAGGAACCCTAAAAGCAGTACCAGATGATGATCAACTAAGCAATGAGTCTCCCAAGATCAGTTTCAGATGGGATGGTGAAAGCTGCTCTCCCACTTCCTCTGTGTACTCAGCCATTTCAATGGCTTCCTCTACCCGAAATATGGTTTCTCTCAATTCCTCTCCTTTACATGACAGGAAAGGAAATTGGATCACCACTGACTCTGAATGTAAGATATCCATCACCAATAAATAAATAAACAAATAAATCTTTTTTAATTTTTCTAACATAACTGAATAATTTTAATGGTATTTTTATGAACAGTTGTGGTGCTAGAGTTATGAAGAAATCAAGAAGATGATTTTTCATGGTTGAATGTTCAAGAGGCTTGGAATGCTTCTGAAGCAATGTATGTTTATGTACTAGGATTTTCATTTTTTGTTCTTTTAAATGTTAATTAATTAGAGAAATTAATTGTAACATCAGCAGTAAGGATCTGAGAATATAAGAACATCAATGAAGATAGCCTACATATGTATATTTGAATATATTTGTGGTAATTGACCTAATCAAGTCTTGATTTGTATGGATATAAGAAGGTTAGTTCTTTAACTTTCATTAAAATAATAATAATAATAATAATAATAATAATAATCTTATGCCCCTCAACTTCACTTTTTAATCTTGTGGCCAAATTTAAATTTCAATTTTTAAGATGTGAAATTATTAGAAAAAACAAAATTCAGAAAGAAAAATTTTAGAACCTCATAAGGGTATTTTCAAAATTTAGGGCTACAAAATTTTTATATGACAGATTACAAGTAAAAGAAAATCTGTCCTATCAAAATTGACTTTAAATAGACTGTTGTCAAATTTTATATTTATTTCCTATATTTGTACTAGACTTTATTTCAATTAAATAAATATTAATTTAAAAGGCAATATAATTAATTTTTTTATTTTTTTTATAAAATTAGAGTGATTCAATATTTTTTTTAATTTTTGTGAGGAATATTTTGTAAGGTTATGAACTTATGGTAAATTTATCAATATTTAAAAATTATTTTTCTTTTTTATGAGAAATATTTATTTTTCTTTAAAATTAATTAATTTTCTTTTTTCTAAAATAATATTTTTAAAAAATATTTTTTAGAATAAACATAGTCTAAATAAAACATTCGATATAGTATTTTAACAAAAAGCAAATCATAAACTTTTTACAATATAAAAATATAGTTTTTCTTCTCCGGCCGGACAAGTTCAAAAAAGTATTTAAACGCTTCTTTTTGAGTGTATCCAATACTCGAATTATATACCTTTGATCACCTTAAAAAGTTTAATATATTCGTGTCATATCTTTGCCGAATTCTGATATCTCTCAAACATTTTCACACACGTATCAAATACTTTAAAAAATGTGTTCTATATTTATCATATTTTATTAATTTCATACGCTTTGATAATGCCTCTAAGCCACTTTGAAGACATTTCTTCAACACTCTAGAAACAACTTTGAAAATTATCTAAGACATTTGAATAAATTTATTAACAACAATTTTAAATTATTCTCTTAAATATGTATTTAATATAATTATTAACACTTAAAATATAAAATTAAAAGATATATAAAGATTTTTATAATTAATATTTTCCGTCTCATTTTGTTTGCATAGTTTGATAAAACACACATATTAAGAATTTAGTCAATAAAAATTATTTTGCTCTTGTTTACCCTTAACTCATTAAAATATTAATAAAAATCTTTTATTTAATGAAGAATCATAAAAGTTACTATGAAAAAATAATTATTTAAATAATTAAATTTATAACCTTGCAAATATTTTAAGACATCCAAAAAATGAATAACAAGCAAATAAGAGGGAGGGAGGGAGTATGCAATTTATTATAATTTATTAGATATGTGTTATTGTCAAATTTAAGAACTAATTGACAATGTTGATTTAAATTTAATAATTTACAAGACTTTTATAAAAAAAAAGAGTCACGCATTAAAATATGAAATCTTATTTGGGATAAAATTTGATCTATTTTAAAATGTCAAAATTTTTTAAAAATTATGAATTTATCTCTAAAGAAATCGGAGATTTAATTTTCAATTCAGAGATTTATGCTTTTCAATAATATGTTAATTTTGAAAATTTAATTAATTATATTTTTTAAGGATTAATTAATAATGTTGAAATAAGAAATTAATTATTTTTATCTTATATTTATAATTTATAATTAATTATTTTTTTAGAAGAATTTATTATTAATTATTAAAACATACATTTATTAAATGTAGAGTGTCCTACTTTTTAAGTGTTAACAGTTTAAATATATTTTATAAAACGTTAAAAGTTAATTATTATATGAGTTAAATTTTTATAAAACACTATAATTCTATGTTCCCAAATACTGTGAAAACAACGTTGAATTTTTATAAAATACTATCTTAACCTCTAAAAACTAGTTCAAATTATGTATTACTTAACACTATAAAAAATAGTATTTAACGTAGGGAGTGTGCACGGGACTGCGGAAATTCTGAGCCGTTCTCAAAAATCGTTCCTAATTTTTCATCTGAGAAAAATCCGATATTAATTTTATAGTTCCACCCCAAAAGTATTTATGAGATGAGACTGATTTTTTTTTATTAAAACTGACCGTATTGACCCAAGATTTGTCTCATCTCGTCCCGTTTTGGAAATTGAGAATTCTAGTTCCATTTTTCCTTCAAAATTTTAGTTGTCCTTTTTTTGAAATTTCAAATTATGTCCCTAAAAATCGTTTCATAGTTTTTATTTTATTTTTTTATGACACCAATTACTATCAAAATAATAATATAATACGAAAAAAATAATATGCATTTTTTAAATATAAGATAATGCAAAGTAATTAGACATATTTTTTAACATTGGTTTTTACCTTTGTTATTCCACGTTACGAAGGAAGTAAATCTTTTTGAATAAATTTTTTCTATTAAAAAAAAGGAAAGATTAATTAATATAAGAGAAAATATTAACTTCAATTAATTTGATTATTGGATTATTGATTATGCTTAATGCTATTATTATTTATTTTTTAGATGATATTCAAGATTAAATTAAGTATCAAATTTAAATCAGCTTAAAGATAACAGTGACGAAAGCAATGATAAGTTAAGATTCATAAAATGCATATAAAGTTAAATTATATATAATTTTTATATTATTTTATTATATTATATTTCACGCTTTTATTAGCTAAAAAATAATTACTTAAAAATCATTTATTGTAACTTTGTAGAAGATCATCTACCATTGAATTAATTATTTGATTTATTATTTTTTTAACTCAAACTAATATAAATAAATTTTATGTGATTGATCATCGATGAATATAATATTTTTTCAATCTTTTTTTAATGAAAACTAATTTAATAAGACTATAGAAATTTTCGATTGATTCTCAATTCGACACATTTAATTCTATTATATAGATTCGAATTCTTGTTTCGTGCTGTTTCAAAACATAAAACGGGATGGGATGATATTACTAGGACGAAATTCAAACTTTAATTTTTTAGAACGAAATTGCAAATTATATAATTTTTGTCAATCAATCTGCATATTCCTAATGTAGCGTGTTAGACCTGTACAAACAGTAAACGCTAGTGTTGTCCAACATGAGTGTTAGACCGATGAAAACACTGAAAGCTACTCTTATCTAACACTGTGTCTTAGCGTATCATATCGTGTCGTGTTTTGTATCCGCATGTCGTATTAAGGAAACGAGGTAGCTCACCCGTATGATAAAAGGTTTAAATTTACCTTTTTTGTTGGAAAATAATGAGAGTACACAGCTCTAAAAAGACAGGTACAACCTAGAGAGCATAGACGTATAAAATCACGTAACAACCGATCACTGAAGACAGTTGGGGTGGTTTCTAAAAAATTCATTAGTAATTTTATTAATTTACATAAAATTTATCTGAACTCCTCCCTGTCCTCCATTTACGTTCTTCAACAACCTCTCCCAACTACATTTCCAACCTTGCTCTCTCTTCCTTTCTCTCTGTTTCTTTTGCTATACACAAATACTTGCAATGTCAGAACCCTTTGCTACCTTAAGCTCCGACCTTACAGAACTAATCCTTTCTCATCTCCCCATCCCTTCCCTGCTCCGCGCCTCCGCGGTCTGCAAACTCTGGCATTCTCTTATCTCTGCCCCTTCTTTCCGTTCTCTTCCTTACCACCACCGTCCATGGTTCTTCCTCCACGGCCTCCACAACACCTCTTCCAAAAACAATCAATCTTTCGCCTTTGATCCTTCCTCTGACTCCTGGTTTCGTCTCCCTCCCTTTCCTATCCTTTCTCATGACTTCATTGGTTCCAATGGGTTCCTCTTTTCCACCTATCCTTCTTCTTTCTTCTTTTCCCCTGTTCTTAAACCTAGATGGAAATCGACCTCTCCTCTTCGATTTTCAAGAATTAACCCTCTTGTTGGTGTTTTCTTTAATGGTACTAAAGATTCCAAACCTCAATTTATTGTTGTTGGTGGCGTTAGATTTATTGGTAATTTGGTTGATATTGAAGAAAGATTGAATGTTGAAATTTATGACCCCAATTGTGATACTTGGGATCTTCTTCCTCCTTTACCTGCTGATTTTCGCTCTGGTAATTCGTCTCAGACTTTATCTTCTGCTTTATTCAAAGGTAGATTTTATGTCTTCGGAATATACAGTTTCTTTGTTTCTTTTTTTGATTTGAGTAACCTTGTTTGGAGTCAAGTACAAACGTTAAGGCCGCCTGGTGTGCTTTTTGCTTTCTTGATTCCTTTTCAAGAAATGCTTGTCTTAGCTGGTATGTGTAATGGGCCGGGAGGGCCATCTTTCAACTTATGGAGAATTGATGACAAAAATATGGAATTTAGTGAAATTGCAATTATGCCAAATGAATTGCTTTATGGGTTGGTTGATATCGAGGAAGATGATAAATTTGCAAGCTTGAAATGTGTTGGCATGGGAAATCTTATTTATGTGTTCAATGAGGAGTATCATAAGAAGTATCCTGCTTGTATTTGTGAAATCATTGGTGAGTCTGGTAAGTGTAGCTGGAGGAGAGTGCCCCCATTGCCATCACCTGTTAACAAGTTTCACAAAGTTATCAGCTTTTGTTCTACAGTTTTGCCACAAAATATTTTTGTGGATGATGATGAAGAAGAAGAAAGTGGATTGGTGGAGCCTATGTCTGATTGATTTGCTTCTCTACATGGTATGTCTAGATTTTGGAATTCAATAATGTTTCCTTTTGTTATGCTTCTTTCATTGTCTTAGCCAAGTAGTGGTACATCCTTTATTATGTTTATTGTGCTTGAATTAATTGCAGCTATTAAATCTGGTTTAGTTAGAACTTAGAAGATTTCTAAGAATCTATTCCTTCATCATGTAGTTGTTTGCCTTAGGCTTCAGTATTTCTGGCTAAGCTCTTGTTTTTCCTTGTTCTCGAGCATTATAATTATTGATCAACAATAACATTAAACTTATATTATAATGTCATACATACAGGTCCATCTAGATTTAGTGCAATTGCAATTAAATAAACTTCAAAAAAAAAAAAAAAAAAAAAAAAAATAAACTTAAACTTATATTATATATGTCAATACATACAGGTCCATCTAGATTTAAGTGCAATTGCATTAAATAAAACTTCAAAAAAAAAAAAAAAAAAAAAAAAAAAAAAAAGAACTTTTGCTTCTGCAGCTATGGCAGGGTTGGGTATCATTACACATTTGTTTCAGCGGGCTTAATTGTTTTCTTTTAGAAAAAAAAAAAAAAAAAAAAAAAAAGAACTTTTGCTTCTGCAGCTATGGCAGGGTTGGAGTATCATTACACATTGTTAGCGGGCTATTGTTTTCTTAGACTGGATTTTGCTGCCTTTGCTTTCTTTTCCATTAATCTTTGGTGCAACAAAATGATCTTGCCATTTGCTGTCCTTCTTTACTCAAACTACTAAACTGCCTTTTTTTTTTTTTTTTCAAGTTCAAAAGTATTAATGGTATTGTCCATTGCTAGTGTGAGGAGCAATGGGATTATTATGAAAAGTGAAGATTAGTGTGCCACGAACTCAATTTTAAAGTTCAGGGTGCCATAAAGGTTTCTTTGTTAAAAGTTCAAAAGTAAATTTTGTAGTTGGCCCTTTTCTATTAAATATTTTCTTATGCTTTCACCATTTAGCTTATTGCTGTGAAGACAAATAATTAACTACTATACATTATTCTGTGCTAGAATGTAACAATTTTCAATTACCTTAAGGAATGTCTCTAAAGATTCAAATGGCATTTCTGATTGTCAAAAACTCATTTACAGACAGGTATAGCAGGACTCAAACATATATGTTTGGGAGGTTTCACATGTTCATTGAGAAAAAAGAAAATGTTTTTGATGAACAGGGCCTACCTATCATTAGGACAAAGATCAGAAGCTTTTATTTAGCTACTCACACAAGATTCTACAAGGGAAGTGGAGAACAGAATCGGTTCAGGGCAGGTGTGTTCATGTTTTAATCTTCTTTAGTTGATCAAATCCCTGGAGACTTCTCATATGCCAGGATCAATAAAATTGAAGTTGTCTATTGATTAAATAACAAGCCAAAGCTGTCTAATTGTGAATTATCTGATGCACCTACTTATGCACTGTATTAAGTTCCAGCTTATATTCTCCCTGTAAGTGTTTTAATTGAAGATCAGTTTTCTTTCAGTTTTCTTTTGGATAGTGTCAAATGTTTACACCATGCATTTGTTGGATGGCCCCGAATGGCCTGTAATATGTGCAAGTGGCATATAAGCATATTGTGGTAACAGGGGAGGAGTATGAAATGGATCATCTTATGTTTTTACAATATAATTTCTCTACTCTTACGGCCATAATAATAATAATAATAATAATCTAAAAGAAAAAAAAAAAAATGGAGGTAATGTTTATATAATGGAAATATGTAATTATTGAACTTTGACACCTCTAACTTGTGGTATCTTTTAACTTTATTTTTGTTATAATTTCACATCTTCTCGCACTATCAATAATAACATTATGAATAATAATTTTTAAGACTTTTAGTTTTTATATGTTGAATATTGATTTAATACGTGGTTATATAGTTTTTTAACTAAATAATTTTAATACTTTTTTTAATATTTAATAAGTTTTTAATCAATAATTTTATAAACAAAGGTGTTTGATGAGTTAAATTAAGTGTTTAATAAATGCAATTAAAACGTTGATTTGGTGAAATTAAAAAATTTGAAGGTGGGATAAAATTTTGAGTCCAGAATGAACAACATTGACAGCCATGAGCCAAGAGATTGTCACATTCAAAATACCTCTTTCCAAAGCAATTTTGAGCCAACAATTCTGATATAACAATAATACTGTATAATTACAACGAGTGACAAAGTTGATAGTATTATTATTATTAATTTTTATTTATTATTATATGCCAAATTTCAAAAGCCTAGAAAGGGATAAACTGGGCTTTCGTAGGCCTATTTACGGAACCCACCCTACTCTAATTCCTAAGGCCAACTGTCGTTTCTTTAGGCCCAAGAATAGCCATTAAAGGAAAGTTTCACCGTCCATTTTTCACGAACCAATAGTAAATCTCGCCGAGCAACAAGTCCCAATCACTACTTCCCGTTAACTTCACGCGCAATACCACACGTGATGCCAAAATATTGGAGGACCCAACAAAAGGTTACTCGCCCAATCAGAAACGGAGCGACCCAAAAGGCTGATTTAAAGGTTCTGGCTTTGGTTCAGAGGTTTTAGCTTTTTCATTTTACCAACTAATTACTACTACTACTACTATCTGCTTTTTTGGTTCCGTGCTCTTAGGGTTTTAAAGAGGGGTTTTCTCTCTCTACAAATTTCACTTTCTCTCTCTGAATCCACTTGGGGAAGGAGAAGAAAGGACCATGGATAGATACACCAGGGTCGAAAAACCAAAGCCTGAGTCGCCGATAAACGAGAACGAGATCCGAATCACCTCAGGTGGTCCTGTTAGAAACTATATCAGCTATGCTACTTCCCTTCTTCAGGTGCCTTACTATATTAATCTCTCTCTCTCTCTCTCTCTCTCTCTCTCTCTGTTATTTATGTGCTTTTAATGCGTATCTTTGTTTTGCTGTTATGCCTTTTTTCCCCCTTTTTAAGAGTATTGTTGAGTTGTTTCATAGGTTTTGATTAATTGGCTAATAGGTTTTGCATGATTACTCCTCAGATTGTGCTTTGTTCGTTTCTAGGGTTTTCTGTAGGTGTTTTCTTTTTGTTATGGGTTTTGATTGAGTTTGGGCATTTGCATATATTCTTGTTTTGTTATTGTGATTCTAATTCTATTATTGACCTGCTTATTAACAAACAATCTTAAAATAGCTTTACGCTTTATCCTTAGGTAGATTTGGCATTATTAACAATAAATATTGGCTAAGAATTAGGAGTTGGAGATGAGATAAACTATGCTTGGAATGTCTAGGAGCAATTTATGGATGGGTATTTCGTTGCTTGGATATGGAAGAAATCTTAAATATGCTGTATTATACCTGTTTGCCATAAGTTCCTCGATGAACAGTACATTTTGTGTAGAATTTGACATAATGTGGAATGAGGAACTAGAAATTTCCATTATACAGTGTAATAGCTTATTACATCTTCTATAGGATTTTGGCGTGTGATGTTGGCTGCCCTGAGTAGTTGGTAGTGCTCGGTTGAGCTTGAGTGATTTATCTCAAAAAATGTATATTAGTCAGTATCATTTGCATTGTGAAGATATTTGCTGCACTCATCAATGCAAAATCAGTACAAATCTGAAATGAAAGACTAGTATGGACATATCTTGGCAGCTGTGGGACCCAGGTGTCAGGTTCATTACGATATGGAGCATGATGTGAAGAAACTTAATACGTATTCAATGATATTGGAGATGTTGGAAATGTAATAACCTTTTGATACGACTACTATCTTTTGCATTTTATCTTGTACTTTGATTTTCCAGCGGCAGGTCAACATGATAATAAATCTAACAATACCTCAAATATTTTTCCGTTAAATATGGTTATTTGTGCTTTTTTTTCTTTTAGTTTGAGGAAGTGCTGACTCCATGCATTACTGTTGTTTATGACATTTTACTAGGAGAAACAGGCAAGAGAGATTGTCTTGAAAGCAATGGGGCAGGCAATCAGCAAGACAGTATCCATTGCAGAGGGTATAAAGGTTAGTATGCTTTTCAAAGTCACATTTTGAGTATAAAAAAGCAATGCTGAACTTACTGTCCAATTTATCCTACCTGATACAGAGAAGAAATCCCCGTTTGCATCAAGATACTGCCATAAGTTCAGTAAGCATAACTGATGTTTGGGAACCCATTGAAGAGGGCCTTTTACCGTAAGCTTTCATAACTTGTCTTACTATATCTGTATCGATTTTGTCTGCATGTGGTTTTGTATTTTATGTCCACAATCTAGATATGTAAGTAGTGACATATGATGCAGAGTGGAACAGACTCGCCAAGTCTCAATGATTACAATCACCTTATCCTTTAAAGAGCTGAACATAAATTCTCCGGGGTAAGTTTGTTTATCTATTTCATCTGTAAAACTCTGATTTGCACGGTATGATTTTGTGGCTGGTTCCACAGCTTCTTTGAATTTTTCTTGGCCTGTGCAAGTCCAAATCATTGGCTATGCTGTTTTAGGATCGCCAGTCAAAACTAAATATCTTTTAGCTGTGCTAGCCAGCTGTGATTATTAATGTGTCCATGACCCTATTTTTGAAACTCAAATTCCTGCTGCCAAATATATTATGTGCATATAGTTTGGAACCTTTCCTGTTTGAGGTACTGAGGTTTGCATTTTGTATGTTATGGAAATACTTTGTTCCTAGGTATCAAGCTCCACTTTCTGTGGAACAGCCAAAGGTACAGTATCAGCAGCTGCAGCAGCAGCAACCCAGACAGTTGCATGGTCCATATAATGCTGTTCGGGAGGGTAATTTGCCTATCAGAAATGATAATATCTGTGATTGAAGCCTGCTTTTATCCATATTTGATTGTACTTTTCTAATTTTAAGATTCATATGGCCGAGGACGTGGTCGTGGTAGAGGGAGAGGGCGGAGCTGGGGCAGGGGTGGATATGGATATGGAAACTATCAAGGAAACTATCAGGGCAACTATCAAGGGAACTACCAGGGCAACTATCAAGGGAACTATCAAGGTATAAAATCAGGAGTATGAAGTTAGTAAATAGTTATATGATTGCAGAGTGTACATATATTTTCTAGAGTATAACACTCCTTTTTTCACCTATTCTATGATAGAAAATGGTGGTTATTCAAATAGGGGCCGTGGTGGTGGGCGAGGCAGAAGTTGGGGTTATCGGGGTAAGTTTGCTGCTTAAGATTTGATTACATGTTTAATATGATATTGGTGTCAGATTTTGGTTTTGACATCTCTTTTATTGATCACGTTGGACATTAGATTTTTGGTGCAGTGGAAAGTGGACACTCCCACTCTGCTTCTGTAATTCCTGCATGTGTATAACATAATTATGGACATGCTTCTTCATATGCCATTATACTATGCATGTCTAGTCGCACTTTCTTGGCACAACACAATCACACCAAGTCTGACTTGAAAGTAGTGCTTGCACTTGCAGTTGAAAATGTGAAATTCTGGGTTAATGTTGTTAAGCTGCTTACGCATAACATTTTTTTTAGGTGCTGGGTATGAAAGAGGTAGAGGTGGAGGAGGCAGAGGTTATGGCCGTGGTCGTGGAAGGATGGGTGGTCGATCAAGGGGTGGTGGTGGAAACCAGGGTTAAGTAGGGAACGGGTACTCTTTTTGCTTTAGCTAAATGCTTGCCTTGGCCAGTGGGCAAAATTTTATCCTGAAACATTGTTTTTAGTAGCATGAAATGTGGGTTATCCTGAGCAAATGGTTTGTGTTTGATTTTCTTCATCATATGGATGTGGGCAAGGTTTTTCTGTTCATTTTTTTGCATTTAGTCAATAGCAAGAGGAGGCTTACGAATGGTGTAATTTATTTTTACCACTGTGGTTGCACTTTCTATGTTCATATTTGGTTATCATATTTCTTTATTCCTTCTCAAATCTTCTCTATTTGCTCTCTTTTGGTGTAGCCAGCAATTCCCGTTGTTTTTTAATGCTTGTTTCAATCACGTCTTTTCTGCACAACTAACACCGAACTACAGATGTACACTATATTGTAGGGGGACTATATCTCAGACTACTCTGTGTATTTGTGAAATAAAAGGAACAAAATTATAATTATAACCAAATTTTATTTTAATGAAAGACTATCATAAAATTTAATGAGGATATTATTGAAAAAATAATTTTTTACTTCAAACTGAAAATGAAAAATAGATAATTATTAAAGAAAAGGAAATAAAAAGAAAAAAGAACTTCGTGGTCTGGTCTGATACAGCAATACAATAAACAGTGCTCCCTTTTCTTTCGAGTGTACGGTTCCTCTTGTCCGTAAAACAGTCTAGGTTCATTTTTGTCCTTGACTATTATAACTGGAACATCTATATACTCTTTATTTAGGTTAATTTCTAAGACAATATTTACATTAACTAGCCACTTGTCTGCTATCAAAAGCCAAAACTGATTTCTATTTTTTTTTCAAATGTTCAATTTGTCTTTCAATATTTTCTGTTTTCATGGATTAAATTCCGACTTTCTATATCATTTATTGAATTTAAATGTGTTTTATTATTTCATTCACTTTTTTTTTTAGTAAATTTGATTTTGATAATAATATACTTACTGAGGTCAAATTTTACTATACTCGAAAAATTAAATTCAAACTCTGTTTGTTTAAAGTTTCGTTTAAAAAAAATTAATTTCTTTTTAAATTTAAAGTCGAGTTGGAATTCAATTTATTAAACTTATCAAATATGATATTGCAAATAATATATGAAGTTTCTAATGATAAAGTTAGAAAGACCAGTCTCCCAGACAAGTTGAAAATTTTGTTCATCCCATATTTTTAGCTATACATCAAATCATCATCCGCCGGTCACTAAAATTTTAAATTTTTATTTTCTTATTTATATTAACCATGTATAGAATTTATTTTAGAATTTTGAAACTTTACTAATTTATACTTAAAATAATAAAATGATAAAATAATATTAATTAATTTATATTTGCTGGCAACAACAAATCCCTTGTCTGAAACCTACTAATCGATTTTACGACAATTTTTATGAAAGCCTTTTATTTATTTCTCTTCGATGAAAGTTTTATTTTCTCAGAATATATATTTTCCGATTTTTTTTTTTTTTTTGGGCTTTAATATATAAAAGGTGTAGTCAGTGGGATTGAACTTAAACTGCATTTGTGGTCAGGTTCACTGATACAAAACTTAGTCTTAAAACCTTACATAAAACTTAGTTGCTTTTCCTCTATCAGTTTCTATTTAATGGTGATTGCAATCTGACTTTAGTGATTGCTTCCAAATCCTAATAATAATAATAATGTATTTTTACCTTTATATAATTATTTCTCCAATGATTTCCATAAATTTTATTTCACGTGTAACACGCTCTCTATAAATTTAATTTTAAAATTCTATTTCATGAAAATTAAAATTAGTGAAATATATCGTAGTAATTATAATAATATAACAAAATTAATTGTTATAGAAAATAAATTATAAAATGCGTTGGCAAACCCTTTCTAAAAATGTTACCAAAAAAAAAAAAAACCCTTTGTGAAAAAGCATTAAACAAAATATGAAAAGCAAACGAGGAGAGTAAGAGAGAGAGGCTTGCACAAGCAAAATAAGCCACCAAAAAACGGCACGTGTAAACCACAATACGTGGCACATGCAGATGATTGACTATCTTGTATTTCCAGCAAAACCCAAATACAGGAAGAACATGAACACAAACTTTATATAGGCCAGATTCATTCTTCTGTCCCATCTCCTAATATATATATATATATATATATATATAGTCCTGACCTGAGGAGGGGGGGGGGAGAGGTTTTCATTATGTTCTCATTTATTCAGTCTGCAAAGTGTCCAACTCTAGCTCCTTGCACGGAAGAGAGAAGAGAGACAGGAGAGACAGAGGCTATGGGAAGGAAGCACCAAAAAAGGACGGCGGAAAGATTCTTTTTTCGTCTGTTATTTATTAAAATTCCTCTTGGTGATGCCCTATATATATATATATATATATATAGTCCTGATTTTTCATTATTGTTTCTCATTTATCAGTCTGCAAGTGTCAACTCTAGCTCCTTGCACGGAGAGAGAGAGAGACAGAGAGAGACAGAGGCTATGGAAGGAAGCACAAAAAAGACGGGGAAAGATCTTTTTCGTGTTATTTATAAAATTCCTGCTGGTGATGGCCCTTATGTCAAAGCCAAGCATGCTCAGGTTTTTTATTATTTTTACTTTAAATATCCCTGCTCTCTCTATATATACATATATCTTTTGTTCCCTTTCTTCTCATTTTCTTTTAAATGGTTGATCTGCATTATATTAGTCTAAATTATGATTAGTGCTTTACTTATTTTCATTTATTTGATTTCACCTTCTAATTCTTATTTCCATTTATAGAGCTTTGATTAATTAAATTTGATCTATTTATAGATATTTTTATTCAGGATTGTCGATTGGCTTCTTACACTTGTTATCCCCTAATTAGTTTTTTCTCCTCACTGTGAGGAGAAAAAACCCCTACATCTGATATATTTTAGCACAGGATCTAGCGGTCATAAGAGACTTTTCAACTACCTTATTAATAATAATTTAATACCCTTCAAGATGCAGTTTTTCTTTTTATTTTGAGAAAGGATAGAAGATTATTACAGTTTTGAATCTTTAATTTCCATATTTGAAAGTTAGAGATATATAATTATATAATTTTATCATATCTCAGTGGGGAAATATGTACTTTGCTCATTTACACAGTGCATGGATATGGTAAGGGAAGATTTCTTAAAGAAAGAGGAGGGGAGTGAAAAATATTTACATTATTGTGTATGAAAAATTAAAAAGTAAAAAATAAAGGAAATAGTATTTTCTTTTCATTGTATTTTATAGGCATGAAAAACGAAAATCTTTTGTAACAACACTAAGTTTATGCATATAACATAGTTCCTATCATTTTATTCATATTATTTATAAATAAATAATATTCAGTAGCCTAGTTTTTATTTCTATGAAATTGTTACTTTTTTTGAGGATACCGACACATTTGATAATAGCTATTATAAATAATATTCAGTAGCGTAGTGTTTATTTCTATGAAAACGTTACTTTTTTTGAGGATACCGAAACATATGATAACAGCTATTAGGGTAGAAAACATCAATTAGCACAAAAATTAATAATTATTTGATCAATAATTTTTTCATCTGGCGAGATAGTTTAGATAAAATCATATTAAATAGTTTGTTTAGAATGAAATTAAAATAAAATAAAAAAACAAAGACGACTGTTGACAGACTTTATGTAGACATTTTGGTAGACAACTAGTTTCAGTTCGGTCCTCTATTATTTCTCACTTCATATATGAATTATTAAAGATTCTTTTGAAACAAGGTCACATTTTCTTTTGTTGTGTTTATTTTCTTTATCTGGATGAATTGAATCATCCCTTATTCCAGTCTAAATTCATATGCATAAGTATATATTTATGGCTTCATAAATATTTTCCTGTGAATATGCTTCTACTTGAGTTTCAAAAATAATTACTTTTCAGTAAATTAAAACATAATATATATAAGGAAAAACTTAAATAATTGAATAATTTCAGTTGGTTGAAAAAGATCCAGAAGGAGCAATAGTATGGTTTTGGAAGGCAATAAATGCAGGAGATAGAGTAGATAGTGCACTGAAGGACATGGCTATCGTGATGAAGCAAATAGATAGAACTGAAGAAGCAATTGAAGCTGTTAAGTCATTTAGAGGCCGTTGTTCAAAACAAGCACAAGAATCACTTGATAACGTCCTTATTGACTTGTACAAGGTATCTTTCTTTCATTTGCTCGTGTATATATATATATATATATCCATGTTTGCTTCCCCTGAAATTATATCCTGGAAGGATCCAATTAATGGTTAACTGTGCTATTTTCAGAAATGTGGGAAGGTAGAGGAGCAAATAGACTTGCTGAAGAGAAAGCTAAGAATGATATATCAAGGAGAGGCCTTCAATGGCAAACCTACAAAAACTGCTCGCTCTCATGGCAAGAAGTTCCAAGTTTCTGTCAAGCAAGAAACCTCCAGATTATTGGTACCTATAATTTTCTTACACATTTCTCACTTTGCTCTCTCTCTCTTTTTCTATATATGTATATACACATAATCCCTTTTGAACCGGGGAGTAAATATATTATAAACTCTTTTCGAAACATCCTGTAATCACCGGTGACCTTCAACGACTATAACATTTTACATTGCTCATATATTACGACATTGGCTTTAACATGTCGCTTAATGAACGTTGCAGGGAAACTTGGGCTGGGCCTATATGCAGAAATCAAACTTTTTGGCAGCAGAAGCGGTGTATCAGAAAGCCCAAATGATCGACCCGGACGCGAACAAAGCTTGCAACTTGGGCCTTTGTCTTATAAAGCAAGCCCGATTCGATGAGGCCCAGTTTGTTCTCCAAAACGTGATGGAAGGAAGATATCCTGGTTCAGAAGATATCAAGTCAATAAAAAGAGCTCAAGAATTGTTAAGGGAAGTGGAAACAAAAATGCCTTCACCTGAGCTAACAGGTATATTAGGGTTTAATCTTGATGATCATGATTTTGTTAAAGGGCTTGAGGAAATGATGGAAGAATGGGCACCAGCAAGATCAAAGAGACTTCCCATATTTGAACAGATCTCTTCATTTAGAGATCAATTAGCATGCTAGTTCTTTCTTTTTCTGTGGGTTTGTGAGATTGGAGTTGGGTTTGTTTTTATAATTTATCATTGTTTATAAGGGTAGTGTTGTAATTATATATATTTAGAAATTAGAATTGTTGTTTGGAAGAGCAACAAATAAGCTTGGGTTTTGTCAATCAAGTGGTGGTTTAATTGGTCTTTTCACTTATGTGAAAAGTGAGAGGACTCGACTTCTAGTCCTTTCGACCACAATTGTTTTCATCAATTTAGTGAGTCAAGTAAAGGGCTACCTCACAAAAATTGTTTTCACCAATTTGGTGAGTCAAGGGAATGACTATCTTATTGTGTAGCTCGCAGAGTTATTGCAGTTTATAAATAATGAATAAATTCAATGATTTTTTAATGAATAAATTCAATGATTTTTTTTTAACTTTTATTGGTTTGGTTTTAATATAAAAATTATTTAATACTAGTGCATAGATGATACATTAAATATTTATCTATGAGAGAACAAAAAGAACAGAAATATTAACTAAAATTTTAGCAAAATATTATAAAGCCACCAAAAGAAAAAAAGAAAAGAAAAAAGGAGTAGGGAGTTGGTCAGCATGGCAGATCACGGAAAAAACATTTCTTCATTTGTAGTCTAGGGCTTTGCTTGGCACTGGGCTCTTTAGTAAACTTTCATTTTGGCGCCACCACCGCACCAGGACAACCAACTCGCCACATAAAATCTACTGATCCTGTGTTTCAATTCCAAATCCCAAAGTTCATTGAAATCTCCAATCTTTCCCCTTTCTACTGCCAGTTTCTCAATAAAATCCACAAATCTTTCTCTTATTTGCGGCATTCTCTAACCCACGGTCTTTTCACCTTCCACTATATTTTTTGTGCCAAAATGGAGCCAGAAATAATTACAGACAAAACCCAGATGAGAAATTGGTCTAGGGCAATAAGATCTCAAGGAAAGACCATAGCTTTAGTACCAACTATGGGTTATCTTCATCATGGCCACTTATCACTCGTTGAAGAAGCTAAAAAGCTTGCCAATGTAATTGTAGTATCAATCTATTTAAACCCAGGTCAGTTTTCTCCTTCTGAAGATCTCTCTACATACCCATCTGATTTCAACGGCGATATAATGAAGCTTATGTCTGTTCCTGGTGGGGTTAATGCTGTTTTCCATCCCCAAAATCTATACGATTATGAAATTGATAGGAAAAACGAGAATTATAATGTTAATTTTAGAGATAGTGGAGATAATTGCAAAGGGGTTGTGTCTTGTGTGGAGGAAAAGGGATTAGGGCATGAAACATGGGTGAGAGTGCAGAGATTGGAGAAGGGTTTATGTGGGAAGAGTAGGCCTGTGTTTTTTAGAGGGGTTGCTACTGTTGTTACTAAATTGTTTAACATTGTGGAGCCTGATTTTGCTGTGTTTGGAAAGAAGGATTACCAGCAGTGGAGAATCATTCAGCGAATGGTGAGAATTGAAATTTTTTTTCTTGATCTATTGAATTGTTTGGTTTTAATAGAATTATTGTTTTGTAAGGTGTTGTTAAGACATCGTAACGAGATTATAATTCGTTGAATTTCCAGACAAGCTAATGTAGGTGCTCATAGTTTAGCTAGAGCATCCTACCAATATGCTAGTCTTGTTGAATGAGACAATGTTTCATCTTCTTTGTATTCTCATTATCACTGTTAATGAAGTTTTGTTTTTTTAAAAAAAAAGAATGAAAAATTGGAAAATGCTTCAATATTTGGAAAATGTTAAATTTTTTTAAGTTATTGTTTAATTCCCTCTCGCAGAGTTCTCATATGCCTGAGTAGGCAACAGGATTTTATTGTTCAATTTTTTGGGTTAAACCCAGAAAGAATTGTGTATACTTCAAAACTTATTTATTTATTTATCTATTTTTTTGCCCAATTTGTTGTGCAATCCTAGTGCATGGCTTTGTGTCTTATGTTTATACGTTCTACATTTTTCTTATGCATAGAAATCTAACTGAATCTTAAAAATCTTGTCTGAAAGTTATAGTGAAGTTGAAATGAATTGCTAATTTTAGGGACATGTTCTGTTTTCTGTTTCACCTTATAAGTTTCAGACTATTGGTTTTGGTTTTAACCTCAAAACAGTTAACAAATCCTTCTCTTTCGGTTTGTAGTCTTGCTGAGTTCACACTTAGGTGTCCTTGGATTTATGGACGCATTAATTGATTGGTTTATTCTCTGGTTGAATTGCTGCAGGTTCGAGATCTTGATTTTTGCATAAAAATAATCGGTTCTGAAGTAATTCGGGACAGTGATGGTCTTGCAATGAGTTCACGCAATGTGCATCTTTCTGCTGAAGAGAGAGAAAAGGTTATCTCAATAATCCATGGAACTGTAAATTTCAATTTCAATAGAAATTACTGCTACTTGCTATATAGAGTTTCACCACCTGCTGGAGAATTCTTCAGTTCCTGTTTCTTTGCTTATACTGTATGATAAGAAAATGCTTGCCAAAGTACTTTTCTTTTGAGAAAATTGTTGAAAATCCATTTCCTAGTATATTTCCCTATAGATGAAATTTTAATTTCTTATACATTCTGCAGGCCTTGTCAATAAACAGGTCACTTTTTAAAGCTAAATCACATGCAGAAAATGGCATAATAAATTGTAGAGAATTAAGAGATTTGGTTGTCCAAGGAATAAATGAAGCTGGAGGAAAAATTGATTATGCAGAGGTAAGGCATGTCTTCCTTCTCTGACTGAGTACCTTTTTTTGGACGAATTTATTTTGTATCTTGGTAAATAGTGATTTTTTCTAGTAAAGGCAACTGGATATCCTGCTATTTGGTTTGGCATTTATTTGCAAGTTTGATCCACTGCCCTGAACCTAGATTTCAAGTTTGCCTTCTGCTGCTATTGAGTGGTTCATGTGTTTTTCCTGGTGATTCTTTGAAAGTTTCATATTTGCTTGCAAAATTTCTTTTTTGGGTACATCGAAGATTTTTAGAAGGGAGAACTTTCATGTATTAACACCAGACTTCATGCACTATGAAACAATTACTCTTTCTCCTAAGGTTCTGGTCCAATGACCTAGTAGATATGTTTGAATGTTTCTTGTTGTGCTACAGGAAATAGGTTATAATTATGTTGAAGAAGTTGAACATTCTGTTTGTGCAAAGAGGACATTTAATAGGACTGAAATTACCAATTGTGAATTGGTGTTTTAACTTCATCACTTTAAAGTCGGTGTTTTCCCTAGTTTTTGGCTCCTTGTTGCGTAATATCACAAGAGTTCATTTCAGTAAAAGCATGAATGATCTTCGTTCATATTCTGTTATTGTCTCCTAATGGTCCTTGGTAATTTTAGATCAAAATAATCTTATGTTTTGTAATTGTTGTACATTTAGAAGCAAAACAAAAAAAGATCGTGGAACTTAAGTGAAAGAATTCCACCATGCTAATATATGCATTTACTTTAGGATTTTTATTTTTATTTATTTATTTATTTATTTATTTTTTGCCAGATTGTAGATCAGGAAAGTTTGGAGACCGTGGAAGAGATAAAAAGCCCAGTTGTATTCTGTGTTGCCGCCTGGTTCGGGAAAGTCAGGCTAATAGATAATATTGAAATCAACGCATGAACGAAGATATTTACGATACGCAGATTATTTTAGATTTTAATCTATTAGATTCTTTAATAAAAGAAATCTCAAGTAATTTTCTTCTTGTTGGTTGTATACTTGCATAAATATTTTAGTCTTTCAAGTTCTTTTTTCAATATTTATGGTAATGCCAATGAAATCCCTTATTTTAACGAATGAGGATTCTTAAAAATATTTGTCTACAAAAAACATTGAAATTTATAGATAGATATTCAAACCTAACTTCAGAAAGAAATGTATTTATGAGCCATCAATTTTGACAAATTTCATAGATATTGTGAATATTTGCCTACCGTATGTACTCGTTCACACCTTCAAACCCCATTTAATTATCATTTAAAAAAATCTGCTCTAATTCAGTCTCATTGTTTTGTTATTAAAAACTTTCCCAGAATTTGAAGTGAGACAAGCTTTTATATTGCTTTTTGATAGGGGGTCTGCAAATTAAAAACAAAAGTAACCCAAGTTCAAATCGACTTCATTGTTCATTGCTCTAAGTTCTAAGTAACCATCATAGTAGAAGATCGCATTCACCTCAAACAAGAAATAACTAATCTGCCATGCCCGCTAATTTCTTGAACTCTATTGAACTATGATATTCATAAATCAAAACATGAGCGCAACAAAATCATAACAAGGAATGACAAACTTCAACACATGGAGAAACTAGTGTCAAAAGAATTCAAAAACACAAACTATACAAGCATTGTCTTCCGATATCGACTATAGCAAAAAGTGGTAACCCAAAAAAGTATAGGCGAAACTAACACTTGAAGCCATGGCAAACAGACAAGACTATGATGAGAATCAATGCAATCAGAATACCCAGCACTATCAGCTTAATCTTCATGTTCTGCAACCACATCTTCCTCCTCATCTTGGTTCCTTGCTGTCTGAAGTCTTGTGCCTGCAACAACAGATAATGCACACACACACACACTCACTGGTCAATAGCAACAAAGGCATACCAACGACAAAAACAATTGACACAGCAATAAACTTACAATTCATAAATAACACAGGTGCTATTTATCTTTCAGGGAGAGTCACTACTTTTCCCTTTCCTTTAGAGAGAAATCTATGTGAGATGCATAAGGAATTAATGTTAAACAGCTAAATTCTTTAACCCAGACTACCTTCTATGCCTTGACGCCAATACTTAAGTTTTACAAATGAGATGTGGGAGTTGCTTAATGTGCCGTATTCATTTTCAATTTTGCTCAGAAACAGCCTAATTTTGAGGAAAGCCAAATGACATTCACCCACTTACCTGAGAGCGAAGATTTTCAGTTTTGTCAACCAGAAGCTCAATTTTCTCTCCACGGTCAAGAACCTGCAGAAGAAACTTTATAATCAACAACATAGTTCCAATTTCTCAAACTTCTTTTAATTCATGGCTGATGTACTAACATACAATAGGAACCTTCTTTCTCAAGACAAAAATGTGGTCATGTTTAGGAATTATACAATGGTATCATTGTTTTGTGGTTGTGTTTAGGAGTTATACAAAGTGGCAAAAGTGGCTTACCTTCTCTATGTTTTCCATCATGACTCCTTTGACTTCTGAAACCTGAGCTTTCACTTTAGCAAGCTTGCTGACCTCCTCAGGGTGATCCACACAGTACTGCATATGCTCCTTCAATTTGGGCCTATCACAATTAAGAACTTTCTGGAATCAATATAATTACAGAGAAGGCATGCCATATGTTCATGTGCTAATAAATGAAAGCAGTTACCCAAATTCCTTGTTCAGGCCATTAGCAACTGCTGTTGCAGCTTTTCCTCCAGCATATTTCTTGGTAAAATCTTCCTTGATTCGCTCAAGGAATGCGATTGGAACCTGCCGTCCAACAGACTCGACAGCAACTACACAATAAGCTGCAAAATTTACAAGGCCCAGTTAGTTCAACTTAGAAATATGACAACATCCAAATAGGAGATTACATAGGACAAGATTATCCAAGCTCGGACTTTCCAATTTGAATAGTTGATCAAATATGTAACTTTTCTATTATTATTGTAAATAATTTTGTGGTTATCTCAGACTTAAACAGATATAACATATGAAAATAGTAATTTGTCAGTTGCCCCCTTCCAAAATATACTCCTGTTCATGTACAAAATTCTAAGTTAGCACTCTCTCTCTCTCTCTCTCAGAGCATGTTTGTGTATGTATTTCTCTCTCTTACACACGTGCACACATATGTCACATGTTAATTAAGAGAATACTCTGGAGGAAACTAATGAAAATATGTAACCAGTATACAAAGCCAAAAATGTCATAAATTTCTTGGTGAAATTTGGGTATCAACTCATAAATAAAATAAGAGATAGTATTATCTAAAGCTTTTGGTACTGCAAATTTTTAATCACAGATGCACCTGCAGTTTTCCCAAAGTAAAAACCTAGTTTTAAGAGTACCCCAATGGTATTTGAACTTTTCATTGTCAGTCCATATTTGGCACTGAAGTTGAAACAGATAATCAGAAAAGCATTATTTTAGAAATTGGAAAAAGCATTTTGGGAGTATTATTCAACTGGTGTGAAACATTATAATTAGAACATGTCGAAGTAGTACACACCTCAAAAACGAAAGTTAAGGACCTCTAGTCAATATTTCCGCAAGGATTTTCTCAACGGTAGTTCAAACAGCAATACCAAACATATCGTTATGCCAGTGCAAAGTGGTTGAAAAATTTTACCAAATGCAGCAAATTATTATAACTGTATGAAAAAGAAATAGAACTATCCCATGGATTGATACCACATTGAAATCAGAGTGTCAACTCATGCAAATCCTTGTTCTCATTAATTGCTCCTTAAAGCATTGAGATGAAATGTAGATTAAGATTCGGTTTAGTAATATAAATTTCTTTCCTTTTTGTAAGCACCCATTTTAAGAGTTTTTAAAACCAAATCACAGTTATTTAGGAACCTATTAAGGAAACATAAATCTTAGTCACCAGATAAAATGGTGATCATCTCTTTTATTAAAAGAACAATTAAGACTGATTCAACAAATGCTGGAAAACAATGACTATAACTGTTAAGACTAACTACTAACCAAATTTAGTTCCATAGTCTATGATACTGTCACTGTCATGGTCTTCCTTCCATCTTCATATTTCCAGCAACCAATTAAATAATTAAGTTTAGCAATCAATCTAAACTAAATATAGTAAAGTGGTTACAGATTCTTCCCATTTTTTTTTTCACTTACAAGGTAAAGGCAAAATCATATACCGTGTTTATTAAGAAAATAATCAGATTGGTCCAGTTACATATTTCCTTCCAATTTTATCATTCTTATTCAAACAGAAACAACAAAAGCAGTAATTACAACTCATATACCATTATCTTAAGTCTTAACAGAAGATTATCAAATAAACACCGTAATCCTGGAGCAATCTATTGATCTGATTATCTTTCACTCAGCAAAACATTAATCATATGCGGAATATGTCTGTATACGCCCTTCATATAGTAATGATAGGATCATAAAATTCAAATCAGAACCAAATATTCTTTGATTGTACGGAACTAAATCGCAAAAACAACCAGTAACAGCACTATTTTTATGCTACAATAATCACATCCCTGAAAATCCTTAACTTAATCAATTGTCAACTAAAAACAGAGTCAGACGCGCAGATCAAAGCATAGGAAAAGAGATTAGAAAGAAACAAACAGTCAATGATAAAGAAAACACAGATCAGATCATAGAAAGAGCTAAAAGATACGAATCAGAATCATATAGAAAGAAAGAAAGGGAGATACTAAATCCGTTGTCAACGAGGTAGTTGAAGGTGTGGCCATCGCAATTGTAGGTGAACTTATTGTTGGTGGCTGGAAGTTTCTGGAGACACTGAGCGGCTATGCTAGTGAAGTTTCCGGTGAACTCCGTAAACTCGGCCAAAATCACCGTCCCTCTCGCCACGAAGCTGTAGATCAACGATTGCTGCCCCATCTACACTGCACTAACACAAAAAATAAACCCTAAACCTAGAAACAGAGATAGATTCAGAAAGAGAGAAAGGAGTGATGAGCTTTTTGTTGTTGTTGCAGAGTAGAAATGAATCAAAGAAATGAGTGATTTTATCGTTAGAAATAGAGAGAGTTTCCTTTTCGCTTAGATGGGAGGCAAGGTAGCGTGGCGTAGCGTTGTCTATGAGTTGTTTGGCTACCCTCCAATTTCATAGGTAATAACGGAAATGCCACGCAGTTTGGATTTGAAAATTTTCAAGATTTCATATTTGGATTTAATCTAAGGCGGTGTTTTTGTTCCCATTCCTTGTTCTAGAAGAGAAGACCGTAACGCATTTTTCTGGTCCTATTGTGTTTGAACAAGTTACCTTAATTTTCCCAAAATAAATATAATTAATTATCAATTATCAATCTTCTGATTGTATATGGTTTGTAAAATTAAAATGTAAGAGATTATTTACCACTGTCAAAATTTTATATTGTTTGATTGCAATTTTGTAGTTTATTTTATATAATTGATTAGTTACGTGGATTAGTAATTTTGCATACGTGTTTCTTATTATATGATCACTGATGTTATGATTAGTTTTCGTGGACATTAAAATTTTATTTAAAGTAAATAAGATTTAAATTCGAGATCTCTCATTTTTTATTTTTTTTATTAAAAGTAAGAAAACTCTAATCATATTGATAAAACATAAAAATTGGCAACTCGCCAAAAAAACGTGCTTCGTCTGATGGCTATTATGAGCAACAAAAATCAACTTTTCTTTCTTTGAACAAGTCGCATTGCTTGAATATTAGTAAAACATTCAAAATAAAAAATTTAAACTACATACTTGAAAAAAGGTCCAAGAGAAACATAATAATTCTAGGAACGAAAAATCATTCAATCCCATTAAAAAAACAACAACACTCGTATAAAGAAAATAATAAATAAATCAAAATAATATTTGAAAATATATAAGGTTTGTTCAAGAATATTTCTATTAGGTGTTAGTTATTAGTTTTTTTTTTTTTTAGCCGGTAGTTGTTTATGTATCAATTAAATTAGAAATATTTGGTGAAAATAACTATTTAATTAGATGTTTAACTTAAAATGATAAAAAAATATTAATTATTTAATTAGCTGAATTTGAAGAGAAAAAATGGATATAATTGTCAAAAAAAAAATTAAAAGCTAAATGTTAGAGTGTTTATCGTTTTATAAAGACCTACGTTCATTAAACGCATAGAGTTTTGATGTGGTCAAAATCCTGATAGCTAGCTAAAAAAGTGTTGTAGATAGTGTGTTTATTGAATAAAAAAAAAACTAAATAAAATAAAATAAAGGAACTAGAAAAGAAACATGAAGTGATGCTTCTCATATTAACTAATATTGTTTTTTAGAAACTTTTATTCACCAAATTAAATAACCTGTACAATGAAATTCTTTATAATCTCAATCTCATACAAGATTCAAACCTAAAGATCTCTTGAAAGAAAACTCAAATCTTTGCCTTTAGAGCATTTAATCATATTAAATGCACAACTTAAGTTCAATTATTATTAGAAACTGAATTGAAGTATTAACAACATAGAGTTAGTTCAATTAATTATTTAATTAAACTTTATCATCTCACATTCCACAAAGAACATGTCTTTATAAAAAGATTTCCACTTATCTAAAGAAACATTAGTGGTTGAAGAAGCAATTTTTAAATTTGAGAATCTCAAGTGGATATGTTTATTGAAACATTAGTATATGTATTTGATAATTGTGATTAAACTTAAGTAAATAAACATAATTGCACATTAGGTATACCAAATAATAAATTCAAAATGCTTGTGTTGGCAATTAGTGCCCAAAGATAACTATTGATTAACTAATTTAGTGCCTAATAATAGAAATAACACTTAAGACCTCAGTGACAGCTGTTGTTCTTCTTCAATTAACTAGCATCTGGTTAGTTAAAAAGCCTGTCAAAACTCAAGAATCTCCTCCCTTAAGGAACGTTGATGTTACTTCTCCAGATGAAACAAATAAGTAATATTTAATAATAATTATTATTATTATTATTATTTCCTAGGGAATTTCAGTTTCATTAATATATAAATGTATTATTATATAGTACTTCTAACTAAGTTGACAGCTAATTGTATTGCATAAGATAGATTAACATAAACTAGATTAGTAGACTACAAGAAAACTATTAATTAAATATTTGTTTATATATTTTTAATTTTGAAAATATACTTAGTATTTAATTTTGAAAATAAATTATATATAATATTCAGCTGTATTTATAATATAAATGAACTAAATTAGTAAATAATTCTTAGCTTAAAAGGTAAGGATGATGTTTTGAGATCCAAAGATAAGAATTGAACCTATGAACTTTAAATCTCAAGACATCACCCTTGCCAGTTAGGCTGAAAATCATTTGTGAAAAGTGTTATTAATTAATTGCTTATCCTTAATTTTCAATTTAAAAGTTATCTTCAGTATGGAGTATGCTACTGTTACGAAATAATATTCGCTAATTTTGTTTTCTCTGGATGATGATAGTTTTTTATGTGTGGTTTGTGGAGAGAGGAAGGTAAGGTCTGGTAGAGATAAAGAAGAAGACGCCATGAATGGAGATTGTGTTAGACTAACAGAAGGTGATCAAATCTAAACCCTAATTTCCATGGTTTCCTAGAGAGAGAGAGTGTGTTTAGGGAGAGGAGGAAAGTAAAAGAAGAAGATAGAGAAATTTGATTGAAGTTATAAATATAATAATTTATAATTATAATATAAATTCTACATATAAATAAAAAATTTATGAACTACATAGTTTTGAAAATAAGATGATAGAAATTCAAAAGGATAATAGGTTGGAGATGCTTGATTTTTCTCATAGGAAGGTTCATGTGTAGGTTGCATTGGACACTGGTGTGGTCAACCAATGCCAAGGATTTGTCGTCTGGGACATTTTCAAAAATTATTTCAAAAATGTCAAAATTAGTGAACTATTATTTTTTAAAAAGTAATTTCAATCTAGTTACCAAATAGAAAGGCTCTAACTATTACAATTTACAACTGATATTTTGATTTTTTAGATAATTTCCTCTACACAGTCTATTCTGACTTTGTGACGCTAGGCCCAATCACCCAGCCCAAGATATAGGTCCAATCCCAATGGTAATAGAGCTGGTACTAGCCCAAACCCGATACATGGATAATACCCGACCCACTTTCCCCTACACAGAACAAAAAAAAAAAAAAAAAAAAATTGTCAAAATTAGTGAACTATTATTTTTTAAAAACAGAATTTCAATCTAGTTACCAAAAGAAAGGCTGCTAACTATTACAATTTACAACTGATATTTTGATTTTTTAGATAATTCCTCTACACCAGTCTATTCTGACTTTGTGACGCTAGGCCCAATCACCCAGCCCCAAGATTATAAGGTCCAATCCCAATGTGTAATAGAGCTGGGTACTAGCCCAAACCCGAACAGGATTAGATACCCGACCCCACTTTCGCCCTTACACAGAACAAAAAAAAAAAAAAAAAAACAACCGATGCAGAGTACTTTTATAGCATGAATTGCAGACAAGTACAGAGAGAAAAACGCCGAGAGAATACACAGAAAAAAAAAAAAAAAAAAACGAACCGAGCAAGTACTTCTTATAGCATGGAATGCAGACAAGTACAGGAGAGAAAACGCCGAGAAAGTAACAGAAAGTGAGAGAAAATAAAACAAAGTTCGTTTTTCAATATGAGTGGGGTTTCGGCTTCCCCACCGTTGGTCGCCAGAATCTCTTCTATTCAATCCAATAATCAAAAGTATAGTTATAGCTGTTCACCTTCCTCAGTTAATCCCAGTTTCTCGTCCTTATCAGCTGTAAAGGTCAAAAAACAATCGGGGCTTAGATTTGACACGCCAGCGAAAGACTCCCATGTAAGAACTGTCCGATGCAATAGCGCCACCGGACGCGGTGGCCCCGGTTCCGGTACAATTACCAACGCATTTCTCTTTTATTTTTCTGAAATCTGGAATTTCTTTTGGAAAGTAAATATGAACAGAAACGTTTGATTTTTTTTTTCCTTTTTTTGGCTAGTGCCGAAAGAAATAAAAGATTCAATCTTTGGTTTAATTTTACTTATGGGTAATTCTTTTAATATTTGTGGCTTGACTAAAATGTTTAGTCGGATATTTTTGAGTTTTTAATAGTTTAACGAATATTAGGAATTATAAATCTGTGATGCAATTTCATTTTCTTTGCAAAAAGAGTGACTTGTACTTAATTTGTGCAGGTGATGATGAGAGCAAGAATATTTTGGATGCATTTTTCTTGGGAAAGGCTTTAGCAGAAGCAGTTAATGAGCGTATTGAATCTACAGTTGGAGAGTTTCTCAGTCTAATTGGCAGGCTACAAGCTGAGCAGCAGAGGCAAATACAGGATTTCCAGGTAGTGAAATTGATAAATTATCTAAATGTGAACCTGTAAAAACACTCATTTGTCGTAGGAGTATTCTTTTATGTTCTTGCTGTTGTTATTTGAAATACACCTTAATACTTTTTATACTGAGAAAATTGGTTGTCATTTTATTTGCAGTGGGAGATATTTCATATTTGATTGTGTTCATTTATTTTATCTTCAAATTAAGAAGGACTGGGCTAGAAATTGTTTGTTTCAGGATACCAACATTTGAAAAATATTGTTTTTTAGTTGTCTTGAATATGGAATGTTTCTTGTAACTCGCGAATCCCTTTTTTTATTGGTGTTGCTCAACGAACGTGAGATTACTTGCTGCCATGCTTAGGCTATGTTTGATACTTACCATCATGGAATGTAATGTAAATGCATTTAATTACGCATTAGATGGAATCTATTTATTAGATGCATTTAATTACGCATCAAATGAACTACTCATTAGATGGAATCTACGCAACTGATCATCGAGAGGTCTAGATGTCCACGTCGCATTGCTTTAGCTTACATTCATGCCTTATTGTGTGAATGTATTTATATTTGAGAAAGATGTCAAATTAACTTTCCTGAAAGCTGAAAGTGACTGAGTTTTTATTTGCCTGCTAACTACTATCACAAAATTTATGCAAATAAACTTAGGATTCATGGATTGAAGCTGAATGTAAATTCTTGAAACTGTTTGGCATTTGCCATCTTTCTTTGCAGGTAGATGTGTTGGAAAGGGCTAGAAAAGCTAAGGAAAATGCAGCACGAGAAGCCAGGGAGGCACAAGGACTCATTCCTAAAGTTGAAACAGCATCAGCTACATATGGTGTTGACTCAGCCACTTCGTCATCAACCAACAATTCAGTCACTCCCGCAAATTCACCGTCATCTCCAAATACATATGCTGCCTCTACTGCAGAGACAGGTCCAGACCCTGCTTTTGGGGTGTCCGATGATGAGTGAACATGCATCTTCATATTCTGTAAATTTAAGACATGGCTTATCCGTAGTTATTCACATGAATGAAAGAGAGAGAGAAAGAGAGAGAGAGTTGTATCTTTGTAATCTGAAATGAAATAATGTATTTTGATATTTAAACTTTCATGTGCTGAATTACCTTGAAGAATATTGTAATTACTTGAAGATTAATAATATGGAAGTTGGAGACTTGTTAACCTCACTCCATTTGATGCTAGAACCCAGAATGGACCAGTTTGGGTAGAAGGATGCTGGCGAGTGCCTTCTGGGGAGTGACTGCTAAAGTTATATCACAGTAACACATCTAACAAATTCTCCTTTCATAACTTAGTGGGTTCATTTACCTGTCTTCAGAATTTGAAGTATTGCAATTTGTGAGAATTGAATGCATTTTTCTATCTGGACAATTTATCTGCATATGATCACATCCACCCTGGTAGAAGAAATAATCTCATCTTTTGAATGCAAAAAACTTTTCATATTGACGAGCTGTTTCACGATTTAATTTCACAGTTTCAGCCTTAACTGTACATTATAGTTTCCGTTTAATTGCTAAAATATTTTCTGATTTAAGATAACAGATCTAGGATACAGAAAATGAGTATCAGTGACAAACGTTCAATTTCCCATTCTACAGATTAACATAGGTCAGCAAAAAAGTTTCATATTCTCTTCGCTTTCATTGGGTGATGGAGAGTCAAAAAGCAGTACTAAATGAAATCAACAGCTCTCTTCATTCTTAAAAAAATTTCCTTTGCAGGATTCAGATTTCAATATAATTGTTGCCGATCGTTTTTTAAGTCACTATATAACTCACGAGATTAACAATAATATAACTCGCTGTCAAACAATGAAAACAAAGCGTTTTGTTTTTTCTCATGGCTAAGCATCCCTTCATTCTTCATCAAACTTGACACCAGACAATGGCACCTCGCCAACAATTTGATTGTCATCTTCTTCCTCGCTAGCATCTTCAACATCCATGGCAGAATCTTTTTTCTTCACATAATCCACTTTGAAATCATAGTCATCATCCATTGCATCAACCTTGGCTGCTTTTTTCCTTCGTTTCTTCTCTGCTCGTTTCATTTTTGTATTCAGCATGCCTTCTGCTGCATATAACTTCTCATTTTGCTTGCTAGTTGTAGATTTTGTCTTGGTTTTGTTTGCATCATCTTCTTCAAGACCCATTGGTTGGTCTTCACCATCATTCATTTCTTCAGAGTTTTCATCACCCTGGGTTGATGACCGAGTCTCCATATCTCCCTGATGAGGCAAAAAGTAATTAGGGAAAATATAGTGAAAGAATGAAATCATTACCAATGAAGGTTGTTTCCAAACTAATTTTAAGATGAAGAGGAATGCAAGTGCAATTTCTCATACCTGTATCATACTTTCATCAAAATTGATAGGACAACTAGGAGGTACTTCAACAGGATTGTAGTCATTAACGGACTTGAGACTACCAATAAATGAGGATTCACCACTGTAGACCTCATCAACATTAAATTCCTTCCCAAGCTCTGAAACAATCCTAGCTTCTGAAGGTTCCTCTCGATTCCTAATTGGAGGCATAGTATAATACGGGATTTTACCTGAAATATGTCAAATAAATCATGTTTTTTCAAATCAGAACTGAATTTCTCTTTGTTTTACAAATTACCTCACATGTTATTTTAATTTTTTAGTCTCTATTTGTGCATTAAAATAAGATGGCAGAGAGAACTGTAGAAGTTCCCAGAAAGCATACCCTCATTCCAATCATGCAGAACAATTCGAGCAGCAGCTTCAACATCCACAATACCACCCTTTTTGAGCCTACCCCTGACAGTAGCCACTTTCTGCAGAAAATCATCAACTGATTCAAAGTTTGGTATCTTGTACAGAGTTACCAACAGTCTTGCTGGGCACAGGTTGAGAATTTCTTTCACTGTATTGTCCAGAAAAAGCAAGCATTAATATGGTAATCATAATATAAAAGGTAGGGTTGACAAAACCTTAGAACATATTCGGTAGAATTTGGCCCAGACATAACAAATTTTATCATTAATTAATTTATTTATTTATTCAAACAGAAAGCCAATATAATTTCTGGTGGTAAAAGAAGCCAGTAAACGGCGAATCAGGTATATCGGTAAGCATATCAGAAATGAAAAACAGATGACCATTTACACTACTTCCCACCCAATCAAACTTTCTGTAATTTTACTTATCAAAAGGGAGAAGATCTTGTTTTCGCCTAAAAAACAGAGTTATTGGTCTAAAATGGAGGGACATGTTTAGGAAAATCGTTAACTTACCAGGGCTAACTGGATCATCTAGCTTCTCAATTCTTTTGCAGTTACGAAGAGCTATAGATGCATCATTCTCCTTAGACTTTAGCAATACAACACCAGGGCAATCCAACAATTTAACATTCTTGTCTAGCTGAACTTCTTGCATTGATCTTGTTAGCCCAGGAGTAGCACCAACATTGACAACGTGACATCTCTTCAAGCTGTTAATCAGACTACTCTTACCAACATTAGGCAAGCCGATTACACCAACTGTAATAGATTTTTTAATCTGCCAAAACCAAGGATGCAAAAGAGTACCACTTAAGAGGCATGAAAAAAAAAAAAAAAAAAAAAATTACACCAACTGTAATAGATTTTTTTTAATCTGCCAAAACCAAGATGCAAAAGAGTACCACTTAAGAGGCAATGAAAAAAAAAAAAAAAAAAAAAGAAAGACATAACAAATAAATAACCCCCAAGTGTATAGCAACCCCATCCATAGCGTCACAGCTTTAATATAAAAATGCTTAAAACAGTGGAAATTCCGTAATTAACGGAAGACTTCAAGCAAATATAACACAGGACTTCAACCTATTTCCCTCGCCTCAAAAAAAAAAAAGAAAAAAAAAAAAAAAAAAGAAATTAGAATAGCAAAAAAAAAAAAAAAAAAAAAAAAAAAAAGAAATAGAATAGCTTAACATACATCATGACTTCTTGAGTAATTTTTCAGCAATTTAATGAGGGTTTCAGCTCCAAGACAATCACTCGTTTGCAGAAGATTGCTGGTCTTTGCTGCTTTTTTGGAAGACTTCCAACCTAAGTTTGACCTCTGCTCTTGGGTACTACACTTGAAGGCAACAGCAGGCAATTCTTCTCTGAGATACTTTAGCCATTTTTCAACAGCTTCTCGAGGAACAAGATCTTCAGAACAATAATAAAGTCAGAAAACAAGATACTACAACCAAGAACTAATGAAGCATTCCATAACATACCCAAACGATGTAAACATTTAAGCAGCAACATGAAAATATAATGAAATCCAATAGAAATAAGGAAGGATGAATAAGGAAGAGAGATTACCAATTTTATTCAGAAGTAACACCAGATGCTTATCATGACCAGATTTCATCACCATATTTTCCATATCAACACAACGGGTACCAAGAGGATCTCGGGCATCAAGGACTTCCAATATGACATCCGATTCTTCAATGACTTTAACCAACTCTTTGTAGAATGCCCTATCTGAATTATCTGTATGAAAATAAAATATTCAAGTGAATATTAGAATGAAATGGATATATCATCCTTAAAACTTTCCACTCACACATGTTCCAACTAAGTATTATCATACCCCGATTTCTGGCAATTCCACCGAAATCTCCATTGCTATTTTGCTCTTCAAAATTTTTTTCTTTTGCAGAAGAATCATCATCCTCGAGTAAACCCAACTTCCTCTTTTGAGCCTAAAAAAGTATGTGAAGATCTACTATCAATATGCCACCAAACATATAGGAAAACAACATCAATCTATAGCAGCTATACAACATAAAATGTTAAAGAAAATAGAAATCGACCTAAAAATAAATGCAAAGTGACCTATCTAAATAAACACTTTCATGTTTAAATGAAACCAATTTCCTTCTTAAAAACTATAGCATTGTGGCGAACCACTCAAAAACACGCAAAGGTTGCTTTTTTAATAATGAGCTATGAGGAAAGGTCACAGAGACAAAAACCAATAACTACACAAAATAATTGGTCATAACAAGCAACAGAGAGGATTAAGCAAATTGAATCAATACCCTCTCTTTGCGAGCAGCTTTCTTTTGCTCTAGTTCCTCAAGAGCACGGGCCCGGCGAGCTTCAAGAGCCTTTAGCTCTTGTTCCTTGAAGGGCCAGTCATTAGGAATACCAGGATCCTTCTCGACCTTGCGTTTATTCTTCAACCCTAGTTTCTTTGCTTCCTTGGCCTTTTTTTTGTGATGCTCCTTGACCTTCCTCAAAACCTTATACTTCTGCTTCAACGTCACTCTCTTACTCTTACTCTCTGCATATCGTAAAAGCACCACAAACAATAAGTCACAAAGCCAGCAAACTCAATATCCAATAAATAGAATTTCAATTAGAGAAATGTTTCTGCTCACTTTTGCTCTTCTTCACCATATTTGCTAGTTATTCTTCCTGAAATTATAAGTCATGCAATAAGACCATAAATTCAATAGAAAACTGAGAAGAATAAGGGGAAGTTAGCAGGAAAATTACCTGGAAAAGGCTTGTGCTAGGGTCTAACTTTAACAGCGAAGAATGGAAAAGGGAGACTGGACTAATGGCTACTAGGGTTTTTGATAAGGGACAAGATAGTCGAGTCGAGCCAGATCGTATTGGTCATGTTATGAGTTTGAATGGTCCGATTAATTAAATGGGCCGATGCATGCAAGCCCAAGTTAAAAAAAATGTCAAAATAATTTATGGGGTGAGAGAGGCTCGAACTCTCGACCTCAGGATTCCTCTAAGCTATGAGACCTACGCGCTAGCCAACTGCGCCACCACCCCAGATGTTTGAAAAATGAATTTTAAAAACTATATTATTGTAATTATGTCACATTATCTCCCGTACATAAGACAAGCATATTTTCTTCATTTTGACATATGACACGTGTTCTTTTTACAAGCCTCTTTTTAACACTTAAAAACTTTTATTTGACAATTCTTATCTTACATTTATATTAATTAATTCTCATAAAATATGTATCCTAAGAAAATAAAATAACTATCTCTATCATAATATTGATTATCATTAATTATTTTTAATCTTTATTATCATTTAAAATAAAAGGTTTAATATCATAATTATAATTTAACTGTATTTGTTAAATTAAATTGAAATATTACAAGTTTAAAATATATTTATCTGCAAATGAATTTTATAAATATTAAAAATGATTTTACTAAAAAAATGAAAATATTGAGTTATATTTCATTCCGAAACAAAAAGTCATTATATTTTAAAAAATTATAGTTTCTCAAAAGTTTATATATGTATTTAGCGTATAAGTGTACTTATTTAACATTTGCTTCTTTAAATATGATTGATAACAATTTTATAAAATGTAATTAAATTTAATTAAATTTTATGCTTTATATATTTAGTGGGAAAAGAAATTTATAATTCAATTTTAAGAATTGAATTATATTAAATTGTTTATAATTAAAGTCAAATTTATTAAGTTTTGATGAAATTTGAAACAAATGCATTAATTTTTTTTTAAACTGAAATTCTCATTTTCATCTTCTTCATTATAAACTACAATTAATTTAATATTATTTACTATTATCATGTATAGCTGATTAAATTAAATGTTTTTTATTTTTGTGTTGACTTTTTAATATTATATATTTACTAATATATTGTTCTACTCAACTCTTATATCGCGAATTTATTATATTTATTAATATATCGTGAGTTTATATATGCGAATTTATTAAATTATAATATATCCGTGAGTTTATTTTATTTATTTAATTAATTTTTTATAAAACATTAATTAAAAATATATATTATAATTATATATATATATTAATTATTATTAAATTTTAAACTATTAATTATTATAAATTTAAACTATTAGGTATAATTATTTTTCAATTTTATTACTGAGAGTAATTTAACAAGTGATATTAAATAAATTTCAATTGTGGAATTATACAGTTGAATTCCGCATTTAAATTGTGTCCATATAAATAAATAAAATTATTTCTAAATTAATCTTAGCTAGAATTGACTGTAAAGAATTGGACATATCCGAATCCGATTCATTTGATCCAAGTAGTACGTCAAACTAGGGCCGACTCTGCTGTCCCAGTGATAACGACGAGCTGTCGATCACAAAGTTCATCGACTCAAAAACCAGGTACGCTCAAATCCAATCCAAATCCCTATTCGACTCCATTTACAGCCACTTCTTTTATCAAAAACCTAACACTAACTTTACTCACTTTTAGCTTCTTTGATTTATCTTTACAATTCTGAATTGCCTTCCTTTAACGGTAACTGCATTTCCTACACATCCCAATCTTTTCACTGTAACTGTTACAATTGGCTGTGATTTGACCTTTAACGGACCTTGTTGTCAGTGCAGACATTGATTTGATGGCTGAAGTGTTCGATAGACAGGCAATGTGTTGAGTGGCAGGCAGGAAGTTATTGTTTAGCAATGGCAGAATATATAGCTTCCACTCCATGTGTCAAGCTGCATTTATGGACAAGCTGTGTCAAAGAGAAGGGCTATTTAATCCGGAATTCACATTTTAAGACGCCACAGAGGTATCCTCTTCCTTACCTTGTAATCCTTATGGGATTTTTATTTTTGATTGACTTGAAAATGTGATTGTATATGTCAACGCTCAGAGTTGTTTGCTGCGTTTATTAGTTTTGATTTTATCAGTAGCCGTTACCTGAAGGACATTATGTAGGGCTGGCATTTTGATGGGGAAATTAAAAATTAATCAAATTTCATATTTTATCTGCATCGTGAACCTCAATTTTGTATTTTCTTTGAATCCCAATGATTACTAGACAGTGTCAAACTAACTCACACAGAAAGAAATAGGCAAGAAATGAGTTTGATATGAATGTTTTAAACGGATGAATTTGTTTGCCATCATATCATATCACTAATGAAATGTAAGTGTTAGCAATCATTATGCTTTAACACATTATGTTTTGGCTGCAGAAAGTATCCTCGTGGAAGTTGGAAAGTTCTCTGCCTCCATTCTCGGAAAACATATAGATCTGGACTCTCAAATTTTAAATCAAGTCCTTTTATCAGGGAATCTGCCTTGAGGTGTAGTTGCTTGGGATCCTTGGTGGACCCTGATGGTCTTACAGCTTCTGATTTGGTTTCTGTTAGTGATCAGTTGCTGCTGATAACCAGCATAGCCCTAACATATATGGCTGGAGTACTTCCTCTTAAGAGGCCCAATTTTACTTCATGGAGAATCTCATATGACAATGTGGTTGGTGAAACTGCAACATCTTCTGGTAGGTAAGGGTAAGAAGATCAAAAATTTATTTTAGCTCCAATATATATAGATTTCTGGTAGGGTAAGGGTAAAGAAGATCAAAAATTTTATTTTTAGCTCCATATATAATTAGTATATATATTATATATATATATATTTCTTTATGTCATTTGCTTTCTGAAAGATAAGAGTGCTATCTCTTTTATGTGTATATATTTCTTTATGTCATTTGCTTTCTGAAGATAAGAGTGCTATCTCTTTTATGTGTCTATGCTTTACTTTTTGTGTTTGATTAAGACATTTTTCTTTATTTGCAGTGCCAAAAATAATGATGACTGTGTTAATATAAAATGTGCCTGGGATGCAGTAAAGGAGAAACTTTTATATGCTCTCAATGCTGTAGAACACAAGAGCAATCTCGGAAACAGACTCCTTGAACTTGATCAAGAGAATGCAAAGAGGCCCTTAAGTTTGTATGCTGTATCTGAGGGGCCCAAGTTGCGATTGCTTTGGACTTCTTTTAAACATCTCGAGGATGAGGCAGGCACTGTCACTATTTTCTTCTTTCTTTCTTTTTTGGGATAAACCACCATCATCTTCTAATAATAGTTTGATAAATCCAAAGGTTCATGGAAATTACTTTGCCTAACTCTGTTAGCTTCGAGTCACTTTTCTGCATGAGCTCTCAAGGGCTTACAAGTTAAAAGATACAGTTGGGAAAGAAAACAAGTAGTTTATTGATTGAGTGAATCTTTTTGCAGTAGTTAAAACACAGGCAAGCAGTAGTTAAAGATACGGAATCAGCTGTTTTTTGGCTATTAAATCTTTTTGACAACAATCTTGCATGTTATAACCACATGCGAGATTACAAATTCATAGCTTTAGACTGAGATGAGTAGCATTGACCAACAGTTTTGTTGTTGTGCTTGCAAAACAGATATTTTTTTTTCTATTTTCTGGGCAAAAATTTTAGAGGAGCAATTTAAATAACCATTTCTAAAAACACTATATTTTTGAAGTATAGATCCTTATATTTATGTTTATATGTCATTTGATGCAAAAAAAGAGTTGTTTTGGTGACTATTTTCCCCATAATGACCAATTATTTTTAATTTATGAGGAGTTGTGTCTGTTCCTATCTTATAGGAAGCATCTATAAGAAGGACCCACCTAAAGTATGCTTTTTACTCTCATTCCTTAGCATAATTCAATGTCTGTGATAAGGGGAATTGTCTTGTGCAATGGTAAAAGTCTTGAGCTTACAACAAAGAGATTGTCGGTTTAAGGCCTGAGAGCAGCTATGTCATTCAAAAAATTTGAGAGCTTTGACTGTCTCTGGAATTTTGAAATTGGAATTAAGGCTTATTTAACTTCATGTCTGTCTCTGTAATCTATACCTGAAACCTAATTAATTAGTTAATGGCCTTTCCATTGAATGCCTATGACGAATTGATTTTCTTGTAGGAACTCAAAAAGTTCATGATTTAAATTTTGCACAGCTTTTAATAAAATGTTGTATAAGATGTCAGGCCAAACAATTATTTCATGAAAATTTTCTCTATTCACATTAGTTTTTCAAATGGGGGATATAAGATATTAGATCTGGACTGTTTGACATATCTAATGTATGCATTTTAATATCATTTTAGTAGTTTGTCAATTAAGGTTTCATAATTTTTGTTTGCAGGTGAATAATGTTTTAGGTGATTGCGAGGCTTTTACTTTGGATGATTGGTTGACTATTTTCCCTGAAACTATTCAAAAGGCTTTTGACTGCATATGCATGGCTTGGCTAGGGGAAGAACTTTGCCTTGAAAACAAGAAACTCGATGAGGTATCGAGTGGAAAAGCTTATATATATCTGTATGAGTTTTATTACACATTCCTTGCTTGTTTAGGTTAAATATCCTTTTTGTTTTTCCCTCTCTCTCTAGGCACTTTTCTCGTTGATGATTCAGAAATTAAAGGGAGATGAAGTTGTTTTACAGACCATAAGAAAGTCAGGCAAGGAAGATCTTTATGCAGAATTATTATACTTTCTTAGATTTGGGTTTCTCAGGTAATTTTAGTAATGGTTGTCTTGTTTTCTTTCTTCTTAACCACTCTAAGTTCTTGTGCAATCTGGGATCTCTTAGAATTGTACTGGTTCCCACCCTGACTGGCTGCTATGTCCGCGTTTGAAAACTACAGGCTTAAAATCCAGAGGTTTAGTGTGTTAAAATAAAAGTATAGGGGCTTGAATATCTCTTTTTAGTGTCCAGCAGCCTTCTGCATATTGTTCCTAATTTTACTTTATGTTACATTCTGTAATCAACCTAATCTTGATGCCACTGTTCACATTTCCTGTACTATCATTTCTATTTTGGCAGGAAGAGTTGTTGTTATGACCAGAGCTTGTTTTCTTTGCATGGAGATTCCATATTAGAAGATTTGGTAATAACTTTAGCAGATGGCGTTGCCAATGTTTATTTGGAGCTTATTTCTGTTGATGGTAATTTGTCAAATGAAATGAACAACCTGGGAATGACTATGTGTAATTTGTCAACCCGAGCAATCCAAAGATTGCGCAATGAGGTATAGTAGCTGTTCTCTATGTGCCTATATATAGACCTGGAATGAACTATGCGTTAGATTTGGGCAACACCGACAATCCAAAGATTGCGCAATGAAGGTATAGTAGCTGTTCTCTAAATGTGCCTATATATATATATAAATATATATATATATATATATATATCAAGATGTCAACCAGAATTATAATGGGAATATGGTATTCCTCTTTTTCCTGCATTTTATTGTCCTGAGCTTTATTTTTTTTTTAATTGCATTAAATTTCTGACCTGCTGAACCTGTATCTGTCATCCATATGGAACTTCAGTTTAAGTAATCAGTTAAGATGAAATTTTGTTTTTGCTCAGAAACATTTGCCTCTGTTTCTCCATTACATTTCAATTGGCACATAGTTATACAGGGAAAATTGTTGCTTTTAATATTAATAAATTAGTTAGCAGCCTGCAATGGTCACAATGTGAACTTTTAAAGCGAAACAGAAATGCACCTAGAATTCTCGTTTTGCTTGACCAACTAATCAATGAAAGAGAGAATTTTATTCATTCATATTAATATTTTTGGCAGCATATATTTTGTTGCATGTAGAGTTTGTTTTTTTTCTTACTTGATTCTTAAAGGAAAGATTTTTTGCAATATTCACACATTTTCCTTCATTTCTTGTACTCTTCCTCTTTTGGGGTCTGACACAAAAGATTGTTTTATTTATTTATTTTTGGGCGCCCATGGGGGCAGGGGACAGAGAAAAAGGGAGAGAGAGGGGGGGGGGGGGGGGGGGGGGGAGAGAGAGGGGGGGGGGGGGGGTGGGGGGGTCATTCTGTGGGGTGTTTGACAATGATTTTTCATTTTGCTAGAAGTTAAACATTGCTGTTTCAGTTTCATGTGTGGGATCATTCTCAGAAATGTGGAACTTCTGGCACAGACAGTTGAAATTACCAGAATTTTTTTGTTAACAGGTGGCTTTTGAATCAATGGTTAGTGGGGGGTTCTGGGGGTGTTGACAATATTCATTTCTAGAAGTTAAACATTGCTGTTCAGTTCATGTGTGATATTTCAGAATGTGGACTTCTGGCACAGACAGTTGAAATTCCAGAATTTTTTGTTAACAGGTGGCTTTGAATCAATGGTTGTATCAAAATATGGAGGCAGTTGTATCAATGTATGAGGATCGATTTGATCTGTGCACTCTACAGTCCAAAATCATTGAGGAACCAAACCTGAGTCAGGCTGAAAATCGTAGCTGGTGGAAGAAGCTTACTCGAAAAAAATCTGAAACAATTCCAGCTTCATTATATTATGTCATGATAAACCAGTTCTCCATGCCTGTAAAACGGACAAAAGAATTAAGGGCCTTGACAGGGTGGTAAGTCTTTAATACTTTGACTCTACTGGTTCCTTTTTTTTTTAATTTTTTTGCCTTGCACATGACATGAACTTTCTCATCAATTTAAAAATGTAATTGTGGAGTCTCAAGAAATAATTGTGAAATATAGTTGATATGTAGAAACTCCTACTCACATTTCATTTTCTCCACAAATTGTAAATGCGAGATAAAACAGTTAGAACAATCTCTCTGCTAATTGTTCAATTTGTTGTCCTATGGGGTCAAAACAGAAAGGTGGCTGGAGTAGAGTGTTCAGTTACAATATACTATTATTTTGGCCATATTTCTGGAATGTAAAGCTTTGTTGACAATAATAGTTGCAAGTATTTTTGGCTATGGGATAGATGGAATGAATGAAAATTTTTTGTTAATTTTGTAACGATACAAGGTTAATTTCTGGAGGTAATCCATAATTGTTAAGCTGAATCTCTGAATTTGATCGGGTGACAGCTGAACAATGATAATGCTAGTAGTATATAAGTTGGGGTTCCTGTTGGACATGAATTAGCATTGTTGGAGTAATACTTTTTGTATTTGGACTAATGCTCTTCACAAATAAGAGTTTATCCATTTGCAAAATAGAACATGAGGAGGAGTATATTTCTGAAACTATTTGCATTCTGTGACCTCATAAAGAGAGGCACCCAACTTCTTAGTTTCTTTTATTCTCTAAAGTGATGCACAAAAATGTACAGCCCCGACCTTAGCGCCCTTCTGTTTCTCTCCTCATCTCCCATTCTTTTTGTGTGATTTTACTCATCCTTCTCTGAGGTGTGGAGTGTGTTATTATTCAGTCATCTGCCAGGACCTTTTACTACCACCTAATCTTATTTTGCTGCATTCTTCAACTGCTATATGATTTTAAGTATTATAAGCAAAAATATTTTCTATTACCCTTTCTAAATTATCTTTAATTGTTTCTCAGGAGATACTATTTCAGTCTGTACCTTGAGTTATCTGATATTACCATGCCGCTGATTAGAGCTGTCATCGACAAAGTTAACAATGCCATCTCATTCTTTCTAGTTTCTTTGATTGGGAGGTCATTAGGGCTTATCTACACTGGAATTAGGCAGTCTCTGCGATGGAAGTGAGATTTCAAGGGTACATTTCTATTGTTTCCATTATAATTTTGCTTCTTGTTGTTTTCTTGCTTTATATAGCTACAACTGCATCAAGTAGCTACAGGAGGAATATGATTTTTAAACGGTCAGATTGCAATCTTCAATTTTGCCTGAGCTCTGAGTCTTTTTTCTGCTAAATTGTTTATAATAGATCTTAGTACACTCATCAGCTTGCTGTTAAATATTTGTTTTTGATATCACCAAAATTCATTCCAATTGAATCATATTTAAGTTCATGAGAATTATCTGAAATATTGAAATATTTGAATATAAATTTAGGTATGGCCTTGTAAAAGCAGTGAACATATTCCAGTTGGTGCTTTGGAACCATTTGATGCTGGGATGCTTTTTTTATTCTCTCTTATGTAGTTACTCGCAAATGGAAGTGGGGCAAGACTAGAATGAGATTTGAGTAGGCATTGGTGTTAAAGTAATGACATCCTTGTGGAGGCATAGAATTGCTTGAGAGATGATGAGAGAAATTTTAAATTATTTTCCACTGCATTTTTGTGATTGATTACATATGCATGTGCATGCTTTTGATTCTGATTTCTAGAACTAACAGGGGCATTGTATTTTTATAGCTTTCCCTCATGAATTATGCTATCCTTTGGTGATTATCCTGTGATGAGGTAATGATCAAAGATTAATTAGTCGAGTAATTCTCTCCATGTCTCATATCCCCTAAGTAGGTGGTATTTGTTTTGCATGACTGGTCATTTATTTAATGTTCATGAAGAAAATGGTGGGAACACGAAACCAAGAGAGAAAGTGACCGGCACACATGAATAAATCCTTTTCAAAAGATTGCAAAAGCAAAAGTATATTTCAGAAGATAATTCTTGTGCCCTACCATATTTACATGATTATCTCTTTTGAAGAGAAACTTCTTATTATACATTAATCAATTCATGGTGTCCACATCTTTTTGTAAAGCAAGGTTTCCCACTTTGAAATTGCCCCTTTTAACTACCCTAATTATAATAGGGAATGTTAATTGAAGATCATCAACCAAAGCTTGTATTTGCTCTGATGATTATCTAGCCCATGCTTTTCAATAATTATCATCTTCTTATAAAGTTTGAAGAACTTGGGGTCCCCACTAAGACCTCATTTAGTTCCAAGTATTGTCTAGCTCAGGCTTTCTTTTTAATTTTGAAAATTTTCCAGCTCGAGCTTCTTTTAAGAAAATTACTGTCTTATTGCAAAATTCATAGGAAATGTCTCTCTCTCTCTCTCTGTTTTTTATTTTTTATTTTCTAAGAAAAGTACAGGAGCTTAAGCTTTGAACTTATAACTTTGGCCAGGTATTATTCCTAGCCTCAAATGTAGACAAGGAGAAATTTGACATAAGAAAAGTGGAGAAAAGTCATATTTGAAAGGCTGAAGTGATGAAGCATCACTATCCAAACCAAAGAAAGATGAACAAAGGGTTCAAACTACAATGTTTTAATTAGGATTGCACATTTTTTTCACCATAAAAATGAAGCATTTTACCTTTTTACATGCTATCATTAGAAAATCATCATCCAATATGTGAGATATTATTATTATCATTGTGTGTGCTTGTGTTTTAGTGTTGGTGGACCATACTGTCCTTGTCCACTTCCATTCTTTATTTCATTTTTGGCTGATGAAAGGATACTTACATTGGATGTATTTTTCTTTTTTCTTTTTTTTTTGTATTTTTCTATTTTAAAAAATTTAACTCACAGCCCACAGACAGATTAAGGGCAGTAAAGTATGCATGCAACATATATTTCTCCATAATTCAACTTTTAATAACTTTTATGTTGTGCATCTTTTGACCAGTGCTTTTCAGTGTTACTCTACAATCTAACAAATATACACCTTTTGCTTTTTCTTTCTTCCATTCGCATTCTCCATATATATATATATATATACTCTTCCAACTTTTATATTATGAAGGCGAATTCCGTACCAACTGAAATTTGGATTCTTAATTTGCTGTTATATAGAGATTAACATTGAATTATAATTTATCTTTCAAAAAAAAAAAAAAAACATTGAATTATAATTTAATTTGAATACACTTTGCAAATATGAAGAAATAAAAGATGTCTATGTAAATAAGATTGTAATTAGTCAATCATATGTGGTCTGATTTGTATTTTCACTGATACGAGTAGGATGTTTCAGATTCGAGTCTTTTCGATTGTAAAATTTTTTATCAATTTTAATGAGTTAAAGGAGAAGACTACCTCTCAAGTAGGATGTCTATTATTCTGAATCGTTAAGCCTTTCAATGAATTAAAAAAAAAAAAAAAAAAACACTGATACGAGTAGGAAATGTTTCAGAAATTCGAGTCTTTTCGATTGTAAAAAATTTTTTATCAATTTATATGTTATGTTTAAAAGGAGAAGAGCTAACCTCTCAAGTAGGATGTCTATTATTCTGAATCGTTAAGCCTTTCAATGAAATTAAAAAAAAGAAAAAAAAAAGGAAGGTGGTTGTAAATTAACAAATAGCCTTATAATTAAGTAGAACAGAAAGAATAAAAATTAAACAAAAGGCATAAGGAAGATTCAGAGTTTAGAATATAATTGTTTTGAACCGTTATCAATCCAAGTTTGAAGGTTAGTATTCTTATTATTGAAGTAATTAATTAATCAGAATATTCACTATTCAAGATATAGTTTTAATGGTAAGTGCCATTATACTCACATGATAAAAAATCTAGGATCGAAGACTCTTTTCTACAACTCAAAAAAAAAAAAAAAAAAAAAATCAGGAACCATCAATAAATTAAAAAATAAAGAAGTTTGGGATATACTTTAATCACTTACCCATTACTTCAATTTTTTTTCACATAAAAAAATTAGGATTTCCATTTTGCTAATCAATTCAGAAGACACGACAAGTTTTATTTTTTTCTAATTAAAATTTGCTAAAAAAAAAAAAAAAAAAAAAATCAGGAACCATCAATAATTAAAAATAAAGAATTTGGGATATATTTAATCATTACCCATTACTTCAATTTTTTTTCACATAAAAAAATTAGGGATTCATTTTGCTAATCAAATTCAGAAGACAGACAAGTTTATTTTTTCTAATAAAATTTGCTTTGATTGCTCACATGCCCCATTCTAAGAAATACACTCTCTCTTTAAATTAAGTCCAATGTGAAATAACAAAGAAAATAGCCTTTTGATCTTTTTTACTTTAAGCCACCCAATGCTTTTCTTGTTCTAGAGTCATTTTCTATTGTGTCACTATTGATTCTCACATTATATTCCATATATATAGATTTTAATATTTCAGTCTTTTGCACTTAAATGGTTAGAGCTCAAAGGACTCATCAAATTCCAATTTTAGAATAAAATGTGAAAATTTTTATTTATGGAAGGTAAGAGCGACCCACCCACCTAATAACAAATAAGGTCACTTTCTTCTCTTTTGACCTAAAATATTTTTCACTTGAAATAATGAATTTATAACATAGGTAATTAATGATTAATTTCTAAAGGAGTATATATAAATGTACCTTGTAGTGGGTCAAGAAAGCCAAGCAAGTCTAGCTTTGAGGAAATCCAGAGAGCAGAAACCATGTTCAAGAATCCTGTTTTATGTCAGCTCATGTTTAAAGACTGAGATGAGCCTATTTTGGGTCCCAATGGCAATATCTAGAACTGAAAGGCAAACAAAATTTGATTTTTTTTAAAAAAAAAAAACAAAAATTTGATTAAAATCAATATATAAGTAGATAAATATGTTCTGACATACCTTGATGTCACCCATTATGCATCTGATATAAAATGACCCTACAATCTGGTTCTTGTGTTATGTTGAGTTTAGCTTCATTGAAAAATTTGAGAAAATTTCTCTGCAATTAATTTGAGATCTACCTTTTGCCAATGCCATAGTGGGAAATGAAGACTCAAAGAGTTAGTGATATTTTTAAATAGCTTTTAGAATTTTGACCGATCAAAATACTAAACGTTATTTTTTATAATATTTAGTAATATAATATATGAACTAGTTTTTAAAAGTTAAAATAGTGTTTTATAAACGTTCAGTTTTTAACATTTTATGACAAACTACTCAAATAAAAACTAACAAATATCAAAATAATCAATTTTACCGAACAGACCCTAAAAGGGTATGATTAATATATCTTGGCATACTTAAAATCGAATAAAATTGGAGCATATTAGAGGTATAAATTCCTAATTCAATTTATAAATTCTATCCAAACTCACTTAACTTAGAGTTATTTAATATTTACATCAAATAAATATAAAATAAAAAATTATTTTATCCAATCTAAATGTCATTCATGAACCAAAATAGTTTAATTTGCACATTCGACATTGATGGAAGTGGAAAAAGAATACGAATTTTAAACATACAGAGACTAAATTTAAAAGCCAAAGTTGTATGCTTTATAAAGTGATTCCTTAACAAAACTTACATGGTGGCACAGAAAGCAATCAAAGGAGGCAAAAAGTATCATTTTAATTTTTTCTATTTTGACATTTTTTTATTGGTTGCAAGTTTGAAAATCTTTGCAGCCATCACTATATTTTCTTGCTCAGAATTGAATTTCTAATTATATATAGGAAAATAACATGATAGATGTAAAATTTTCCAATGAGTAGCCTTCAAAGAATCATCTTTTGTTCATATAGGAATTGATTTCTTTCTGTACAATAATTAATATGTATATGGTTGAAAAGTTTGACTCGGTTGAAGTCAAGTTTGTTGATTACTTCCACAGTTTCTAGTGTTGAAGAGTAAAAAATCTCAATATTTCTGAGTTCACCCAACATATATAATTTAACCTAATTGATAGGAACAATTATTAAGTTATACTGAGCAACTTAAAATCGGCAGATAGACACAATAAACCGAGCAACATCCATATCCGTTTGAATATAAGTAACAGTCTGTCAAATGAGTTATTAAAGGTCATTAATTACCAAGATCCTCATTTGGTATTTATAACCGAGATTCTTACTATATGTTTATATCTTCAATTACTAAAAAAATAAAAAAAAATATAGTATAAATATTTGTATGATGTCCTATAAATGGACATCTGATCATTTCAATAGCAATTTCAATATTCTCTCAAATTTCCTAAGTTTACTTCTATCACTAATTAATAAAAATAAGTTTCTATTATTACTTCTATATATGATTAGTCTTAATAAGTACTAATTACCATATGATTAAATTGCCTCTAGAACTAGAAAAGACCCTGACAGAAAATTAAAGCAAGATTGGTATAGAAGTGAAGTTTTTTTCTCAACTTGACAAATTACAGCTTACCTAATAGAAAAAGATGTGCCATTTACTACTAGAGTAGCATTATTGCTTTTAACAAGTTGATATCAATTCTAATTTAGTCAAACGGATAGATTTGACATTAAAATTTACGTGATTTGTCTTGTAGCACTCTTAAATTTACGATGACATATCATTTTCATATTTAGTAATAATTATATTATTCACCAAAATAAAATATAAAAGTGCAAGGTTATAATTGAACTTTTATATAAATTATTTTAATTGTCCGAAAGACATAATTATTACTAAAATGCAAAAAGCATAAGTTTATAATTGCCCCTTCATAAATTTAAGGGTGTCACAAAATAAATCGCATAAATTTTAAAGGCAAATTTATGAATTAGGAGAATCGGATTTTGAGTTGACAAAAAAAAAAAGTTTTAATGTCCACTCTATTGACTTTTTGTACCAAATGTCTTGGAATCACCACAATTGGGATTTGTGTTAATTTGTTAATTAGCTTGATTTCTTCTATATACAAACATTGAGAGTGGATACAATGAGGGGCCTAATTGCCATGTTTTGTTGTTTATTTTATTTAATAATGTGATGCTAATATACTTGTAATCTAGTTACTTAATCAACTATTTTGGTAGGAACATGATGAAATTGCTTTTTCTCTCCAACCAAACAAATATATCATTCACTTTCTTTTTCTACAAATAAAGCAAATTAGATTTTCCATGTCTGCCCTTTACATTTCTTGACAAGTGAAAAAAACCCAATTATTTTTGGTTTTGGTTTGACAAGAGTAGGTAGGAAGCTTGCTTCAACGAGGTCTAATCAATGGAGGCAATGGTTGGAGCCTCATTATAGTAGCTAAGTAGCTTTTAGTCATTTCAATTAAAACATGCTTCTTTACAGGTATGTATGTGGTTATTTTTGCTACTACTTTTTTTCACATGATGGGTATGCATTTCTCAAATTCCAACGCTTTTAGACAAAGATTTTTCTCAAATTCCAAAAATTAAGAGAAATTTTCTTTTAGCATACTATTCCCTTTATTAGAAGCTCAGAAGATAATAATACATGGCTAGAGGAAAATCTTGTTTGACTCGATAAAACCCAATTAATTTTCATAGATTTAGTATCCTGATAACATGCTATCATTACAGCCATTGAGACCACCACCAAACACTTTTACTAGACTATGACCATGTCGGATAACAGGTTAAGTAGCTTTTGTCAAAACGCTACGTGTTATTGTTTATAGTGTTTAGTAATGCGTTTGAATTAGTTTTTACAGGTTAATGTAACGTTTCATAAAAAGTTAATCTCTATAACATTTAACTTTTAGCATGTGAAAAATTGTTCAAACAACCACTAGCTATTCATACAGCTAAACGCTATTAAAACAATTAACGGCTATCAAAATAATTAATTTTTTCGAATTAACCATATCACTACCAATGCCTGTAAAGCATAATGTTTTTTCTATTTTAAAGATAAACATACAAAGTGAGAGTCAAACTTGGTTTTACTTGAGGGGAAAAAATGGCTTGATACCCCTATAATAACTACCTTAACCACATTGAAGTCACAAAATCTTTAATGTGTATATATATATATATATATATAAATGAATTTATACATTTGACCTCCTGTTTTAAATTCATTAGAGCGAATTAACTCGGTACATAGAACTCAACAGTATCAACTCTAAAAAACTCACTTTAAACATCACTTTTTAAAATTTAATTTCGTCTCAATTGTATATACTCTAATTTTAGATTTGTTAATAAATCAAATTATGAGCCTATATATAAATTATGTAAAAAAAAATAATAATAAACTTTACATGAAACTCCTCCAACTTTTGAAATTTTGACAGTTTACAAACTCATGCCCGACCAGTTGCACTATTATCTCTTACATTATTTTTCATGGCCACACTCCAATTATAAGCATGCATTACTATAAGCTGGAAGTCAATACATACAATGAACCAAAATTTTCTTTTTGGACCATATCACCTTCGTCCAACTTGTCCCTCTCCTTCTTGTGCACGGCTATATCCTGCACACAAATTTTTTTTTTTTTTTCTCTCCTGGTAAAGTGCATTTTTAAAAAATCAAATTTATATTTTTACTCTTAGGGGAATTGAAGTTGCTGATCACTTCAACCAATCGTGAACCCCTTGTTAGTAATTTGTGAAGTTGGAAATTACAATATTGGCCTTAACGTACCATCTTCCTGTCCTAAAAAATGTATGTATATTATATGATATATTACCGAGGTACAGTGGGGACTCTGACCCATGCATTACCCATCATGGGAGACACATTTACATGTTTAATTTGGCCTTTCACTATGAGAGAAGCAACAGTGTGTTTATATTTTAAAAGAGAATACGATCCTTTGCTTTTCTTATGTCTTTTCTCTTTTTTTTTTTTTTTTTTTTTATATAATATGAATTATATTACCGAGGTACAGTGGGGACTCCTGACCGCATGATTACCCATCATGGGAGACACATTTAACCAATGTTTTAATTTTGCCTTTCACTATGAGAGAAGCAAAGTGTGGTTTATGATTTTTAAAATAGAGAATACGATCCTTTGCTTTTCTTATGTCTTTTCTCTTTTTTTTTTTTTTTTTTTTCTTTTTTTTTTTTTTTTTTTTTCCCATAAAACATTTACTATATATACATATGCTTTTTCATTTCACTTAGACCCACCTTCTTTTCTTGTCACTTTCTTTCAACATCTTCTTCATGATATATTGTTCTTTAATTATCTTTTATTACTAGATTATTAAATCTTGTAAATCCTGTAGTAGTTATCAAAAATAATAATATATACTATTTCTATTCTTAATTTCTTGAATTTAATGCTCCTGAGATGAAGTAAATTTTCTAATATTCATATATCCATCCTGCAAGATTAAATATATAATTACTCCTCCATCCATCCATCCATCCATCCAGCATTAAAGTGACAAAATGAGAGGAGTTAATCTGGGTCAGGTTTTATTTTCAAAAAAATGAAAAAAAAAAAAAAAAAAAAAAAAAAAACACAGTATAGTGTTGTAATATCAATTCATGCAGATATTATTATTTCGCAATAATTGAATTCCTTCTGCAAATGTCCCTTGCGAGTTCTATCAAATCAAGAAGCCACATATATAATTGCCCTATGCACATCTCCAAATCAAGTTCTATCAAATTTACACAAGATCAATTTATAGACAATATCTTATTAAATATTTATGATTTGAGAGTTAATGCACGCGCCAAAAAGGGGGTGTGGAGCCCAATTCACATTTTTTTTTTTTTTTAACTTTGGAGAAATTAATTGCTTCACAATTCTTGGTAAAAAAAAAAAAAAAAAAAAAAATTGGTAAAAAAAAAAAAAAAAAAAAAAAAAAAAAAAAGAATAAGATGATAATAATATTTTTTTTCCTTACTTAGGGCTCAACAAGTCAAAGAAAGATTTCTTGGGGAGCCAGCCAAGCATGAAAAGGCCACCACCTCACTTCTCTTTCTTTCTATTTGGTGCCATTGTCTTTACCTTTCAAGATTCTTTATTGCTATTTCATTTGCAATTTGGCCCCATCCCTATATCATGCATTAGTGTTTCTCCTCAAATATTACTATAACACCCTTCTTCAATAAATTGTATTTTATTATTATCCAATAAAATTTTCCAAGAAAAAAAGATTAAGGGTTATATCCATAAAATTAAGGTACACTCGTCAGGCTAAATCGATAAAAGAGGAACAATTGAATTAACCCTTATAAGTGATCTTAAACAAATAATCACTATTAATTCCTTCTAAACCTAGCTAGGGCTATAAACTAAATACAAAGAATTTGATATCCTATGTATATCAAAAGGGCAAGTTGGTAAATGAACAAAGACATTGGAGCACATTTGATATATATACTTGTATTCTAAGTTGGTTCTTTTGTTCTTCAAATGTGTATCGAATTTCAAACCTCCTTTCCAATCACTTTTGCTGAAGCTTCTCTTCCTTTCTCTCTCTTTCTCTCTTCTAATTAGCCTTGGAGCTATCAGCTGGTTAATGGATATTGAACCCTTGTGGGCTCTTGGGGGGTGGTTTCTTTTTTCTATTTGCATGGCAACACCAACAATTCCTCAAACAACTACCATTAGAACATCACATTTCCTTCTCTTCTTTACCCTAATTTTCTTTATTTCTCTTTTTCTTCTCGTTACTAACCCTATCAAGCCCTTAAACCCATCTTCTTCCTCACCAATTTCCATTAAAAGACTTCTCTTGCAGCAAGAAAACTCAGAATCATCATCAACCTCTGCTACTGCTGCTGCTTCTACTACTACCATGAACAATTTGCACGTGACTCAAACGCAAAAGCCACGTGCATCTTCTTCGTTTCCATCAAAATCGAAGAACTTCAACTTCGGCGCAGAGGCTCATGAAGTTCCTAGTGGACCAAACCCTATATCAAACAGGTAATTCGTCATAATTATAATAATTACGTTTCATGGAAAAAAATGGAGAATTTAAGGCTGCACCAGAAATATTATTGAAGAAGACGACGGGAAGAGGAATTGTAACGGTGAATTTATTACAAAATTTGTCCTGTTTATTATCGTTATATAGTTTTAGTTTATATCAATTAATACTACTTTGTCCTAAGTGAGAGTTTGTTAAGTTTGCTGTTATGTCATCATCATCAATATCCTTATAGCCTTAATCACTTTTTTTTTTTTTTTTTTTTTTTTTTTTTTTTTTTTTTTTTTTTTTGTTATTTTTTTTCCTTGTTTTTGGCTTAATCACTTTTTTTTTTTTTTTTTTTTGTTATTTTTTTTCTTGTTTTTGTATTAAGGTGGGGAAGAAAGGGTTCCTTTTTCTTACTAGAAATGTATAGCAAGAGAGACATTCTATTTTGATATAGTTGTTATATATGTATTTATTTATTTTTAATATATATAGATAGATGCATGGTGATGGTATGGTTATATATTGTTGGTATTTGAAGAAATAATAGATTAACCTTAAACGGCCAGCCGTATTTTGATTTGGTTTGCATATACATAATAATGCTAGTCGGTGCCAAAATCTTGAAATTTAGAGAGTCCTTTTTGAATTTTTGTTCTTCTTTCTTGAAGGGTGTTTCAATTCTGAAGTTGAATTTTCTAAGATCTTTGAATTGAAACTTCAGAAACTGTTAATAGAAATATTCTCCTTGAAGGGTTAAATAGCTTGCTTTTTTAATATATATATATATATATATCATAATAAAAATATTTGAAAATTCAGAAAAAAAAAAAAAAGGAAAGAAAGAAAAGAAGAGAAGGGGTAGTTGCATGGGTTTCCTATAAAATTTTCATTGGAATAGGCTCTCAAAGGTGACGAGGCAAAGTAAAGGCAGATAAAGAAAGAAGAAATTACAGAATCTGTTAGAGACACAGCAGTGTCAGATCTGTAACACAATGAGCAAGCGAGTAAAAAGAAGAGACTCAGGTGATTTTGTTTTGCCTGCGAGAAATTATATTATTATGGAATTTCTTTTTGAACTTTTATTTGGACTTTTCTTTTGTCTTCTCAAACACATCATCCAAGAAAAGCTGAGATGCCAAATATAATACAACCCATCACAGCCCATGATTTTGTAATAATAATATAAGGTTGCTTGCCACCAATCATATGTTTATGATGGTGTTTCCTTTTTCAAAAGAAGAAAGAAAATTTATTTATATAATTTTTTTTTTCTTTTTTGTTGGTGCAGTGAAGCCATAACCTTTTGACTTCAATTTGTCAGGTTATTTTATCCAGAGATTTGAGAGACGTAAGGCTTTTTTTTCCATTTTCAACCGCAAATTATGGTGCTAAAAAGTGGAATTCTTGCATATAATTGCGTTTAATGGGTGATTTTTGACCAAATATAATAATTTATTTATAATATAATTAAGTGTATTATATTTTAAAAGAAAAGAGTTTTTCAAGTTTGAATGAATGCCTGTTGTACTATATCAGGAATCACCAGCTTTAACATTCCGACCAGTTTTTACCCTGAAATTAAAGAATCCAGTTCTCTTCGAGACAGGAAAAAGATGCTTTCTTTATAGTTGAATTTTGATCAATAAAGTAAATAACAAATTATACTGAACTGACTCATCTCGATTATTTTTTAAATATTTGGTTTTTTTAATTTTAATAGGAAAAAAATTGAATTTTTCCTTTTGGTTTAGTTCGATTTTCTAAATAAAAAAAATCTAAAAATAAGAAAAGAAATTGAAAGAAAGCTAAAATGAATCAAAATTAAAAATAAACCGAATAGAACTGATTTAATTCAATTAATTCAATATATATATTTTCGAGGGATAAGGTGCATGATATTTTTTTATTCTCTTAGTTGTCGCATGACAATAGTAGTGTACGGCAGCAAAAATGCCTACCAAAAACTTGAAAACAGAGAAAGAGAGAATATGCTTGGCAGTTTCAATCAATTTATCCAAAATTGTGTCATATGTCATAATTGGAGAAGTATATTTGGTTTAAACCCTTCTTTTTGCTTATTTTGAATTTGCAACCCTTTTACATCTTTTTTTTTTCAAATGTGAGCATAAACCATGAAAAAATGCACCTCCCAACTCAAGCTTGGAAACATGATTTTTTTTTTTTTTTTTTCAAAATTGCTTCAGAATATCCGCCGCCGGAAAAGTGATGACTAATTTCCTCAAGATATTGTTATACATTAAAGCATGAACCTTTTGCAAGTGAATTTTCTCTATACATATGATCTGGATCGAATCTTTCGCTTGCCTAATGTGACCGAGCCCCTTTCGCTCGAACCAACTCACATTTGTGGGAAAAGAATTTGTATTCTCTATAAATACATAACTTCACTAACCATACTTTTTCTGTTGAACATGAAAAAAGAAATAAAAGTTAGGATATCATATGGGAGAAGGAAGATGCGATGCTTGCTAGCTAGAGCGCATATATAGGAAAGAATTGAAACAACAACAACTAAGAGTACTCAATTACCATGAGAACCTAAAATCCTGATGTATATAGCTATAGCCTTAAGGGTTTAATTTACATCCAGCTATGTATTGAATAATGGAAGCAATAAGAGGTGAGCAAAGCTATGAAGCAGTTACCTATAAGACATATATATAGAGGAGGTTTTGAAATAATTAAATGGGTATTATCTCCTATCTATGCTAAGTCATGTCAATGTCTTTGCTGGAGCACACCAACTAATAATATGGTTTTATTTATGATGCACGTAAACTTTTAACCACAGGCATTTTCGTGTTTCAAAAATGTTTTTGTGTGTCTATTTTTCTACATAAAATATTATTTTTTATATAAAATTATATTTTAAATGTCATTTTTTATATCAGTTTCCATTAACATTAAAGTTTTCACATTTTTTTCCGTTTTCGTATTTATAAAACATAGGGATTCATCAAATTTCCTGCATTTAGTGTGTGTTTGTGTTGTTGTCTAATCAATAAAGCAAAAGCATTAGTGTGTATAATTTGGATAACGATAGACAATAAAGTAGTGTAGGTTAAGTAAATCCAAATAAGAGTCATATAATGATTATATAGCCTAGTTCATAGTTACAGTGTAAATTCATCATTGATCTTTCTTTTTATTTTTAGGCTACCGTACAATATGCTTTTAAATTCAAATATTTTTAACAAGCCTAGAACTTGAAAACATAATTATGGCTTTTTAGCACTAACTAATTTTAATTCTTTGTTTACTTATATAGCCAAGATGAAAATTAATGACATCCCCTTCATTAATGTAACAGATGAACTTCCTTCACTGCAATCGAATATTATTCAGATTGTCAAGACGAATTATAAAATAATCGGCACAGAAGATAAATGAAGCATCACGGATGTATCGTAATTTAATTTTGTGAAAAACGAATAATGAACCCTCTTATATAGAAAGTTTTATACATGAAGAAAAAGAATCAGATTACAATTCCGGTCTCCATCACGTACAAAGAAGCAAGTCACCACAGAAAGAGGTACATTCTAGATAATTTAGAGACCGTATTACGACAATTAATATGATGCTCCATAGATTGGGCCAGATTGGTTTTCTTGTTCGTGGCTCTCTTAGAAGAAGTGGGTCGTAGACCCATTTGGGCCCAATGAAATCAGCAATAGTAATAAATAAATATCTATAATTGAAAAGGGCAAAAAAAAAAAAAAAAACTCTTTTGGAAATAAATATCTATAATTGAACAGGGCCAAAAAAAAAAAAACAAAAACTCATTTGAAAAAAAAAAAAAAAAAAACTCATTTGGTGTTAAATCTAATCCATTAATTTAATTCTAATTCCTTTTTTTTTTTTCAGATTTTTATAAGCCAATGTAACGCTATAAAAATATTATAACATTATATTTCCGTCTGATTTTGTTTGTATGGTTTGACAAAATACGCATATTAAGAATTTAGTCAATAAAAGTTATTTTGTCTTTTTTTACTATTCACTCGTTAAGATAGTAATAAAAGTCATTTATTTAATGAACAATCATAAATGTTATTATAGAAAAAATAATTATTTACATTCTCTAAATTTAGAAACCTTACAAATATTTTGAAACATAAAAAAAATAACAAGCAAACGATGGAGGGAGTAATATTTGAGTAAATAATTATGTAGTTTTTCAAAATTTATCATCATCATAATTTTGTCTCTTTTTTTCCACTTTTTAATTTATAAAATTTAATTTTATTATATTATTTAGTTTTTCAATGAAAATATAATTTCAATTTTCAAGAGTTAAATATTTTTTAAAGTATTTTGAAAGGCTAAATACTTGTATATATTGACAAAAATGTGATTTAATATAATTTCAAATGGTCATCTTTTAATATTAATCTAAACGAGGCAGCCACAACCTGCACCATGAAGCGCCGGTGAAAAATGCGTATTTGTTGGGGTCCATCGATTTGGCATGTTCACACTCATTTGAGCCCCGTTAACGTTCACTAAGCCGCAGTGAACCCGATGAACGATGACGGCTCAATGAGTTCTTTCTTCCGTGATGAACTGTTGTCATCAGTTCTACATTTTACATTTTATTTTGTCTTTATGGACCGAGGAGAAATGGGCTCAGCGATAAAAGGATTGTACCATGAGAGAAGTAAGGAGGTCAACCTATTTCAAATATACAAAATAGATTATAGCAATACAATGCAGTTGGACTCTCATGTTGATTCGAATGAATCATCCTTTTCATGGAGGTAAATCTTTGCTTGTATAATAAAAAAATTGTGAAAAGCTCTTTGCTTTTTTTATATTTTTTTATACCAGATATTTGGAACTCAATTGGCTGAGATAGAGAATCATCGTCACACCAAGTTAAGCCACAGCCCGCACAACGGATGAGACTACAAGTGCACATCGAGAGGCGGACCGATCGACCCAATCCAATGTCCAACTACAGACTAGAGTTGTAAACAAGTTAAATCGAGTCGAGTTTTAATCGATTTGAGCTCGACTTGTCAAAATTGAAAATCCTAAATAAAAGATTGTTTTTTTATAGGTTTAATTAACTTTGATTTATAAAATTGGTCAGTGAGATAATAAATTAATTTTCAACTTGATTTATTTATTAAACGAGTTTAACAGTAGTTAATTTCGATAAGTTTAATGAATAAATTGGAGTGAAGGATTTATCGAATCCAACCTCTTCCGTCATTTATAATCCTACGGTTAGATCAAATTTTGCTGGTAGCAAACCCGGACAGTGAAACACGCCGTTTGATTCAGGAACCCGGCGGCTTAAACCCTACACGGGAAAAGAAAATATCCCGCCTATGCTTATACCCATTTTCGTCTAACTCCAACTAAACAGAAATTTTCCTAGAAAATGTTTCTCAGACATCGGCGCTTGAAACAAATTTCATGGCGGTTGCCTCGCATTTTCTCAGGTCAGTCTCAAAAATTTTATTTATTCTATTCTTTTTCTTTTTTTTTTTTAATTTTGCAATCGATTATCAGCCTTCATCGTAGTTTCTAAATATTCTGCATAATTTTCGTTGTTTTCTTTTGTAGGTAATTACTTACTGCAATCTAGAGAAGCCGTTAACTTCTTTTCAGCTTGCTCTTTAATCCCTGTGCCTTACTCACTTGATACTAAACTCAGTTACATGGGGATTATAGACAAAGCATTTCATTCGCAAAGGTAATCTGTTGTGTCTTATTTTTTCTTTAATGCCTTTTGAATTCAGTTAGGTTTTCCCCCCCTTTTTCTGGGCAGTTCCTAACTTATCAATGGCAGTTACTTTCAGGTACCCAACAATGTCACAAGTGTCAAATGAGTCTACTCCTTCTCCAGTGGATGATATATTGTTCTTCATCCAATCCACATTTGATAAGATTCAAGGTTTTTTCTTTTTTTAAAACTAGTTATTCTTTATACTAGACTTTTTAAATATGTTTTATATTTTTTCTAAGCCAGAGGAAAAATCAAATTGGAGAGTAGTAGACAAGTATAAATTGCATATTCTAGCAGCAATTTAAATGGATTCTTATTGAATTTTTTAAATGACTTGTATAGGCCCCGATCATTGCTGGTTAAATAAGGTCGAAGGAGATAACGGTTATTTCAAGAAAGATGGAACCTTTTTGGTCCTTGCTGGACAGTTCCTTGGGAATTCTGCAATAGCTGGTATTCTTGAAAAAATCAAGTCACTTCATCAGAAGTAAGAAAATGCCAAATATGTGATATTTTTTTTGTAATTTTTTTATTCGATGAGTCTGGTTTGCCAGATGATTCACTCTGAGGACGTTATTTTATTTTTTGCCATGTTAGATATCCACAGCTTTGCATTATGGGTTTGCATTGTGGAGCTTCGATTGGCTCTGCTGCTGATCAAGCTAACCTTGTTGAATTGATAATGAAGGAGTACATTACATTTCCCATCTTATTGTCAAGCAAGAACTTTTTAGAGGTGTATATTCATAATCCCCAATATACATAGTGCGTTTGTGCTTTTTTTTTTTTTCATTTTTCATTTATTTTTTTTCGCTATCTTATATTTATACTTTTTCAAGATGACAAACAAGAATACATATACAAAAAATATGCTTTAGTAAATTTAATATCAAGTGCTGTAGATTTTTCCTGCAATACCTACATTTAATTTTAATAAATTAATGATTAAAAATTATGCTGGGGGATGAATTTAAATTTCCTGTATTTGGATTGTACAAGTATATCAATTTTGTGAGAAAATTGAATGCATAAATATATGTGTGCTTATCATAAAAGCAACATGTGTAATGCACATGATAAATGGCTAATTGGAAGGTGTTTGTGGTTATCATGTTGACAAATAAGAAATTTCTCAAAGGTATGTAAATATTTACTGATTAAAAGTAAACTTTACTTTAAATAGAGAGGAATTGCATGAAAGGATTCATATAATCGACTCATTTCATTATGCATGTGGCATATGTAAGATAAGTCAAAAGTATTTTGGATTCATACACGTGGTTACCTTTCCTATTTTCAATTGCAATTATTTCGTAAGCCTTCATTTGTTTGTTTATTTATTAATTTATTTGAAAATTGCTAGTTGAGTTTTTTTGTTGATATTACTGTTTCTTAAATTTTCACAATTGTTTGTGGTATGGCTAACTCATTGCTTCTTCATGTATTTAGATGGAAAACAAGGCATGCTGCATTTTGTTTAGAGATTTTATGAATCCTGTTATTTATCATGAGAAGGATTTGGATCTTGGAATGGTTAGTAAAGGTATGTGCTTGTGTTTTTTCTACCTGACATGGAAAGAATTCTCTTGTGCAACATCATATTTTTATGCTTACAGGTGAGGAATTTTTATCATACATGGAACGTTTCTTATGTGAATTCCGCATTTCAACTAACCTTAATGCTTTGCCTATCACCATCTTACAATTCAAAGAACTTGAGATTATGCAAATTACCTGCCAAGCAAGTATTTTGAGTTCTTGTATTTAAGAATTAATTTGCTGCAAGGATCAATTGAGTGTTCTTCAAGTTATTAGCTCAAGGTTTTATTTCTCGCAGGCTGTATTTTTGGTTCATTTTTATTAAGGTAAAGAACTTTTGAAGCTTAATATGTTGAATTTGGATAAGTTTGTAAGCAGTTGTGGATGTAGCATAAAATAATAGGAAGCTTGAAAGTAAATGTTAAGTCTAAGTTGAGCTAGCTGCTCCACCTCTTTTTTCTGTACTTTTTATGTCGTGCCAGAATCTTTGTCTTTTCCTCTCCATTCCATTCCCTGTGACTCGGATTGGAGTTTAAGCGGAATATCTATTCACTGTCTTTCCTTTTCAATGTTATTATCAATTGTCTAACCATTTTCCTCTTCTTTGTTCATTATTATCTTTTTATGTGTTTGGTTTGAATGCTTTTTCTATGAATTTTGTTTGGATCTGACTACAACTTGATGAACTTTGGTATCTATAGGTCTGCATGTAAACATCATATGCACAATTTTTATGCAAACACACTTACACATACTTGCATATATATATATATGTTTAATTTCTCACTTGATGCCTTTGCAGGCATTGAGGAGTTACAAGTTCAACAGAATGGGAATCTCAGTCGCAACTTGAAAAGAACTTGGGTGAAGCAAGCTGAGGTCATTAAGGAACCAGAGTTGTCCTCTTCTCTGCAAAACTTACTCCTCTACTTTCCAGGTAGAGGCTTCTTTTGCATGGCCTGTTGTTGTCTTACCTTGTAGTTGTATCTCTTTTTTAGGGTATCATGCAATTCAGTTGCTAACTTGCTACTGCTGCTTCTTTCATCTGATGCATGATATCTTAAAATCCAGCAGATGAAAGAAAGATTGAGAGAAGAGAGCTGCACCAAGCCTTTTAAGTCAAATGCTTAAAAATTTTGTCATCAAAAACCTAACTGAATAACTATTTACAAGATGTTATAGGTTTAATAATTAGTCCCACCACTGTGATCAGCTCATATGTAATTTATTTGACTTTATGTTGTGTGCTAAAGTAATCCAATATTGTATAGCCATCTGTTTTCTTCCACAGGTTGCATCTCTGCAGATGAAAGTGGTGATCGCCTATTTGTATCTGACAGCAATCATCATCGGATTATCATATTTGATAGAAATGGGAAGATTATGGACTGTGTATGTATTTTAAGGCTTCAATGGCTATCACTCATTGAATTTTCTATGATTTTCTCATATGACCTATTTGCTTTGCTTTTTTATTATCCTTATTAAGTGCATGCAATTGCAACGCTAAAAGATGAGCATATAAGATGAAATGAAAGCGTAGATTTAGACTTACGTTTTTTATATGTCAGATTGGTTCTTGCCCAGGTTTTGAAGATGGTGAATTTGAGTCTGCCAAGCTACTGCGTCCTGCAGCTTCCTTTTATCATGATGCTGAAGATTGTCTGTACATTGTAGATTCAGAGGTATTCATCCAGAAGCTTTTGAATGGGTGATTTACAACATTATGAAATTTATGGGTTTCTTAGATTTGATGTTTCAATTCGGATACTGTCAAGTGTTTTGCTGAACATTCTTAGATCAAAGTCTATAGCAATTAGTATGATGAAACTTTTGAATTAATCTGCTGAACCAGCTATCTTCATAAGTGATGATTTCAATAGAATAATAATGGGAATAGTGCGAGTTACAGTTATATTACTTCTCTCCACTAATGCTTATGGACCTTAAATTTCTCTGATATTAATGTCACTGATTTGTTGCAGATGAAGCAATTGCTTTAAAAACAAATTTGAATTTGCTTTTATTTTGTGGGCATCCTCTTCAAAGAAGTACTTGGCATTTAATCTTTCTACTTCAACATTGTTTTGTGACTTATTATTTTCCTTTATTGATTGCTATTCCTAAGAACCAAGCCATCAGACGAGCTGATATGGAGAGGCGGGTCTTAGAGACTCTTTATCCCACTTGTAGCGTCAGTAAAAAAGATAGTAGTATATGGACTTGGATTATGAATAAAATGGGTTTTTCAAGCAACATTGATTCAAACTCCAAAGAATTTGATTCCCAATTGCGGGTGTTTCCATGGCATCTTTTGAAGTCAGCAGATGATAGTTTCTTTATCATCAACCGCAGGTAAAGGATGATTCCTTGTTTCTAATTTTTTATGATAAGAAGGCACTATGCTTGCTATTTCCGTTTTTATACAGTAGTAAAGCATTGCAATCTATAATATTCAATGACAATTGTTAATATGCTTGAAATTCCTATGTTTACATCATTTCATTTTAGGTTACAACAACAGTGTGAATTTTGAGTAATAAATCTTTCAAGTTAACTTGATCTAAAGATTATTGCAACCAATAACCAAAATAAAGCTAATTCTTTGTAGTGAAATATCAATGTCTTCAAAGAGTACACTGACATCGGATGCTTTTTAGAAATGAGGAATGACATTGCCTCTTGATCATACATGAAAAGTTTAGTTTTGTTTGACAAAGACCATCCTAATTCTTCAAGTCCTTCAATTAGCCAAGGCCAGCTGTCCTTACTGTAGGTTGCCTTCTGCAAATAATGCTTTTATATTAATTCATCTCCATTTAACTAAGTCCAATTATTAAGGCCTCCTACTTGTGACCTTCATATTTAATCTTTCCTGGTTTCATTTAGGAACCTATGATACAAGGTTTATTTGTTTTCGTTTGCAGCTTTGAAACCCTGTGGATCATGGATATGGCTTCAGGAGAAATAAAAGAATCTATCAAAGGTTTGAAATTAGTTTACCATATCTTTCTTAGCTCTATTGATTTGTCAGTCAATATGTACATCTGATATTTGCTCATTTAAATATTGGAAAGGATTTTCAAAGATTTTGGAGACTTGTGGGCAGTTGATCATGGAGAAAGTATCACTCTTGAAACAAATGCCAAGTGATTGGCTAAAACTGCAGATTGATGCCAATTTTTCTCCAGAGGGTCTTCCGTTTGCTAGTCTTTTATCATCTATAACAACTTTTGAAAATTACATAGTTGTCTGTGACACAGGTACTTAACACATTAATCTGTTTTCTTATGTTTATCTATTGTTTTTTTGGGTTATTACACATTTATATTGCAACATTTCATTGAAGTTGCACAGAGAGTGCTGAAACTAAATAGCGATTCCAGAGTCCATTCAATCTTCCAGTTTTCAAATTTTGGGATCCTTGGATTTCCATATTGGCCATCGTTTCGATTGGAGAATGTTTATCCTGAGTAAGTCAGTATACTCTTTAAAACTGAGTTTTGTGCAAGCTTCTGAATTACTTTGGGAGGGTGACTTTCTCCAAACTTATTTCCTTTCAAACAATGTAGGTGTATCATGTGAATGCTTTTCCTTTCTCTCTCCTTTTTTCCCCTGGCATATGGCATTTGCATGTAAAATTGTTTCACAGTGAACCTCTCCTACTGCTTTTGATAAATTTTCTCTGGTTTGATAGGGTTTCACCCCGTAGAGGATGTCCTGATCATGTCCAACGTTTTAGCATGCTGCCAGGTATATTATTGTTGACAGTAGTTGGTTTCTGTATTTCTGGTGTGAAAAGACATTTTATTGCTATATTTTGCCGTAACAAACTTCAGTTGTTAACCTAAAAGTCTAGGGAAATGCGTTGGACTGAGTTCTGTTTTTTTATCTTTATAATGGAAATTTTATTTATGCTTTCTCAAACACAATATTTCTCTTATGAGCTTGATGATGAAGATCCAAGGTTACATGGTAGATTGACTTTTAATGAAAATATCATCCTGAGTAAAAACCTTAACCTGCATGCATATGTTTACACACCTTGTTAAGTCTCTATTGAAGTTTTGTTGAATTTGCATTGCATGTAAGAATCATCAAATTTATGGATAACACGGGAACTTTTCCAACAATATCAATAGTATTAGGAAAGCTAATTGCTTGAAAGGTTCAATTTTATTTCCTGCAAGATATTTATCATAATGTCAATGAAAATCGAATTTATTGGTAATCCAATTATATTTTTCCCTTAGTTATTTTACCTTTCATTATTGCAAATTTCTGCACATCAAATACTGAAACGAGTTTCTGATTTGTTGTAAGACTATACTTCCTGGTGAACTAGTTGCCTTTTTCTTAGAATAATATTTTTGGGCTGCATTTAGTCCTTGAACGAATCTGTAATTTGGTACATACAGCAATCTATATCCTCCCATTCCAATTGAGAGAACAAGATACACACGCACACACACAAATGCAGTTGCAGACAAGGGCTTGTATGCCAACAACATTAACTTTTCATGTCCCAAGTTTATTGGAGATTATGTAAGATGTGATTTTACAAAAAATTACTTGTTGAATTTCAGTGATGGTGTGTTTATGACAGGTAGGATTAACATACAGTTAAATGTAGAAATCCCTGTGGATTTTGAGCTTGTTGAACCGTTACAAGAAGGATGCATATGGCGCCAGGCAAGAGGGGCTGCAATTTTAGGAATACAGGATGTAGCAGGGTCCTCAGAGAAGGTTTTCAAGTCTTTTTTTTTTTTTTTTTTTTTTTTTTTTTTTTTTTTTTTCCCTGTGGGGATTTTGAGGCTTGTGAACCGTTACACAGACAGGATGGCCATATGCGCCAGGCACAGAGGGGGCAACTGCCAATTTAGAATACAGGATGTAGCAAAGTGGTGGAGGTCCTCGGAGAAGGTTCAAGTGCTTTTTTTGTTTTTTTTTTTTTTTTTTTTTTTTTTTTTTTTTTTAATGCAACTTTCACTTGTCACTTTCTTTTTGATTGCTGATGAATAATTTTCATTTGTTCTGGTAGTTTTAAATTTTTTCCTAAAGATTGGCCTGATTACTCCATTTTGTGTGGTTTGAACAATTCTTTTGCAGGGTTGTTGCTCTCCATACAAGTGTATGATTGATTTGGATAATCTGAGCCTTTTTTTTTTTTTTTTTTTTTTTTTTTTTTTTTTTTTTTTTGCCTTTTCACTTGTCACTTTCTTTTTGATGCTGATGATTTTTCATTTGGTCTGGTAAGTTAAATTTTTTCCTAGTGCCTGATTACTCCATTTTGTGGGTGCATCTTTGCAGGTTGGTGTTGCCCAACAGTGGTATGATGATTTGGATAATCTGGCCTTTTCATCTCCTGAACCAGAGATGATTGTTGAAAGCAGTAACACAACTTCAGAAATTAAATCTGAAGATTGTAGAGTTCACATTGATTGTTCTGTCAATACAAGTCCTGGAACAAGTGAGGTATGCGTGTTATTTGTACTCTTTGCTTGTTAGATATTATGCTTATTTCTTCTTTCTTTCTGTTTAGGTGTCTGTTGGACCTTGCCTAATTTGGGTGTAAATAAGTGCTTTTAGGTAATAATAATAGAAAGAAAATAATAGCAATAATAAAGGGGAAGTTCATCCCATAATTAGGGAGTTATCTTTTACAGTGGACTCGCTTCTCTATTGAACAGAAATAATAGTGAGAAAAGCAAGATTGTTTCGAAGTGCTGCAATCAGTAACTGGAATGTGGATTCAACCTGATTTCTGAGCAGGCTCACAGTTCAAAACTAGTACTAATATCTGTTTGTTTTATTTTATTCATATAACAGGTTATTATATATGCTGCATTATATCTAAAACTTAGAAGAAACCCTGATTTACAAGAAGACAGTCAGAAGAAGGATGCAGCAAGGATAGCTGATATTCTGAACCCGGAGAAAAGAGGAGGAATTGGAAGAGATTCATGCATTCAACTCTTGTTAAAATCAAATGCTGATTTGAAGGACCTCATTCTTATGAAACCATTACATGTGAGGATCAAGTTGGATTGTCTTGATCACCCAAAATCTGATAATGGAAAAGATATCATCTTAACCAATTCCTCAATCGAAGTCAATGTAACACTTGAAACATAATTACCGCTAGTTTACAACTACACTGATTTTGATGTGTTTGCCATTTGGCTCTTGGAGAAGAAGCCAGAGTGAAGGTAAGAAGCTGAATGCACCTCCATTGCCAATCCTGTTTTCGATTCGATATCAGACCTCCGAAGATGGATAATCCAAAATAGAAATGGATAGACGGGGTTTCTAATGACTTTTCCAGGTTATACACTTCAATAGATATTCAATAGGAAATTATTTGTGTTCATGTGCCTGATTATATGAGATACTTGCTCTTTTTGCTTTTTAGCCTTGTTAATGTCAGAATAGAAAAGGGTAACTATAGTTAATGTTATTGTTGTATTTAAAAAAGAATAAGAAGGGTAAAGTATTTTTGGAAGAAAATTCTTCTTCAGTTCCTTTCAATAATGTATTTATTATGAAGTATGATTTATATATATATTTTTAAGATTTTACAGTGAATATATTATTTTTTATTTTAATGTACTATATAAACAAAAATAATTTTATGAGTAATTCTTTCTTTGAGGTTAATTAAGTTTTCGATTGCCCAGTTAGAAAAAGTTTCAAAGATTGCTCAAATCATCTTCACAAAAGCATGCATGCATTAGGATTCGAGAGTTATTGTTTTATATTACTTTACTGCTTCTGCTTCTCTGCACGTCGAGGGATGCATGTCGTTGGTACGGATAATACATATCTATACAGTTGTTTACTCGTCTAAACAGAGTATTATCCATTAATGTACAGTTGTATGTTTCTTAACTCCCTTTAATTTTTTTATTATAGGGTTATTTTTTCTTTAATATAAGCATGTAAGTGCAAAATTTAGAACCCTAAAAAAGATATCAATCTTTTTTTTATTATTATTAAAAACGATATCAACCTTTAAGACAGAATGTATATACAATAATACAAATAGCTCGATGAACTCCAGAAACTCTTTTTGGTCCGCAAACGTATTGTTGGTATATCCAGCCTCATTTTTTTAAAACATCTGTGGTGTAAATTTAATAGAAATTTAGTCTAGGACATGTCAAATAATAATAAATATTATTAATTATGATTATTGGAATTGAGATTGCTTATCACATTAACTAATTAATCTCCTAAGATCATAGACATAAAGATTCTCTCAGAGGTCGAAATTTTTTTGGTTTTCAGCTTTCTATTCTTGTCATAATACAACAAAAACACAGCTTAACATAACGGTTGTGTTATTATACCACCAAAGAATAGTGCCTTCAACCCCTCTCATTCAGTACTTTCATCTCCAATTTCTGCGCTAACCTCAAACAAATTCCATACCCAATTTTCTTTTCCTATTTTAGTCAATTAATTTCTGTACTAATCTTTTTTTAAAATCTTTGACATTAGTTTTAATAAGATCATAGACATAAAGATTCTCTCAGAGGTCGAAATTTTTTTGGTTTTCAGCTTTCTATTCTTGTCATAATACAACAAAAACACAGCTTAACATAACGGTTGTGTTATTATACCACCAAAGAATAGTGCCTTCAACCCCTCTCATTCAGTACTTTCATCTCCAATTTCTGCGCTAACCTCAAACAAATTCCATACCCAATTTTCTTTTCCTATTTTAGTCAATTAATTTCTGTACTAATCTTTTTTTAAAATCTTTGACATTAGTTTTAATTTTTAGGTTTTTGATTTAGCCTGGTGTTTTTGTTAACCAGGCTGCACCCTAAAACCTCATCCTCCTCTTCTTCTTCTTCTTCTTCCTCATCATGATACCCATTTAACATTAAATATATGTTATAATTCTATGTTAAGATTTTACTACTGGGAGGAAAAAAAGAAAACACATATAAAGAAAGATTATTATAAACACATATAAAGAAAGATTATTAAGCCTTTCTTCCCATCCTTTTTGTTTTCTTGATTGTGGCCTCTTTGTAGGGTTGGCTCATTTGATTGAATTCATTTCTTGAATTGTATTCAATCAAATCTTACTTGTTACCATATATGGTCTTCAACTGTATAATTAATTAATTAATTAATTAACTGCTACGTGCATTCCACATTCTTTGGAAGTTAATTAATTGTATTCTTTGGCTTGTGTTTCTTTCTTCCTGATTGAGTATATCCTTTTCTTCTAACCCATTTTAAAATTTTCTTTTAATTCTTTTGTTCAAAAAAGAACAAAAGAAGGAAAGGTTGTTGGAAAGAAGAAACAAAGTTGATTTCAATCTTTAAAAATGACTTGTTTTCCATGCTTTTCATCACAAGAAAAGAAAGCAGCCAAAAGGTCCAATAGCACCAAAAGATCAGAGTCTCACCGTCTTATCTCTCCTCGTAAAGAAAACAATATTGCATCACAGCCTTCCGGTAAGTATTTCTACTAATATCTTGAGGTCTGTTGTAGGGCTTGTTAAAGGTATATTCGAGCTCAGGCTTATGATTCTGAGTTATAAAATTCGAGCTTGACTCGTTTATTAAACAGGCTTAACAAGCAAGCTCCTTGTTAAACTTATTAAACAATTTTTTTAGAGCTAATCCTTGAGCAACTCATTTACTTCCCTGCATTGTGTTAAATCCAATCAAAACTAGCTTTACTAACTATTTATTTATTGTACAGATAATCCTAAAGCAAAGGCCCAAGTTGAACTTCACAAAACCAAGGACAACGCAAGTAATCATAATAACAGCAATGGCAACAAAGAAGGTGGCAATATCGCTGCACAAAGCTTCAATTTTCGTGAATTAGCAACTGCTACAAAGAATTTCAGACAGGAATGTCTACTCGGAGAAGGTGGGTTTGGAAGAGTTTACAAGGGAAAGCTTGAGAAAACCAACCAGATAGTGGCTGTGAAGCAACTTGACAGGAATGGATTGCAAGGAAATAGAGAATTCCTCGTTGAAGTGTTAATGTTGAGTCTCTTACACCATCAGAATCTCGTAAGTCTTATTGGGTACTGTGCTGATGGAGATCAAAGGCTTCTTGTTTACGAGTACATGGCAGCAGGATCTCTTGAAGACCATCTATTAGATCTTCCACCAAGACAAAAGCCATTAGATTGGTTCACAAGAATGAAAATAGCATTAGGTGCTGCTCAAGGGTTAGAATATTTGCATGATAAAGCAAATCCCCCTGTGATATATAGAGATCTAAAATCAGCAAATATTTTGCTGGATGAAGAATTTAATGCAAAATTGTCTGATTTTGGGCTGGCAAAGCTTGGCCCTGTGGGGGATAGGAGTCATGTTTCTTCAAGAGTTATGGGAACTTATGGTTATTGTGCCCCTGAATATCAGAGAACTGGCCAGTTAACTGTTAAATCAGATGTTTACAGTTTTGGAGTTGTTTTACTGGAGTTGATTACTGGAAGAAGAGTTATTGACACCGCCAAACCAACTCAGGAGCAAAATCTTGTCACCTGGGTAACTACAATCCTTTTTAATTATTAATTTCCCTTCTTTTTCTTGCATCATTAATTTTATATTAGAAGTTAAATCATTTGGTTAAATATTCTTGGTTTTTCTTTTAAAATATATAGGCACAACCAATGTTCAAGGAACCAAATAGATACCCAGAACTTGCAGACCCAGTTCTTGGTGGAGATTACCCAGTTAGAGCCTTAAATCAAGCAGTAGCAGTAGCAGCCATGTGTCTACAAGAAGAAGCTCCAGTTCGCCCCTTGATAAGCGATGTAGTGAGTGCTCTTACTGTTCTTGGAGCGGGTCCAGAAGCAGCTGTTTCTCATATGTCTTTCCCTTCTCCGTCATCTGAAACGGCAGCAGATGATGAAGAAGCTATGCTTGAACGTCAACGGGCAGTTGCAGAAGCCTTTGAATGGGGATCAAATTTAAAGAGTACAGCATAGCAGTCTGCAAGTATTACGTCCTTGTAATGTATTATCTATCTATCTTCGTGTTAATTCTGAAAAAGAATACATGTTGAAGAAGAAGATGTGATCACAGATGAAGAAAAAGAAGATGGAGGTACATGAAGAAATGTAAAAGGATGATCTTTGGAGACAAGCATGCATATATATAACTAAGATTGGCTTGATTTGCTTCAAATGTTTCTATTTGAATTACAGATGATGTGCAAAAATCAAGGAAAACAAGTTTTGGTCAATTTTCATTTGTTCTGCTTGTACTTGTGAGGCTCATTGATATTTCAGAAAAGGGCTAAAAAAAAAAAAAACAAGAAGTTTCAACTGACTACATGTGTTGTACGATATCTCTCTGTCATAAATGACACGTATAATTAAATTTGAATATTTAATTTCAATTAAGTATTTTTAAAAATTTTGTCATAAACTACAATTTCAATTTAATTTCAATTTATTTATGTCATAAATTAAGTAGCTAGATTTTTTTTGAAAATACTAAGTAGCCAAATTACAAATTTTTTTTATTGAGTAAGAGGCTAAATAACTCGAAATAATATTATTAACTACAAAACAGAAATAATCTTTTTATTAACTCATCAAATTGATAAAAACTCGAGATGATTTAAATTCAAAATCTTTTGCTCGTATTATAATATAAGAGAAAGAGAAATATCTTTTGTCGATGATGGATCATGGATCATGATTCAGCACTAGTTTTTAAACTAACTTTTAGCATTTTGACCAAATCAAAATTAACTCTGTTTCTATTAATTATAACGTTCGGTAACATAGTTTTCAGAGATTAATCAAACTTTTTATGAAACGCTTAGCATTTCACAAAGATTAATTAATTATTTTTTAAAAATCATACTCATTATTTTTTTTTCTTCAAATTCAACTAATTAAACAAGTAATATCATTTTTTGTCATTTTATGTTAAATAATTAATTGGAATTACTTTGGTGAAACGCTAGTTAAACATCTATCAACTACTGCTGCAAATAACAATTAATAAAACAGTTAATTCCAATTAATAGACCATAAATTATGTAAAATAAGGAAAGAGATTGTCCCTTGACAGCTCAAACAATATGCGTGGTAAGTTCTTGAGTATGTCTCTCAACTTAACGAGGCAAACAGTACTGGTTTTTTTTTTTTTTTTTTTTTTTTTTTTTTTTTATGTCTCTCACGTACGAGGGCGAGAGAGCGAGTAACTGGTTTTTTTTTTTTTTTTTTTTTTTTTTTTTTTTGTGTGATGAATTATTACGAACTCAAATTTTAGAGTTAAAAGAAACTTTTTTTAGAAAATTTGATAATTATATTGTTTTATTGAGAATTTAGGATTTTTTTTTTTTTTTTTTTTTTTTTTTTTTTGTGTGATGAATTATTAGAACTCAAATTTTAGAGTAAAAGAAACTTTATTATTAGAAATTGATAATTATATTTTTATTGAAAATTTAGGAGTAGTTTGAAAAATTACATAAGAATATTCACACTTTTCTTAAATAAAAATTTCATAAAACCATAATTCTGTTTGAACCGATTTGGTTAAGAGAGTTTTAACTATTTTAGGAGGGAAAAGAATCAGTTAGCAACTGTATAAATCCGAACCAAAAACCATTTGTTTACTCCCATTAAAACCAACCAAAACTATACCAACCTGATCGGTTCGGGTCAGTTTTCCGGTTATCACTCACCCTAATGTTGACTCTGAAAAAAGCAGTGTCATCTATTATTGGGCTTTAAAGTATAAGGCCCAGCCCATGCCATGAGCGACAATTCCGGCTCTATAGATCAACCGCGACAACGATCCACACGCGTTTTGCAGCAGCCGAAAAACAAAAAAGAAGACCACAGCCAGTAAGCGAGGAAGATCCAGACAATCATTCTTGTCGCAGATAGATCTGGTTTGGTTACAGTGCAGTGCCTCCTCTCTACCGGCAAAGTTGGTTTCTGGTATGTAGGACAGATGCGAGTTCAATTTTTTTCCGATTCTTATTCTCTCTTTAAATGCAAAATTTTTTTCCAATTCAACGATGATGGTTATGTAATTAACAACATTATATTGGGTTCTGGGTTTAAGCCATCCTTATGCCTCTGTTTTGTTTCCAATATTTGTCGTTTTAGGTAAGGTTTTGGGTGCAAATGGGACATGGGTTCCGCAGTTTTAATTGACACGGTGTATGGCAAATTTTGAGTGGAATGGATATTTAAGCATTCTTGTAGGATTGAGGGCTTGTTTTGGTTCAATATTGGGTTTTGAAATATGCAAGCTAAAGCTTGGAGATGGATTTTAGGTTTGGTATACATAGTTGCGGTTGCAACTATCTGGATAGCTGCTAGTTTTGTGGTTCAATCAGTTGTTGATTCTGGGGTTTCACCATTTCTAATTACATACATTTGCAATTCATTGTTTGTGGTTTACATTCCCCTAGTTGAAATTGGGCGCTATTTGGAGGATACTTACGGTGGTTTATTTTTCTGGAGGAATAAAAAGAGTAGCCCTTTACAAGAACTGGGAGAGTCAGAGCAGCTCATTCTTCTGGAAGAGAGTGATTTAGGTGCACAAGCTGATGGGTTGGATTCATTTACTATCGTGGATGAGGGAGGAAACAGTCCTCATGGAGATGGTGTTGATTCAGAAGTGGAATCTATGTCATATGGAGTTGAAAGAACTTTACCTGTAGAGGCTAGTGAAGGAGTTGATGCCAAAAGACGATGGACACGTACTAGAGTCGCGAAGGTCAGCCTGCTAATCTGCCCATTTTGGTTTTTTGCCCAGTTGACTTTCAATCTATCATTGAAGTATACTACTGTGACGGTAAGCTATCTTTCAAATTTTTATTATACATGTGTCTATAGTTCGTCATATAGGTGCGACTAAGTCTTCTGCCTTGTTTTTGTGCAGTCAAATACCATTTTAAGCACTGCGTCCAGTCTTTTTACCTTTTTGGTCTCTTTGGCATTCTTGGGTGAAACATTCACTTGGGTGAAGCTTCTAAGTGTTCTTCTCTGCATGGCTGGAACTATAATTGTCAGCTTGGGTGACTCAAAAACCGGTTTAAGTGCAATTGCTTCAAACCCTCTTCTTGGAGACTTTCTTGCTCTCATCTCAGCAGGGTTTTACGCTGTGTATATTACACTTATTCGCATGAAATTACCTGATGATGATGATGGAAAAGATGGTCATGCCAGTATGGCACAGTTTCTTGGATATTTAGGGCTTTTCAACCTGTTCATTTTTCTTCCTGTTGCTCTTGTACTGAATTTCACCAAGTTAGAGCCTTTTAATATCCTTACCTGGAAGCAGTTTGGTCTAATTGTTGGCAAAGGTTTGTATTCTATTCATTCTTGCATGACAATGAAAGTTTCACAATGTTTAACTTTGTGCTTTTGTCTATGCCTTGAAATGCAGGATACATATTATGTTACTAGCGAAAGCTTTCTCAGTATTTTACTTAATGTTCCTTGAACAGAAACTGATGCATTATTGACATTATGGGCTGTTTATAATTGTACAACATGTAATATTTCCTGTGCACACAATTTTTTCTGTACTTCTATATCCGTTCTTTTTTTGTTTATGTTTCTAATATCTTTAGATAAGTGTAGTTTTTGTGATGTTGACATACTAAGCCATCTAATTCATCAATGAGCAAGAACATTTTTTTTGTATTCAATGGGATATCAGCCACTGTCATTGTTAGTCAGTGAGTTCAAGGATCCTCCCAAGAAATTATATCATTATTTATTAGTAGACCTCCAAAAGCAGATCATATGTTACTAGGCTTACCTGAAGATTTGATATGGGAAGTGCAGTAGTGGCTACTTGTGCCAAATCTATGTGTAAACTTGATGCAAAATTCACCATATTTGAACCAGAAGTATCTGACTATTCCATAGAATGCATCTCTGTTAGGATTATACAATATAGAAGTTAACTTGGAAATAAGTACTTTCTTTGAAGTATATAATGCAGCCTGATATAGGTTAATAATAAGTGATTAAAGCACCCTAGCAGTTAGTATCTTCACTAAATCCTGTTTCATAAATCATCATTTGTGTTTTATTATATAGAGTTTCATGCCTTTCACAACCAACAAAATGGCCAATCTGCATGACTACATTACCTTTCAATGAACTTGTATGATATAGTTGCCATCTTTGCAGTTTGTGATTCATATTTACACATTTGACTTTTGTGAAAAAACTCAGTGGTACATTTATTGTACTCTTTTAGAAAAAGAATCATAAGTAATTGCAGTATTGATAGATAGATAGATAGATAGATAGATCTCACTAATCCTCACATGGTTTGAAACTTGGCATGGTGAGGTGGTAACTGTCGTTAGTATGCATTTTACATTCTCCATATTGATGTTTAGTGCCAGCACATTCTCTGAAAGTAGTTTCTCAATGCATCAACCTTCTTCAAATTTGAAATTGACTCTGTCCTGCTGTACAAACTAGTTCTACAAATAACCTTTCTTGTATGCATAATCTGTTGCCTGCACGACGGAGGAAATTTCTCTTGGTCAGCTCTGCTGAACATCACTGTATGCATGGTTCTCTCACACGATTCTTTATGCACTGTTATCATACTTATCATTCTTTAAGAAAAATGAAAAAAAAAAAAAAAGGAATGCGATGTTGACCAGATGACAGCATTAGATCATCTTTCATTTCAGAGGAACATGTTATGCTAATCGGCTTCTGCAATGGGCATAATGCCATTATAACATATGACTGGTTTCCATCTTCCATATGTTTTTTTTTCTCTAATTGATAGAAGCAGAGGGTGGAATTACTATATCTTTTAGCCCTTGTTTATATTTTGCCCGAGTATGATGGTATGATATAAAATAATGTTGCATTATCTGTTCTGAGAAACACCTGCTTCTTTAAAAATTGGAATTCAACTTTAGTTTTTATTCCCTTCCTTTTGTGTCTTAAACAGGTTTATTAGATAATGTGCTGAGTGACTATTTATGGGCAAAGGCTGTTCTTTTGACAACCACCACAGTTGCAACAGCTGGTCTTACAATTCAGGTCCCCTTGGCAGCCATAGTGGATTCACTAACAGGCAATGCCCCAGGCATCATGGACTACCTTGGAGCCATAGCCGTGATGATTGGTTTTGCTGGAATCAACATTCCTTCTGATTCTTTTAGCCGGTCTGGAGAAGCGAGTATTGAATCGAAAAATCAAAATGTTAGGTCAACTCATCAAGATCAGTCATCAACCCCTCAAGGAACAGTAGGGATTTCCTAGCATAAACATACACTAATCTTTACAGTAAGTTACAAGCATAAATACATACCAGCCATAGTGTTTCTTGGAGTAGTTGAAAATGTAACATGGATCTTCTGATTCTTTAGCTTCAAAAAAGAAATTGCTCGCAGAGTGAAAAATGTATTATCTTTAAAGGGATGGGTACCCTGCCCCTTTTTCTCACAGCTCATTACTGTCAATTTGTATTTTTATTATTCTTTTAGTGTCATATACCAAATAAATATTATGATATTATTATTATTATTATTATTATATATACTATATACTAAAACTATTCCCGAATTACTGTTTATAATAAAAGTATCTATTACTTTGAGCTTGTATTTAGAAATTTGCACACTTATTAAGAACAGAAGAAACCTTCCTGACTGCCATAAAGTACAAGGTAGTCTCTGTTTGAGGAGACCTTAGACCAGCACCTCTCCTAAGTGCAATGGAAGTCATTGATCTAGTCCTAGGCATTTTTATCACCCATTGCCGCGTCCAGCCAAGTATGTTTTAAAGCTGCTTCATGCTTGCTATTTATATTTTATATTGTTTATTTCCCCCCTCCTGTTCTAATCAGCAGATGTGGGATAAATAGCTTAAAAACATATCTATATCTTGTTCGCAAAAATTTCGCACAAACATATCCAAGAGAAGAGGAAAAAGGATAGAGGTTTTGGGTTTAATTTCACATAAATATAACCACTCTCTGATATCCTCTGGTAAGGAGTGTTTCTGTAGCTGTTTTTGTTTTAATTTGTCTATTCACTGTTTCTACTGTTGAGTAATTGACACTTTGATCATTACTCTGTTTTGCAGTGAGCTTTGGTGTTTTTTAGAGTTCAATAGTCCTTATTTGGCACTAGAGAATTTTGTTAGTGACATTCGTTGTAATTTATTGTGGTTGTTAAATGGATTATTAAGTTTTGGCAGTTGTAGCTATACATTCTCTTGCTCCACCTGGGCTTAGATGACCATATTTCAAATGATCCTCTATTTAGTATTCCTTTTCCTCTTTTGAAAGGAAGGAAATCTTAAAAGATGCAAAAAGCAAATGAAAGACCATAGAATGCAAATCATTGAACAGATTTAGATTCTTGAACAGATTTAGGGTCTGAAGAAACCGAGTAACAGGCAATGTGCCATTCAGTTAGCATTTTAAAACACCAATGAGGTGGGGGGTTCCACAAATTCCAGACTACAGCCAATTTTAGGCTTACACTGGGAGCACATGTATACATCTGAATTCTGATCGCTTTAAAGAAAACACAATTTCTAATTTTGTTGCACTGTAAGATTTGTATTTCCATATCTTTGCATGACTCTCCTGGTTGCAAGAGCTGCAGCCTCACTTGCTCGCAATGTGCCTGTAGCCATGATTGCAGCAAATTCACGGCCTATCTCCTCCTGCACCTTATTCCGAGCATTGCCAAGAGGATCTCCTGCAACCCCATTGACTTCCGAAGGCTTGACTGCAGGAGGTACCAACGCCTTTGATGCCTTTGGCCCCTCAGACTTTGTATCTTCAGATTCCACTTTGTCATCAGCTGCTTTAACAGTTGTTTTTAAACCTGAGGGTTTATCAATAGCAGTTGTCGCAGGTGGTGAGGGCTGGGTCATCGAAGTAGGCCTGAATTGTGGGACTTGTGGAACAGCTCCAGCTCTCAATGTTGACTCCAGATTTTGTATCATGGGCACTACATATGAAAAGGTAGAAATTCGACAATCAGCCACCATACCAGATAGGTTGAGAAGACTGTTAAAAAGTGAAGTGTGCAAAGAATAAAGGTAGGTGAAAACTCACTTATAAGAGCACCCATTGGACTGTTCACAACTTCGTTAGGCAGCTGAATAATGTAGTCTGGGATAGTTGCACCAACCAAAAACTGTGCAACTTCATTGCTAAAGTTGTTACAATTGTGAGAAAGCAAACTGTATGTCTCAGCTGTATACCGCGGGCTAATTTCCTGCAAGTACATTTCAAATACATCCTGCGGTACATGTGTGACGCCCAAATCTACAACTTTAAGTGGTGTTCCATAAGGAGTTCTTCCAGCAGGATCATGCTGTATGCCTCCCCCAAAATAGTATTCATTACCATACACAACTACTCCTGTGTGCCTACCATGCAAAAGAACAAGTAAATCAGGCAGCAAAATAGAAAGGGGAAAAAAAAGGAACAGGAACTTATCAAATGTCCTAAAACTTTTTGATTTTATGCAAACGTTTCCTCGAAGAGAGGTTGGATAAAAAGCTGTATCCTTGTGACGTTATTTTAATACTACCTATCAATTTTCAATACATGCCACAGGAAAATTTCATTTCCATTTCAACAAAAAGGCACTAGAACTAAAACTAATCTCATGTATACTCTACATCTCCACTAATCACCAAAGCGACAAAAATTGGATAAAGAAAAAACACTGAACAATAGAATATAAGAAAATGCTTCCACGAGTCAAATTGGAATCAACATTAGTCCATCAAGATGATAGAAAGGAGGATTAATCCGCTGAACAGTCCACAGAGCTAATGAATATGTAGCAATACGAGTTGTACTTGCAGAATACTTTCATATTGTAACAATAAAACTAAGCTTATATTCATATTACATCATAAGATGGCACAAACGAAATATTCATTAACATATACATCTCATCATAGTTCAAAAACATTTTCTTTTTCTCAATGCAGATATAGTGACGTTATGCCTTAACTTCCTGCTGTACACTAAAATCTTACCAAATACCCTCAATAGCTTTTCCCAAAAACGTTGTTGAGAGATGACGTGCCAATCCTTGGCTGAGGTCATACACATTCAAGGTAACCTTGTGACCCTCCTGCCACCACCATTTTACACACATGAATAGAAATCCTAAGCATATTACAAATGCCGATGACAGATGGATTTTAATACTTTATAAAACAAACAAAAACAAAAGAATTCTATACCTCAGCCATCTTCCAATATGGAAACAAAAAGTTTGAGTCTTTACCACCGCAAAAGATGTCCTAACTAATGAAGTCTGTTTTGGGAGATCAAGATGTCACCTTCAAAACACAAATTCAAAATAAGCAAAAGCGCGCAACTTCAGTAAGTCAGCATAATAAATTGCGAGATCAACGAATAAGAGCCCAAGATTCTGCAATTCACACGGAAATTAAAATTTCTAGCAAAAATCAATCAAAGAAAAACAAACCTAACAAAATACACAATAAAATTAGAGAATTTTATTCAAGCTAATCAAACATTCACGAGCTTCCATTCCAAATAATACAGATCTAGATCAAATTCCATCCAAAAATGAAACAAAAACAACACATGGCCACAAAATCTGTCAAAGATCAAGACATTGACAACCCCCACATAATCCATAACGCTAAACGACCAAGATTCGCAGTTGAAAATTTAACAAAAAATAAAAAAGAAGAAACAAGAAGAAGAGAACTCACCTGAAAAGAAGAAAACCGGCGTCTCAGGCTTTGCACTTGCCAATTGTTTGTTTGCGCGGCCACAACCGAAATGAATTTATATTTATGGTTGGGGATCTGGGCCCCAAAGCTGTCCGCAACGACTTTTGCACCGCGGCCAGAAGTTTGGATCCCTCTATTCCTCTTCTATGACCTTCTAGAACACCCTAGCCAATCGTCTTATGACACGTGTGCTATTGGTTTAATTTCTCTTCATCGTCGGTGTCCCTTCTTAATCATTTTCGGTTCTTCGGTTAAAATAAGTTAACGCAGACTAATCACTAATCCAGCTTATTAAAACGCCTAGTTTGACAATAATTAATTAAATCTTTTTAAATTATTTAATATTTAACAATTAATCAAATATTTATTATTACAACAACTAATATAACTAGCAACTCAAATAAAAAAAATACTAATATAACTAATAACTAATATTACAAATAAAACATTATTGTTTTGTTATTTAAAGTTATGTAATCATTATTTTAAATTTTTACACTAAATTTTCAATTTTTTTTTACAGAACTTTTTTATGATCAAAGTAAAATTAATGGACTATAAAATTAATTGCCTTCGAAGGCGAGCCGAATTAGTCAAATTTATTGTAGACCATTAAACGAGCCTAGACACCTCGTAAAAATATTAAAAAAATTTTAATTTGAATCTTTTTATAAAACATTACAATAAAAATAATTTATTTTTTTACTAAAATATGTTACTGGAACTTCATGAAAGTAAAAACCCTTTTTTTTCTTTAGAAAATTCGATTTCTTTTATTGAACAATGCAATTTTTTTAAAACATTATTGTAGATTCTTAAAATTTTTTTATTAAATTTCTCTTAAAATTTAATTTTGTAATGAAAAAATTTAAGTATAGAAAAGAATAAAAGGTTATACATTGGAAAAATGAAAGATTTAAGAAATACATTGGAAAAAAAAAAACAGATTATTTGGAATTTATACATCACCTATGTTTAAAAATTATTTAGCCATCAACAAGGAATTGATTAAGATGATAAGCGAACTCAAATCCTGTAAGGATAAAATATAAGTTCGATCCCAGAAAACGAAAGGGCAAAAAACTTTTACACTTTATAACTTGAAAGGATTATACCTCAAGGGGGAAAAAAAAAAAGATTTCTCTAGCCAATCAGGTGTGGATTAATTAGTCTTTTGATTAGTGTTAAGAGTGAAAAATTTTGAGTTTGAGTCATTTTAACTATAAAAGTTTTCGCTATTTAGTGAGTGAAAGAGAGCTAGCGTAGAATTTATTAAAAATGGAAGTGCCCTTGAATTGTTTATTATTGAATAAATATTTTATTTTCCTCGATCCCTTTCTTTTTAAGTAATTGATCTCAAATATAGATTTCCAAAATATAAAATTGAGTATGATATTTTTAACGCTAATAAAAAATGTTTGGAAGTAAATTTGAAATTCGAATTATGTTTAGAAGAAAACACGTTTGGAGACAATCATGTAACTAGATTAGTTCTTGTAATAATAGCTATCTGATTAATTGCTAAATATTAAATAACTTAAAGAATTTAATAATTATTGTCAAACTAAATATCAGACATTCTTGTAATAACAATTATCGAATTAATTGTTAAATATTCAATAGCTTAAAATTTTTAAATAATATATTTTAATTTTAGTTTCATTTAAAAGGATATGAATTTTTTTATTTCATTAAAAAGATCAGGACCTATATTAGCTTAAAAATTTTAAATAATATATTTTAACTTTATTTTTATTCAAAAAAATATGATTTTATTTCATTAAAAAGATCAACAACTATATTAGCTAAAGTTTTATATATAGTCTATACGCTTATTTGTAATTGTTGATATTATTATTAATGAATTTTATTTTCAAAAAAATTTAAATAATTATTCACGTTTCACAAAATATTTTCTCTTCAATCTCTAAATACTAATATAAAGATTGTATTAACTAAATACTTTCACAGAATATTTTCCCCATACATTTTCTTTTCTTTTTACTACTAACTAAAAGTATTTTCAGCATATTATATTAAGATAATATCCCGCTCGTATTTACTTCATCTACGAGAACTGAATCATTTGGTAACCATTAATTTTTTATTCAAATTATATTTGGTAAAAATCAAACTTAAATTTCATATCTGCATACAAATTTTCAGTACTTCATATATTTAAACCATTTTTTTACTAAATTAACTATACATTTGTGTTGACTTTCTCCCTTTTTCTTTATTGCTTCAATTTTCACCCTACTTTACATATTTGAACATAGTAAACCTAAATTAAAAATCAGCAAGCTTTTGTTGCTGGGATGTCACATGATATTAAATTGGACAGATTGCAAGATAATGTCCTAAAGGGAATAATTTAATACCCAAAATTTGTAAATTTTGACGAAACCAAAGTAATTGGAAGTTGACGTAAATAACAAGACTCTATATAGAGAAAGGGAAGACAATGAAATCAAAAATTTCCCAACTTCACACTCCATTAGCCCGATTTCTACTAAATGCTAATGCGTGAGCCTATTTATGTCTCCCCTGACATAGCTTGCGTCCTACGTGAATTCAGCGCATGACACGAAGACACTCCCGAGCGTCACGGACGTTCCTTCACAAATATTTTATCGTTAAACCTCGAACGTTTCTTTGTAAAAAAACAAACCTCAAACACTTGTCTACTTATCTTTTTTAATAAATCTCAATTTGCCTTTTTTTTTTTTTCCTAGTATTTAGGGAAAAATACTTAAAACTGAGTTTATTATCCGGTTGTACATGTATTGTCAATGAGTTATATCTTAGTGTACCTTAATTTGTATTTTGAGTTTAAAAATAATAAATAATTTGTTCAAAAATTAATTTTTTGTATAATTTACTCTTCAAATCAAATATAATTAAAAAACTATACAAATAACAATAAATATTTTTAAAACTAAATACAATTAAATATTTTTCTTATTCTATAATTTTTTTAAATCAAATGTTTTGATTAATTATTTTGTAAATCAAAGACAAGATGAAGTAATTTTTTAAAATTATTATTATATATTAAAATAATTTTTTCTTTCCTAATTTCTAACTTTTTATATACTTTTTATTAGGTAAAAGTATTAAAAATTAAAAATTTAGTGCAAATTTAAGAGATAAATTATATAAAAAATTTATTTTTTTGGCAAAATTATATATTACTTCTAATTTTATAGGACAAATTGAATTTCATTCATTTATTTTCCTACCGTGGTGTTTTGATGATATGATAGTTATCAAAATGCCCAAACTATTCTAACCGATTCGAACTAACTTAAAATTATTTTTAAATTATTAATACTATAGTAAATAATTTATGCAATGATTAATACTATAGTAAACATTTAATATAGCATTATTTTCCTTATTAACTAGATAAATGGAGAAGTTTAATTTATTTCTCTTAAACCGTTTAATATTGAATGAAACCGCTTTTAAAAGTTTAGTTTGATTTTTAATTTTTTCAGACCACCACTTTAGATTTGATTATATTATTACTTCAAATTAAATCGACCAACCCACAAACAGTTGTATTTACCCGTTTATAACTATTAATTAGTCTTTCTATTTATAAATATAAGTCATTTTAAAAATATTAAAAAATAATTAATGTTTTTTAAATTTTATTTTAATTATTTCTATAATTTCCTAAAACAATCTTTAGACAAATTAATAATACGAAATAAAGAGTATTTATTTAAATTAATAAATATTTTATTATAATTTAAGAAAATTAATTATTTTATTAATCTTTTTAAGAAAAATATTTTATTAATTATTGTGCGAAAATCTTAGTCATTTATACTTATGGATGGAAAAAATAGATTCATATGCATTTAAAATCAAGTAATATTTAAATGAAATTCTTCCAATAATAATAGTTTGAAATTGTAACTACCTTAACCGTAAAGGTAAATTCAATTAAAAATGTAGTAGTTTACAGTTAATTCAAAATTTTATTTGGAAATACGATGCTGTCTCTCAGACCCAACGTGTTAGGTAAACCTCGAACACATATTCACTCCTCAACTCCAGTCCACATCCGCCAAAACGCATAATCCTCAACTCGCGCGTGTGCATGAATTGAGCTGTCTCCCTTCACATGCAAACTCGTTCGATACTTAATCGGTCGACAGGGCCGTGACCTACCGAGCCTATTAAAAATCCAAAGCTTGCTTTACCGAACCTAACTCCAAACCGTAAGCTTATATATATACTAACCATGAAAACGACAACAATGTAGCATCATAGCGAGTTTTCCGCGAATGTCACTCCATGCTCACGATTCGGTTCTGCTTTTTATCTCCCGCTGTTAAAGCTCGAACAGTTCTACTTCACTTACACTCAAAGAGAATCTTCAATTGCTCAAAATTTGTCTCAGCTACGTCAATTTAAGAATCTTGATTCTTTTAAACTCATACGAACTGTATGGAATTCTTAGTTCCCTAGCGAAATTTTTGTTTCCATGGTTGAATTATGTGTTTCTTTTGCCAACTTTGAATTTTCGTTTGGTTGATTTTCTTGAATTTAGGGTTTTTCATGTGGAGATCTTGTGAGATTATGTTATAGTTGAACCTTTGCATTTCCAGAGCCATAATTTTGAACTTGGCAAAGCTAATTTTGCTGTTTTGGAAATTGAGGTAAGATTATGTGTTATAAGCTTGATTTTCTTTATAGTGTTTGTTCTCATTATTCTTCTTCTTTATTTGCTTTTTGGTTTTAAATGGCTTGAATTATTGTTACTTTATAGAAGAGATCTGAAGTAGTGATGCTTTTTCTTGCAGATAAGAGCTGTGATCATTTGTAATTCTTTAGTCCTTGTTGCAAAAGAGAAATATGGGGCAGAATAATTGGGAAGCTGATAAGATGTATGTGCTCTGTTAATAATTTTTGTTTTGTCGTCTGAGTTTTAGTTGATTCGGTGTTTCAAGTTTTTTTCATGCTTTTTTAGTGTTGTTAGGTAAATTATTGTAGTGATATTTTCTCTTTTCTTGGTATAGGCTTGATGTGTATATTCATGATTATTTGTTGAAGAGAAAATTGCATAATTCTGCAAAAGCTTTTATGACTGAAGGGAAGGTGGCCACAGATCCAGTAGGTAATGTTGTTGGCTAGTTGAGTAATTTAATTTAATTTTTTTTAATGCATAACTAGGTTGTTTATGTAATGGCAAACACACTAGGTTGTTTTTGGGCTATTCACATTGTTTTAGTTAATCAGTGTATGCAAAATGAAAACCTTATTAGGGAAAATTAGAGGATGAGTATGATTCTTGCTTTACCTGAACTTTCTGAATGCACGTATTGAGCTTTATTGCTAAGTTATAATTTGTGTGCAGCAATTGATGCACCTGGAGGATTTCTATTTGAATGGTGGTCTGTCTTTTGGGACATTTTTATTGCAAGGACAAATGAGAAACATTCTGAGGCTGCTGCAGCTTATATAGAGGTGTCTTAGTGGTCCATTTTTCTTTTTCTATTTGGTGTTTTCTTGGTTAGAGAAGGTGACCTATGTGCTTTCACTTTCACTTTCATCATTTTGATTATATACAATTTACACGGAAAATAGGCACAGCAAATCAAGGTCAGGGAGCAGCAACAGCAACTGCAAATGCAGCAGTTGCAACTAATGCAACATCGCAATGCTCAGCTGCAACGAAGGGACCCTAATCATCCAGCTCTTGCTGGTTCTATAAATGCTATGAACTCGGAAGGAATGATGGGGCAGCCATCAGCTAGTGTTTTGGCAATGAAGATGTATGAAGAACGCATTAAACACCCTCATTCTATGGACTCAGAGACAGCGCCGGCTCTAATTGATGCTAATAGGATGGCGCTTTTCAAGTCAGCAACAAGTCATCAGAGGTATAATTATATGCATTCTTGACCTCTAATTTTACAGTCATTCAGCCCAGTTGGATTGGATAATCAATTTCTTGAGTCCTTGTGGATTCAGCCAGCTGGTACAGGGTAATTCTGGGAACATGTCAGCAGCTTTGCAGCAGATCCAAGCGCGGACTTCTTTGACAACTGTAACTACTTGGACCAGCCTCTGCTTTAATTTTGCTAGTTCCTGCTCTTGTTCCATTTCTGTTCATTTAGAATGTCCATTCCACCAGTTGTGACCTGTTTCACACATGGAGTTTATAGGACATCAAAAGTGAAGTTAACTTGGGCCCAACTCAGAAAAATTTGCCCATGGACCCTTCATCCATTTATGGACAAGCAATTCTACAATCAAAATCTGGACTAGGTGGTGCAGGTAATGGTGGAAGAGATTGCCATATGAAATGTTTGTCATCATTTCTTGAGTACAGCACACATGTTTTTTTTTATCCTTCTACAGATAATACGGTTTTGGAAAGAAAAATTGAAAATTAATGTTAATGTCATGTATTGAGTACTGAGAGATAGCATCGCAATCGAGTAAATGTTGGCATGTTGCAATGTGAGATAATTCAGTAACCTTAAATTTACATTTAGGATTTTCTGGCTTGGTTGGTATATTTTATGGGTTAGTTAATACAATGTTAAGTTCCAAATGTGTTATTACTATACATATCTTTTCTCTTTTGAAGTTATTATCCATAAGGTGGTTGTGTCCATATCCATTATAGATGGATGCTACTCAGTTGAGTTCATTTTAGAATTTAAAAATGTGAACACTGAAAAGTAAATATCCTGTCCAAGCACGTGCGCGCACAGAGATTTATTTAGCATTCTGTTCCCGTTTCTGCCGCATTGAATTTTTAATGACATGCTAGGTTCTTCACTGGACATAGTTAAATACCCTGCTTAACAATCTTGGTTGGAAATGATTGCTCTTTGCAAATTAAACGGAAAAAATGATTTTCTTTCTTCATTCAGGATTGAATCAAGGTGTAACTGGTCTTCCATTGAAGGGTTGGCCCTTAACTGTAAGTTGCATTTGGTTTTTCTTATGCTGGATATTCCATGTATCTTTTATTTGCATATGTCCATGTTTATGACTGCAAAATACACCTAAATGCTACAGGGAATTGATCAATTAAGGCCAGGCTTGGGTGTACAGATGCAGAAACCTAACCTGCAGACCCAAAATCAGTTTCTTTTGGCTTCACAACAACAGCAGGTCCTGGCACAAGCTCAAGCTCAGAGTAGCGTTGGAAATTCAAATAATTTTGGAGACATGGACCCACGACGGCTAAGTCAGTTGCCTAGGAGTAGCTTGATCACTAAAGATGTTCAATCCACTAGAAATGATGGATCAATATGCTCTCCTGTGCAATCAAGCTCACCAAAGGTTCAGATATCTTCCCAAATAACCCAAATAACCACACACACACACACACACACACACAAAAACACACTTCTTTTTATCAGCTTAATTGTTTGAATGTATTAAATTTTAGACTTTATATGCCCCTTATAAAATTGATTATTAATGGAAATTTTCTAAACAATTGCATTTAGTTAAAGACAACCAATTAATTATGTAATTCATAATTCTTGATAAGGAAAAATTATTTATTGAAAAATTGAAAATAGTTTTGGAAATTAAATGATGACTTTATTTATTCTCTCTCCAATTTGTATGATTAATTAGGGAAAAGAAACGATAAGATCTGATGCATTATGTCTGTCAAATAGATTATTTTTTTAATGGTTATTTTATGTACACAACAACATTCTCGATAATAAGGAAAATTCATTACTGAGCCACCAACTTTCAATTCATGCTAATAGTTGAAACGTATGGTACCTTTTTTATCCTGGCTGATTAAGCTGTGATAAGACAATGAGAGATAGAGGCTATGCATTTTTGTGTTTGGATTTCTCCTGCCTTCATGTTTTGTACATATATTCAGATGCAAAGACCAACATATAAATCATCTCATGTTAAAGGAAAGTCGAACTTTTTTAATCCCTTCTTCATTCCCAGTAAAATAGAAAGTTTTACTATTGTTTCTTTCAAAGAGGAAGATGAAGCCTGCTTTATTTTTAATTTCTTTTCTCCATTCTATTTGGTGTTTTGTTCCTGTGCTCCTGTTGTGGGATGGGTTGTGAAGGGAAAATGCCATCCAAATAGAAGCAAACTATTGATTGTGTTCATGTAATGCATCTCCATCAATGATTGTTATTCTTATAATCACATTTATATTGCAATAATAAGTATGAACTTTCGTTCTACATGTTATGTCTCTGATTTTCTGAGTTATTAAGAATGCATCTCTAAAATCTTTTTGGAACTTGCTCTGGCTTCCTTTCCTGTGAATATCAATTAAGGACTTGAGAATCTTTAATCAGTCCTAAATGCCATATTACTGAGTATTTGGTGCATGTTAACCAGATGAAGATGGCCCAGATGCAGCATTCTTCATCTCAACAACAGGACCAATTACAACAGCAACAACAACAGTTGCAACAGGTTGTTCTTATTTTGTTCACGATGAACTTGAATCTCAGCTTATGACCTGACATGAATGTATTTGCAAGGGCAGTACAATTTTCTCTGAAGTTATGTGCATTCTGGATAACCCACATTAAAATGCATTATGCTAATAATTCTTTAGTGGGTGGCTACAGAGTAACAGAAAAAGGAAGCAACACTCTTCTTCCGGAGCTGCTAACAGCACTGGTACAGGGAATACTGTGGGTCCTTCGCCCAGTTCTCCTCCATCAACACACACCCCTGGTGATAATTTGCAGCATGGTGTGTCAAAAGGCTTGATGATATATGGTCCAGAGGGGACAGGAGGTCTTGCATCCTCTTCTAGCATGCTGGTAAAAAAGTGGTGTGAAGAATTAGGAAATTATATAACAGACACTTTATTAACTTTCAATTCTGAATTATGAGCATGCAGTCTCCAATTTTCACAAATATATGGAATCTCTGGTTCTTTCGTGATACATTAATGATTGTGTGCTAATATCAATCTATCAGATTTTATTTTCTAGCATATTATCACAACTTTGTTGTTTTAAAAAGAATTTCTTCCAATGTAACTACATTTTGAATGCTTTGAAGTGTAGAAATGCATAAAAAATAAGCATGATCGTGCTTCTGAGGGCAATCATTTGTCTTGTGCAGGAAGACATGGACCGCTTTGGAGATATTGCTGCCCTGGATGATAATATGGAACAGTTTCTTCCTCATGATGGAGGGGATGGAAGGGATTTATATGGAACGCTGAAGCAAAGTTCCACTGAGCACCAAAAGGAATCTACTAAAGGTAATCAAATCCGCCATGGCATCATCCTCTTGTGTCTTTATGAAGTTGGAATGACATTCACTTTATACTTGATTTACAATCACGCTATCAATTGCAGGTTTTACTTTTGGTGAGGTTGGTTGCATACGGACAAGAAATAGTATGGTCACTTGCTGTCATTTTTCTTCAGATGGAAAATTGCTAGCCAGTGCTGGACATGACAAGAAGGTATAATGTGTAATATTACAGATGGTAAATCCATGCTTGAAAACATATTTTCCCAAACGGACAATTGGTTCATTCAGTTATTGCTCATAATAGTGTCCGTTAAGAATTATAGACAGTGTGGCCTAAAATCCCAAGTGCATAGAGCCAACTTGGGAAGCACAAGCAGCAACTCCTGCTGTTAACAAATTTCATTAAACCAATGTTCCTTGCCACTGTGGGTCTCTGCATTTATGACAAGAGTTACTCTCGTTCTTTAAGCATCTAATTGTCTGCTTTGCACGGTCATGTATCGGTTTGAACTAATAAGCAACATGTGGCTCTGTTACCTTCATCAGCATATGAGCAGAGTATAAACAAGAAGTTGAAAAATGTAATATGAACTGAAGCTAAATATCATATAAGTTACTGTTTGCTGTATGCATTAGATTGTCCTGTGGAACATGGATACCCTACAGACGGAGACAACTCCTGAAGAGCACAAATTGATTATCACAGATGTTCGTTTCAGACCGAATTCGTCTCAGTTAGCCACAGCATCAGTTGACAAATCTGTGCGATTATGGGATGCAGCCAATGTGAGTATCTTTCTCTGTATTGTTCATAAATCCAGTTGAGTCCTGAAGGCTTTAGGTTCAACTGAGCATTCATGACATCTTTAGTTGTAAATTGGCATTTAGTTCATTTCTTTTGCTTGCTGTGCTTTCAGTTTTCTGCCAATGATTCATAATCCATACCATAAGTTGTTCTGTGCCGTAATTCCTAATATAATGTTTTATTCTTTTATGTTTGTCTCACAGCCAAGCTATAGCGTACAAGCATATACAGGGCAGATGCCTGTCATGTCCCTGGACTTTCATCCTAAGAAAACTGACCTTTTCTGTTTTAGTGACAACGAAAAGGAAGTTCGCTATTTTACTATAAATCCATTTTCCTGCACTCGCATTTCTAAGGTTTGTTATTTAGCATTATTGTCCTTTATTCATTCTTTGTTGGGTCTTTCAGTTCTTCTAGTAAGCTGCATTGAATCACTGTTCTGGTTCAATCTTTTGCTCAGGGAGGTGCTGCACAAGTGAGATTTCAACCAAGAATTGGACATTTATTGGCAGCAGCATCGGATAAAGTGGTGTCCATATTTGATGTCGAAACTGATAGGCAAACTCATTCATTCCAGGTACACCATTTGAAATGATGGACTGTTAGTAATTCTGGCCAAGTTCAGGCAGTTGGTACACTGATATTAAAATAAGAAAATGTATGAAGAGTAGCTTTCAGAAAATAAACTTTTGTTGACTGTTGATGTCCATAATGGTTCCTCATATTATTTATAGGGCCATTCTGAAATGGTGAACTACATATGCTGGGATGCAACTGGGGATATTTTGGCATCTGTAAGTCAGAACTCGGTGAAGATATGGTCTTTGGCCTCAGGGGAGTGCTTTCAGGAGCTTAGTTCTAATGGAAATCAGTTCCATTCTTGTGTTTTCCATCCAAGTTACTCAACCCTCCTGGTGATAGGAGGAATCTCGGTAGGTCCTCCTTTCTTGGATTACTCTATAAACTGGTATAGACAAAGTTTTGTAATGTCTTGCTGGTGATTATTCATAGTAGACATGATTATGCGTGTTAAGGCATGTCTTTCATGGTTTATGCATGGCTCCTATTTTTGATATCGACAGTTGTTTGATATTTTTACTTCACTGATCATTGCTACCTGAACATCTCATGGAAATGGATTGCTTGTGGACTAGGATATTTGAGTTAGATATCTATTATAAAGTTTCTTTGAAGCTGAGGTCTTTGGTGCAATTTTTCAATATATTTATCATCTGTAACACACACAAAAGGACAAATATGGAATACTTTTGAAATGATTAGAGTACAACCAAATATTATAATGTGAAATTAGTAAACTGATGTAAATTTTTTATTTTTCTACTTTCCTATCTGTGTTTATTTTCTGGCTGTTGGCATAACTACTGACTCCAGGGTATAAATTATATTTTTCTTAGAGATACATGTAATTGTTGGAAAAGAAAAAACAAAACCTGCTTCACACACAATTTGGTTCATATACAACATGGCAAGGAGTTCACTTTGGTGCTTTGGCATTTCTTGGTATGATCATATTCATAGGATAAACATAATATTCTCCTCACTTGAATTGAATGGATTCATGATTCAGGTTTTTCTCCATTTTGCGCCAGCATCATAGCAAGTCTCCACCCAGATGCATCGCAATGAGTTCAGACTCATAATTCCTGTTAAATGCTGCCTTTCTAAACTAATTGATTTGATATTTTTAATTGTGGCTGTAGTCCTTGGAGCTATGGAACATAGCTGAGAATAAGAGTATGACAATTGCAGCTCATGAGAACATAATCTCAGCCTTGGCACAGTCCCCCATCACCGGAATGGTGGCTTCTGCAAGTCATGACAGCTCTGTTAAACTATGGAAATAGAAGTCCCGATAAGGCATTAGCTTCGCAGAAATCTATGGAGCAAGCAATGGAATATTGGTTAGATCAGCTGCACAATTTTTTTTTTTTCTTTTGGAGTTATTGTTTACCCTACATAAATGTATTAGTTGCTAAATAGGTAATTTGTAGTGCATTTTTTTTGTGATTCTATTTGGTTGAAGGTTCTGAGAATCAAGAAGCAGGTGTAGCAGCTTGTTTGGCGGAAGATTTCATGGTAGATTCCTAATTGGCAATAGATCATGTGTACAGAAATCCAGTTCTGATAGATACTGTTTGAGCTTCTTTTTTTTTTTTTTTTTTTTTTTTTTTTTTTTTTTTGATGAATACTGTTTGAGCTTCTTTTTTTTTTTTTTTTTTTTTTTTTTTTTTTTTTTTTTTTAATTCCTTTATATAGTATTTACTTATATTTTAAGATTCTTAAATTGTTTGGCCCTGCATTTTTTTTTTTTTTTTTTTTTTTTTTTTTTTTTTTTTTCAATTCCTTTATATAGTATTTACTTATATTTTAGATTCTTAAATTGTTTGGCCTGCATGCTAGAAGTGCGTGCTAACCAAAAATGCTTCAAAAGTAAACCTCTAAGATGGCCAGAGACATAGGATGTAAGTTTTAGATTTTCGCGGCTAATGGAAGAAAATGCAGTGAGAATGAAAAAGAAGCATGAAATGGAACTCTTAACAGAAAGTTTATTAGAGCCATGCTAAATGATCTAAGTTGCGCCTGACACAATCTTTTATATTTATTTTATTATTCATGCTTTAATTTATAATTTAATTGTAATTACTAATTTGAGATATGATTTATATGGAATTAGCAATTGGTGTGAAAAACGATGCCACCTATCTCCATTTAGAATTCAAACATCAATGATTGAGCATTGAAAGCCTTCTAAACGAAAATACCTTAAAACTTTGTGATTTATTATAATCATATTCTACTTTTAATGAGTATTATATTTACACATACTGACATTGATTGACCACACAAAATTAAAAAAAAAAAAAAAAATCTAAATAGAAGTTTACTAATTAAATTCAGATAGGTTTGACAGCCAACAATTTTATTTTTAGCGAATATTATTAATCAGTACAAGATAAAAAAGTGAAGATAACAAATTGAAAGCGGATAAAAAAAAAAAAAATTTAATAACCGCCTCTATCAGAGAGAAGTCGTTATCTATTTTTCCTTTTGCATAAACCGACTCCGTCCCAACAACAGTGTATGTTTAGCTCCCTTCCTCGTCGCCATTTTGTCAAGATCTAGGGTTTCAATTTTCAAATTGGGACCTTATATGTGACAATCTTTGACATTCTATTCGTCTTTCTGTTGCATTTATCAACAATTTAACCATGGGGAAGGGTGAACCCACCGCCACCGCCACTTCTACCGCTGTTGAATCGGAGGAGAACATTTCCGATTGCTTTATCTGTTGCATTTGTCTGTAATTGCTCTTAACTTTACCTTTTTAATACTATTTCTGCTATATTAATCAATAATGATGTGGTTAACAGATTTGAGGTTACAAAATTGGGACTTTTTATCCATTTTAATTATATTTTTTCGGTATGTGAAGAGAACAAAATGAAGAATTGGGTCCAGATAACATTATCTAGATTGTTATTTAGTTATGTGTTTGGAACGTTCAGTAATTTTATGAATTGGGTATGAAGTGGTGATGAAGCCTTCTTTGACAAAGTTTATTCTGTCAATAGAATTTTGTATTTTGCAAATTATAATTTTTATGAACATAGAATTGTAAAAGAGTTTTAGAGACTGCTTGGTTCAATTCCTGTTGTAATTTAATTGAATTTCATGAGTTTAGTTTCAAGAATTCAATTATGTGGAATTGGTTATAGCTGAAACTAAATTCTATCAAAATTTGATGGAATTTGAAATGAATTCTACAAAACCAACATAATATTATTTGTAGGACCAAAATATCCTTAATAAATCAATTAAATAGATTATTTATTTCAAAAAAATTAGAAATAAAAACAATAAAAATCACACGCAAAGCATAAAAACAACACCAGATATTTTAATATTAGCTTTCTAATATCTAAGTTTATAATGCACTTATCAATGACATTATTTATGTTGTTAGGTAAACCTCCTATTTTGAGGCCTATGAATTAATTTGATATTTATTATTAGATTGTTTTATTTTTAATTCAAATTTATTAGCATATTGTTAATTGGTTTATGTATTTTTTTAACCAATATAAATTTATCAGATATTAGATTTTTTTTACTTGAGTTAAAAATTATTGTCTCTAAATGTTACTATTGATAGTAGTTTAGGAAATAAGAAAAAATATACTTTTAAATGAAGTTTATCAGCATATATTATTAATTGGTTTATATAGTTGTTTAACCATTATAAATCTATTGGATATAAGATTTTTTTGTTTACTTGAGTTAAAAATTATTGTTCCTAAAAATGTTACTATTGATAGTAGTTAGGAAATAGGGACATATGAAATTGTATATGGAATTATACCAAACAGTTATAATATGGAATACAATTGAATTTTACATTTCGTATCAAGCCAAACATTGGAATTCAGTTCAAATGAATTCAAGTAGAATTCATTTCAAATGAATTCTAAACTCTAATAGAGTTGGACTAAACACTATGTTAAATAATTTTATATTCTGAAACATAAGAGTTATGGAATTACACATAAATTCCATAAAATTTTATGGAATTAAGTCAAATTTCTTAACTTTATTTTGCATTACTGTTTCTTACATCTTATGTTTTTTTTCCAAATATTGTGCATTTTTGCATTGGTCTTTATGACAAATAAACAAAATTTGATGTCAAATGTGAGATTAGTTAAGTTGTTTTTTTTTTTTTTTGCGGGGATGTACTTACATCAATTATGATATGGTGGACTGCACTAGATAATGGGATATCTTGCATTATAATTATTATCATTAGGTTAGTAGCTTTATATATGTACCCATGTAGCTATAGCTCAATCAAGGTTATGTATGACTTGTATTCTTGTTCGTGTTCTCATAGTTGCTTTATGATCTTGAATTATTTATTATTTTGTACTAGCTAATTCTAAATTTGCTTTCTACTTTTGTTTTCAGGGATCTTTTATTCAAACCCATAGTGCTCTGTAAGGCATTGCTTTACTACATTTGCTTTGAGAATATCAAATCAAATGCAAAACTAATGTCTTTTGTCCATTTTCCTTTCATTGCAGCTTGTGGTCATGTTTCCTGTTTCTGGTGTGTCCATAACTGCATGAATGGCGTACGAGCATCCCATTGTCCCATTTGTAGGCGTCCATATAATCACTTTCCAACCATCTGTCAGATTTTACACTTCTTGCTCCTCAAGATGTATCCGGTTGCATACAAGAGAAGGGAAGAACAAACTCTAGGTGAGCTTCATATTCTTCTGGAGTGTTTCCTTTGCACAGATGCACTGCTTCACAGCATATGATGCATATAGTCTAACTGACTTGGAGCAGGACAATAGCTACCAATGGAAGTCAAAAAATAAATATATAACCTAATAAATGAAACAATCTTCAAAAACTATACTGCTCGTTTCTTGATTTCTCCCCTTAATGAGGTATTGATAGACATTTTCATTTTAAATATAACGGTTGCTAATTCTAGCTTGAATTTGCTCTTCCATATTATACAGCATGGTGGTGATTAGCTTCGGTAAAGGCAGTAGTATGGCATTATTTTTCCTTTTTTTTATCAGGTAGGACCAGTAAAACTTAATGATATGACATTGACGCGTTTGCATGTTCCAGTGGAAGAAAAAGAAAGGGGCTGTTTTTCACCGCAGCTCAATTGCAGTGCATGTGGATCACATGCCAATCAAGAATATGATCACCTGAAGGATCCTGAACATTCATCATCCAGTAGTTTGTACTCCAACTCATGCTCAGAGTCTTGCTCCACCAGGACGGGAGAACCTAATGGAAATTGCAAGCAGGTATCAGTTGCTGATGTACAGTGCATTGCGTGCAAGCAACTGCTTTTTCGTCCAGTTATTCTTAACTGTGGCCATGGTAACCTTTTATATTTTAATTTGGCCAGTTAAATGCTATCAGATGCTATTACCTACTGTCTCGAGATTCCGGTGATGATATTCTGCTTTTGTATTTTTTGTCTTGTTTCAGGGTATTGTGAAAGTTGCATAGTAGGTTCATCTGATGGGATGCTTCGATGTCAAGCTTGTCAATCTCTGCACCCAATTGGTTGCCCAAAAGTCTGTTTGGATCTTGATCACTTTGTGCAGGAACATTTTCCTAGAGAGTATGCCTTGAGAAGAGAAGCTGTTCAGCTTAAACAAGCACTTTCTGACAATGAGAACCCTACCTGTATGTCTGCTCCTTTCTAAAGCTAACTGTGTAGTCCCTTTCCTTTTACTGCTTGAATTATGGTTCTTTTGTCATCTTTTTTTTTTTTCCGGTTACCTAGGACTTCTGCTGTTCAACTGCATGAAATGTCAAGGAATGCTTGACATGCTTAATCTAATGTGTAAATCTTAGGCTGCCAACTCGAGAGAAGCACATAAGGAAGCTTGTTTGGCTTTTTTTTAAAGAAAAAATTTTCAAGGCAGGCCTTTTTTTTTTTTGCTGGGGTTGGGGGAGGAGGGAGGGGATGGGTGGGAGTTTGTGGTGGCAGTAAGTGCATGTTCCTAAATGGCACACATGCATATGAGACGAGTCCCAAATCCATTTAACTGTATTATTTGTTAATTTGTTTTACCTTCCTGTCCAATTACACGAGTATAATTTTATTCTATGGTAATCTTTTGCTTCAATAAGACGATATGCTATTTTCTGAATTTGGACATTATAAGTTGCCATGTTGTCTGCTTCAGATTCTACAGGAGCTAGTAACAAAGATTCTCTCTTGTCATCAATTCCAAAGGCAGAGCATTTGCCACAGGTGGTGAACTCTCACTTGAAGGTCCATTATGGAGTTGGTTGCGATTTTTGTGGGGTAAATTCTAGCCCTTCATTTCATGCTTTTGTATTGATTCTCTCGTTTGAAGCGACAATGCATATTTGGCACCAAGTGCACCTCAATACTTGGTGTTCGATGTATTTTTGGTTAGATAGTGTCTTTGTAATATGGAGACTAGCTATCATTGTTTGGAATGTTAAGTTTATTGACATTGACATCTTTTTTTTTCTTTTTTGGACTGTGCTGGAAGGTGGGCTAAGCATTATTTAACAACTAACCTTTGTCCAAAATAGTTGGGGTCGTCTATTTGAATTTTTTGTTTCCAATATAATATATAATGATTGTTCTACAATAGTTGTATATTTTATTATTTATTTAGTCAGCTGCTATCAGAGGGCCATCTCAAGATTGCAATATCTTGAAATGTTAGTCCATAGAGCTCTCTCTGATACATGCAAATACAAAAACGTTTGTAACACATGCTATGAAGTGCATGCTGAATCTCTCTGTTTTTTGGGGAGTTGATGCAAAAATCTATTGATTTTGCAACTTATTGTCAAATGCAGATGTTCCTCGCTATCGTTCTGTCTGACTTTGTGCAGTAATTGCCTTGTGGTTCTGCGAATTGAATAATGGTGTGCGTCCTTTGATTGATTTTCAATCTGAACAATACTTTGAATCACACCGAGTCTTTTCTATGTGTACTTGAAATGAGAAATATAATCAATGAATCCTTCAAAATTTCTAACGTAGTGGCACTTATTAGTGTTGTTCTATTGCCCCAAGTATCATGTATATTTGGATTGATAGATGTATCCTATAATAATAGAGTATATTTGTATTAACAGATGTATCCTATCATCGGGGATAGATATCAATGCAAAGATTGTGTTGAGAAAATTGGTTTTGACCTTTGTGGAGACTGCTATAATACTCGCTCCAAGCTTCCCGGGAGGTTCAATCAGCAGCATACGCCAGAACACAAGCTCAAGCTTGTCCCGCCGAGCTATCCCACTTTAATGTTGAGGCTATTGAATGAGCATCTTGTCGATGCTTCCTTAGCTATTGTCAGCTATGATCCTTCAGAAGTTCCAGAAGATGAATATCCCGACTCTCCTTTATCTGCTGATGCTGACGACAGTACACAAAACAGTTTGGTTGCTGCAGATATCACTGAGGGTGCAGATAATCCAAATGATACTGAATCAGCAAATTGAATTTTCATCTGATTCTGCAAAAAAAAGGGGGGGGGGGGGGGGGGGGGGCTGAATCAGCAAATTGATATTTTCATCTGATTCTGCAAAAAAAAAGGGGGGGGGGGGGGGGGGTGTGTGGGGGTGGAGGGATTTTCTTCTCGAGCAACTTAGTGTTGGGTAGTTGGGTTTGACTGTTAGTTGGGTTCCTCGGATATTAGCCAAAGAAGAATAAAACGTTCTGTTTAAATGTATGGTTAAGTGCAATTTTATATTTGCCGCAATTTTTTTATTTTGCTTGCAAGCATGTCCAAATTGAATTACGGGTTGGCATCTGCCAACGTCATGCTTTAGTTTCTGTCCTAAAAGTCTTTTTCAGTGGAAAGGGTTATCTTTTTGGCGGCTAGAGTTCAATATTGGAGTGGACTGTATTCTGCTCCTTGCCGATTCATTTACTTGTTCTGTTCATGGTTTCTACTTTCTAGTTTTTATATCTTGTGCCGTTCATCAATTATTGTAATTTGATTTTCTACATGTACAACTCTTACACTCTATTAGAGAAGGAAAGAAAATTATGAAGGAAAATAACCAGAGAAAACTAGATTCTCTTGTTTGGAAGTTGGGTGGAGAATTATATTGCTTCGGCTTCTGCAAATTTGACTCTGATTAAATTGGATAGTGTAATGGTTAACAGGAAAATTTTACTATCCAACGTCTATCTGTATAAATACATAATATCTATTTATATAAATATATAATTTTTAAGGTATAAATATTTATATGGCAACTTATTAAAATATAAAATTAATATATGAAATCAATGATGTAGTATTTTATTTTTTATTTATTATCAATTTTTTCATTTAATACAAACTAAAAAATCTAATGGATGATTTCATTATAATTAAATGATTTCATTATAATTAATATTTTTTTTACACTTACAGATATTAAGTTTTTTTATTAAATAGTTTTTTCTATAAAAAAAAAACATTATTAAATAGTTTTTTCTATAAAAAAAAACACTAATAGAGTTATAACAGAGTAATAATAAAAGTTAATTAAATAATATAGTTACATTACCAAATAGAATTAGAATATTAATTTCAATTTATTAAATTTTATTTCATTCAAAATTAACTTTCTTATACCTCATCAAATACGAATATACGAGAATTTTAAACAGAAAAATAGTTAATTAATTAGAATAACAATAATTACTTATAAATTATAATAATTTTCTTGAAAAATTACATTCAATTTAATAAATAATGACTTATATGCGTGTACATGACTAATTAGAATAAAAATTAAAAGTTTTTTTTAAAAATATTTTCTTTCCAAATAAAGGAAAAGATACCCTATTTTCTTTCCTTCTATGTATTTTCCTTCAACCCAAACATCGAGTGAAATATAATTTAATATATATATATATACATTACTACAATCTTTCTTTATGTTTCTTTCTCTCTTATTTTTCCTTTGTGTTTTTTTTTTTTGCCCTTTCCTTCTCAAACATGGTGTTAGCCTAATCAAACATCCGGCTATTATTCCACCGCCTAAAGTTGTTGAACGTAATTCAGGAGAAGACATATGAACATACACGCGCCTTTTTTAATGGCGGTAAAAATTATACCTAACGCTCACGAGTCAATGAATGCCACGAGGACAGGGCTCAACGGCTACAAGCAGAAATAGTTAAACACATGGTGTCAGTAATACACGATCCAATTTGCGCTTGTGATAGACTTTATCACCTGAAAAAGGCGGGAGGACGTGAAAAAACGATTGTATTAAGTTAAATTAAATAATTAAAAAAAAATAAAAAGTAAACTGGAAATCCGAGGACCGAACCGAGCCATCATTGGCTGATAGAGTTTTTTCACACGTTGGCCATTTGTACGGCGGCCTTTTACATCCATTGGGACTAGCGAAGTAAAAAAAAGAGAAAAAGAATTAACCTGAGGTTAAAAAGGACGGTGATGTTCGTGTAAAATTTGGTTTGTGTGGTAATTTGGAGGTGAGTTTAGGGTAGAGTTAGACAGGAATAGGATTAGGGTTTCAGGAGATTCCCTTATTAATAGAGATTGAAAAAGCTGAAAGGTAGGGATAAGAATCCAATGTGATTGATCCTACCTTTGTTATCTCTTCACTGTTTAACAATCATTAACAGCTTGACATTACTCTATTCAGCAATGTCAGAGTCTTAAGTTTTTAACTTTCTGTTTTAGGAACACATCTTAATTTTAGAAAATAAGTTTTTCTAAATAATTATTTTTTATCATCTAATTGTAATATTGAAAATCAAAAAAATAAAAATAAAAATTGTAACTTTTAAGACCATAGAATATTTTTATTCATAAAAACTTCTTATTTTAAAAAATTAATTTTTTTGCAAATAAAAAATTGATTTTTAACGATGAAAAAAAATAGAAAAAATAGTATATTATAATAGTTGTTGATGATTGGGTGACGGTGGCTTAATAAATTTATTATAATTTTATAAATATATATTTATTAATTTATTATTTATTGGTAGCCATCTAATATACGTTTTGATTTCAAGCGTTGATACCCATGCATTTCTTAATTACAGCACAGTAAAGACAATATTTGAAACCGATTTATTAATTTACTTCCTTTAGAAGATGGAGAGGCAAGACCGTTGCCTTGGTCTTGTCTTGTGTCGGTGAGGATGAGAAACCAAAGTCTCTTTCTATTGCTATTATATAGAATAGAAGGGCATTTTAGTATTTTTCATTCATCTAACGGTGAAATTAAAATGATTTTAATCAGAAAGCTATTTAGTTACCATTCGCTGAAAATAATAATAATAATAATAATAATAATGTGGAAATCATTTCTAAAAATTTTATTTTTTAATTTTAACTCATTCAAGGGCAAAGCAACGTTGAAGAAAGGGTGGGCAATTGTAACATACATTCACCACTTTGTCCCCCTAACTTACACGTTATAGTATTTTTCCTCCTAAATTTGAACCCTAGCTTCGCTCTTGGATTCACTAAGGTGTTAAGTGTTTCAATGAGTATTTGCACTATTTATGAGGATCGAACCATCGACTTCACTTTGAAGGAGAGGAGTGTAAAATCATTTATCACATTGAATTTTAAAATTTATTTATTTTATTACTCTCGTCCATCAGTCAGGCTGTAGATTAGGTCTAGACATGTCTAATTCATTTTTTTGATAAAATTAAAAAAATTAGACAACATTCTCAAAATAATTAATTGCCCTAAAAGATTACTTTTTAAGCTAATGAAACAAATATAAAAACCTAATGGGGTGTCACGACCCATTTCCGTGGGCCGGACCGGCACTAGGGCCCAGGTAAGCTTAAGGCCCCCGAGGCCCGTAGTAAGCCTGAAACAAGCTTTAAGGCCCCCGAGGCCCGTATAAGCCTGAAACACTAAAAATTTACTATCTCAATATAATGATTAAACATTTAGTCCATAATGATTTGAAAAATAAACGCTCAAAGATTTTATTAAATCTCGCCCGAAATTTATCGGCTACAACATTCCACAGTTCGGGTAATTTAACAATGCATCACATTACAATATGGATTCACATAATATCTCGTCTATAATAATAAACGATTAAAAGTATACAAATCCTACAACTGCAGGAGTCACTAAATGGTTTAGTATACATAGTAAAAATATTATGGATCTAGAGAAAAATTGTTTATTTCCCTGCGCCGAAGAAAACATAGCCTAAATCGGAATTAAAGGAAAAACCTACTTCGAAAAATCAACAAGACACTGTGAGTTTTCTAAAAGGAGTAATATTATTGCACAATACACAACATCACACCAAATGTGTTACACATATTAATCTAGTCATCGAACTAGTTATATGGCTCACGCAGCCAGTCACACAAATGGCATATCACCAGCACTCACAACATAACATCTTCATATAATACATCAAAGTGGAAAATTTAGTCAGTGGCTGCAACCTGAAACCCCAACGAGCCGTCTGCCACACACCGTGGCTCGCCCTCTCATACATGTGCACCAGGGGAGCCCGATCCCCCATAACGGCCCAACTGGTTTAATCCTCACCTGACCAGTCCTCTCATTGTATTTCCATCTCTCTTTTTCTTTTCCATACCAACAGGAGGCAACCCGGTGGTCTCCATCCAATCTAGATCATCAAAAAAGTGCTCACAAACAGGAGGCACCCTGCGGGCTACAATCAAATCTAGATATCAGGTGCGCAAACAACAAGCCATCCTGTGAATTTCCATATAATCTATATCATCAGGTGCACAAGGGGGCGCCGATCTCCCATTTTCCCGACCGACGGTCAAGTACCATATCGTATTCAGGATCCATATCACAAACCGTCCTCACAAACCCATGGTGATCCACTTCATCCCAATTCCATACAAACAAAGCATAGCATTATCACGACACAATTAATCAAGTATTGCAATTTAAATGCAAACATGTTGATCAGTTAAACATCGTAATGCAATGCACATGTAGACATCCAACATCAAAAGCAAATAAATAAGTAAATAGTGTTAACAACAAACATCAATAATAATAATAAATAATAATAATAATAAACAATAGTAATGAAAATAAATAAATAATTAGCTATCAAATTATAGAATTTATCTAAATAAGTAGTAAATAATCAGAGCACTATATTTATTATAATATCCAAATTTATAGAACTAAATCTAAATAAACTTTATTAATTATGTTTGTTAAATAATTTAGTCTAATTTTTATTCAAAATTTCCGGCAGCACCTCCCCTAAAATGAACTATCTACTGCTCACAATCACATATCATTATATCTTTATCAATCAAATGCACACAGCCCATCGTCGGGCAATCAATCATTTAAAAAATCCCATCCTCCTTCCATAACACATTCACACTTTTACAAACTAATTCTAATAATATCCATATGAGATCATTTATTAAGTCATTAATTAATTAAATTATTAGCTTTACGGTAACTAATTTGTTAAACAGCTAAAACATATTTTAACCATAACTAATTATAACTACTACCTATAAAAATTCAATTTTTTTATATCAATATCGAAAATGGCTAGGCCTCCCAAATCTTAATTTATCGAATTTCGATTCTAGTCGTTAACCAACTAAAATTCGCCTTATTTCTCTTATGCACAATCGGCTAGTTTTAATCTAATGGTTATCTAATTGACTAATTAACTAATTCTAATTTATTCTTTCTCCTCAAATCACCTAATCATAATATTAATCATGTAATTTATTTGACAATGTTCTAAACTAATTTACAATTACATTATTCTAAAGTCCTAAACCAGTTAACAAATTATGTTCGCTATCCAAATACGCACACTAATCAATCTAATTTATTTACAAAAGACCATAAATGTTCATATATTTTTAAGTTAATCCAATAAGTTAATGTCTTGTTATTCAATTTAGTCTAGTTAATAACTCAATTAAATTCATTAATCAATTAATGCTTTATATATAAAAATTGAGAATTAAGTCTTAGAACGTACCCATTGGGAATCGGGCGACGATTCCATGATTAGCGGGAAGAGAAGAGGATTCTGTCTCTCGGGGCCTCGCCGGAGCGCCGCCGGCCGGTCACCTGACCGCCGCCGCCGACCGCCGTGCACGGTGCTGTTTTTGGAATTAAATTAGGTTAATGTTAATGACAATGACACTTGTGATTAAACATTTCCAATATGTACTAAAAGCCCTAAAATTGGGTAAAAAGTAGGGATTATTGTAAGCTCCAAACGACATTTTTGAGTATTCCAATAAATTATTTAGTCCTCAATGAGAACTCAAACAGGATTACTCATGATTTGTCTGGCCTATAGATACCTCTTGATAAAGTTTAACGAATTTTCGAATTGAACATCGTTAAATTCAAGATCGACCTAATTGCTCACAAGCAGGCTAGAATTCAATTTAAGCTAAAGTTTTTTAAACTTTTCTCGAGTCGAATTCCAACAGCTCGTGAACTGAGTCGGCTCATTTGTATCCTCAGCGAGTTGTAAGGAACAAAAATTATAAATTAAAAAAAAATTATCTTAATGTATCAAAAATAAAAATATATCAGAAATTAATTTTTCATATAATATTAAATTATTATTTAATAAGAGTAACAAATTAGAGAATCAACATGAATAATTTAATAAAAAAAGCAGTAAAGAGTTGCATTGGTGTAGTATGTTTTGAAATGTTCTACGTCTACCAATTGTGTTGTGATGGTTTTAAATGCTTGAATTAATCTAAACATTGCTTTTGATATATATATATATATATATATATATAAGTCATCTTTGTCATGCCTCACCAAATAAGGTATTATGTACTATCAAATGAATGCTCAATTGAAGTTGAAGTCCATCTCATTTAAGTACACTGCACTAATTTTAGCCAAAGCCTACTAAAGACAATAGGTATTCAAATTTGATTTATTAATTACATTTTAATTTCACATTTCAAAAAAAAAAATTTAATTTTATTATAATAAAATATACTTATTAAATTGGTGAAAACACTAATAGTTAAGAAAACTCGAACTCGAGACTTTCAACTCTTTATTCAAGCGAGGAAACTAATCAAATATATCTCTTGTTTCTTTTTTATTAGGATAACCATCACACTCATGTATTTGTTTTTTTTTTTTTTTTAGTTTTTTTTTTTTTTTTTTAAGTTTGATTTTTTAATTTGGGGATTTAATTGCGAAATCTCTAAACTCTTTAAAATGTCATTAAATATAACTTGCGAATTACAATCTCTCCTTTCTCTTGTTCTCTGCCTCTCTTTCTTTATGTTCTAATACTATTTTTATCTTACAGTATAGTTTGAATATTTTAAACTTAAAAAAAATTATGAAAAATATTTCATAGTCCAAGTTAATTATTATATAATTGAATATTTAGTATATAAATTAAAATGCAAGCGGTTTTATATTTGAATTTATTTATTTCAATAGGAGTATATAACTATATATATATAATATAAATAATATAATACTTTATATATAAAATTTCATTGGAAATCCCATGGCATCTTCAGAGTTTTATTAAATAAACATGGGTGCATCGAAAAAGGAAAATTTTAATTAAATTAGACAACAACAGTTATTAAGAAAAAATATTGCTATGGGATAAAGGAAACCTCTTACACCGGGTTAATACTTTCAGCGTGAATCCCACCACCTACACTAAAAAAAAAACCATTAAAAGATTTTACTTTTTGGGATAATAAATTTTTTCTTTCATTTCAATTCATGGAAATCCCATGCATCTCAGAGTTTATTAAATAAAATGGGTGATCGAAAAGGAAAATTTTATTAAATTAGACAAAACAGTTATTAAAATATTGCTATGGGAAAGGAAACCTCTTACACCGGTAATACTTTCAGCGTGATCCCACCACCACACTAAAAACCCATTAAAAGATTATACTTTTGGATAATAATATTTTTTTTTTGTAATTTTAAGAAAACTTTCCGTCAGATTATTAGATAATCAAATAATATTTTTTTTTACCACCAATTAAATCTAATATATAGCATACAACTAATACTTATATATATATATATAGCATATATCTTTTTGTCTGCTTTTTGATTGACTGGTGACAAAATAGTACAATTTATTTTCTTTAGATACATAAAAAAAATGTTTATTCAATAATTGATTGATTAAAAAATAACTTAATAGTATTAAATATAATTAATCAAATTAATAAGTCTTGATTTCATGGCATTGGCTCTTCTTTAAGTCATTTTAGAGCTTAATTAATTAAAATTTTTTTATTTTTTTTATCACCTAGCCGATAAATTATACGCGACAAAAATAGTGTAGAAACTATAATTAAACTTACTTTTGAGAAAAAAAAAATGAAGACTAATGAAACAATTAATTCTATAAACTAAGATTAATTTGACCAACCAAATTATTCTTTATCTCAAAATCAATAGTTAGTAGTTATTGTACTCACTCGTTCGGTTCCAAAATATAAGTCGTTTTTTAGTGATTATAAGTTTCAAAATATAATATTAGAAAAATATTATTTATTACTCTTTAAAATAGTCAAAATAATTTATATTTTTGGATAAAATAATTATAAAAAACGATTTATATTTTAAGACAATTGGAGTAAAATTTTACTAATAAATAACCAACATTAATCAACTAAACAACTATCATTCACTAGTCACCTACCTTAATAAACAGCTAAAACAAACAGTAATTAATATTTCAACAGTCTATCAACAAACTATTTAAGTTTAGGAATTATTTATTACTCCTTTGCCTCATTTTGTTTGCTTGTTATTTTTTTTATGTCTCAAATTATTTGTAAGATTTCTAAATTTAGATATGTAAACAATTTATTTTTCCTGTATTAACCTTTATGATTGTTTATTAAATGAAAAATTATTATTAATATTTTATTGAATTAAGGGTAAAAAATGATAAAATAATTTATATTGACTAAATTCTTAATATACGTATTTTGTCAAACTATGCAAATAAAATGGGACGTGAGGATTATTTATTTTGTTTGGAAGTAAGTGATAGGAAATAAGAAGGCAAAATATAAGAAAAATGCAAAGAGAAACAACAAAAAAAATTATTAGCATTATTGCCAGATCACTTCATAAATTTATTTAATTGCTTATACATTTATTATTTTTTGGTGAAGAAGAAAAAAAAAGGTATAAAATTATATATTTATTTATTTTATATTATACACAACCTTTGCAAACAAAAAGAAAATTAGAAAATAAAAAATAATTAGAAAATAAAAAATAAAGAGGGTGCAATAGAAATGTTTCCCTAATCCCAACCCAACCCAACCCAACCCAACCCTAACTTCTCTCTCTCTCTCTCTCTCCCTCTTTCAGATACAAAATAGGTCCCTCCCTCTTCTTTCCCTCCCTCTCTCTCTCTCTCTACAATCTCTGCTTTGCTTTGTATTGTGAGTGTCCCTTTTCCCCATGAAACCTTAACCTTAGATAGCCAGACACAGATACAGTCATACAATAGTAACTAAAGATTCAGATTCACATTCAAAACAAATTAGGATTTCATCAAATCAAATGGGCAAGTACATGAAGAAATCTAAAATCACAGCTGACGTAGCAGTCATGGAGCTCTCACTCTCTCATTCTCAATCCACCACCTTAGGTGTTCGTACAAGAGCTAAAACCCTAGCCCTTCAGCGTCTTCATTCTTCTTCTTCTTCTCCTACCAGTACCAACCCAGATTCTTCATCCTTCTCCTACCTTCAGCTTAGGAGCCGCCGCCTTGAAAAGCATCCTCCGCCTTTGCTTAACGGAACTAAGAAACCTGAAATACCTCAACAACTCGCCTCTAACAAGAAATTGCCTAAGGGGAGTTCTAGGTTGAGTAAGGTGAAAGCGGTTGCCGGTGATTTTGAGAAGGTGGAGGAAGGAGAAGGGTGTTTTGATAAGAAATGTGAAGCAGAGGATTTGGGTATTGAGGCTTCTTTTGGAGAGAACTATTTGGAGTTTGAATCCAGAGAAAGGTATGGTCTTTGCTTGTTCTTTGTGTTTGACCCAAGTGGGTTCCTCCTTTTCTTTTTAAAACACTGTTTTTGGGCATGAACTTTTCAATGTAGCTTCCTTTTGTTTTTGGTTTTCTATCTTTTTTTTTTTGTCACTTGTTTTTGGGGCTTTTTAAGTTCAGTTTGTGAGGTTTTTGATTGCTCTAGGTTGAGTTACGAGGCTTGTTTTTCCATGATTTCTCGTCGGATATTCTTTAAGCTTTTTGGTCTCCTCTGTTTTCCCTGGTTATCGAGCTTTCTTTTTGGTCCATCAAGTTTCCTTCTTGACTGTTATTTCCAGAAGAATCCTTTCAATCCTTTTTCATTTTACATTTTTTTCCCTTTCCAGGCTCTTCACTTTCTCTGAAGAGAAGGGAGAAGAGGATATTTCCTTCTACTAAAATGCACATTTACTACTCTCTTTGCTTTTACGAGAGGTTTGAACTTTATATTGAAAACATCCATGCTGAATATTTTTTTCTTTACAAGCTGCTTTAGTACTCTTCAAATTAATTTTATTAATGTTGTATTTTCGTAAATTAATTTTTAGTAATGTTGTTATTCTGCATTTTTTTTTTGTTCCTTCATATTTTTGTGATAGTGATGAAGTTGGCGTTTGTCTGATTGATTAATTTTGTTGTCTGCATCACTTCAGTTGAGGAACTGGGCCACTAGTACAACACAAGATAAGAACTTGTGCTGAGATGATGGGGCTTATATTATTTCTTCTGCATGGAGATACGAAAAAATAATAATAATAAAAAAGCAGTCTTTTGGGGGTTTCTATCATTATGAAATGTTTTTGAGCTTTCGCTTTCATATTTGATTTTGAAAAATTCGCTTTCATGTGATACATTAATACTATTGCTACTCTATAAAATTGCTTCCAAGAAAAGATTAGTGATGTTGGTGACTTGTGGAATATGGTTCTTTTAATTTATGTGTTACACAGGTTTCCATTATGCAACATGTGCCCACCAGCAGAGTTATTAATGTTGCAAGTGGCATTTCTTTGTATTGTGGAAATTATTTTTTACCTTTTTTTTTTTTTTTTTTTTTTTTTTATGTGATACATTAATACTATTTGCTACTCTCTATAAAAATTTGCCTTCCAAGAAACGAAGATTAGTGATTGTTGGGTGACTTCGCCCGTGGAATATGGTTTCTTTTAATTTTATGGTGTTACACAGGTTTACCATTATGCATACATGTGCGCGCTCCACCACGTCCAGGTGTCATCTCTAATGTTTCGCAGCGCTGGCATTTCTTTTTTGTATTTGGAAATTATTTTTTTAACCTTTGTCTTGTATTTTTTTTTTTCTTTTTTTTACACGGGTAAACTCGGATGGACATGCAAGCAATTAATTTTTCTGATTTATTCCACCTCTCCTCGTTGTCCCTAAACATCTTGTGTGTTGGCTGGCAAATAATCTTGGTAGTCTTACAGGTTTGCTGGCAAAATTAGTTCTAGTGACCCGTGGTCTTGAGATCATTTTCTGCGACCATACCACTCTCATTGATTTATAAGATGGTCTATGGTCAGCTGTATACTAGGTCGAAATTAGCAAGTTTAATGCAAGCGATACACATGTACTGTGCTAAGGCAGTGGGGTAGGGCCGGGGGTTGCTTGTGATATCCGTTGGGTTTACTAGAATTAACCAGTCTTGGCTAGAGTCCTTGGTTTTTTCCTTCGATATATATATTTTTAAATTTCGTTGGTCACGTGGAATATGTGCTAGAGCACCACAAAATTTTTTTCCTTTTTTTTTTTTTTTTTTTTTTTTTAAGGGTACTACGGAATGGAATGAAGAATAATTTTTCTGATTTATCATCTCTGTTGTCCTTAAACATTGCTGGTCTGCAAATAATCTTGGTAGTCTTCAGTTGCTGGCAAAATTAGTTCATGACCCGTTCTTTTTGAGATCATTTTCTGGACCCTCAATTATGATTTAGAATTCAGGTCTGTAATAGGTCGAAATACAGTTTAATGGCAGGATCACATGTACTGTGCTAAGGAGGGGGTGGGCGGGGGTGCTTGTGATATCCTTGGTTTAGATTACCATCTTGGTAGATTTTGGTTTTTCTTCGTATTTTTATTTTTTGGTTGTAATATGCTAGCCTATAACATTTCTGCCTCATTTGTGTTAGCATGCTAGTGGATACGATATATCACATTCATGGGGCCTAGTAACAGAGACATATTTATGTGGGATACTCTGTTTTAGGGCTATCAGTAGGTGACAAAAAGTTTCAGTTTCTTGCTTTCATTGTATGGCTCCTGACTTCCAAATTGGATGTTGTCCTTTTAAATAGTGCGAGTTACTTTCTTTGCATAATTTCCTTTTCCAAAATAATTGTCATTATTTTATTTCAATTTATTTTTTCAGTTTAATTATATATTTACTATAAGTTTTCAATTATTGCTTAGAAAGAAGTTCAGAGAAATTATTCTAGGGCCAATGAAATAATTTATGCATATACGACTTCACATCGCAACTATATACGTATACTGGCATTATTTTGATATAATATATTTTGAAGCAGGAGCACTAGAGAAAGCACACCATGCAGCTTGATAAGAGACTCAGATGCGATTGGAACCCCAGGTTCCACCACAAGACAAGGAAGTTCTACCGCAACTAACCGTAGGGCTAGGAATGACATCGAGAGAAATATCCCGACAACACATGAAATGGATGAATTTTTTGCATGTGCAGAACAGAAGCAACAGAGACTATTTAGTGAAAAGTATGATGCAATACTTTTTCACACGCTATAGTATATACCATACTTCATGTATATTTTTATGATATATAGCATGCAGAAGGGAAAATGCAATTGGTTATTTCAACTAGATTGCAATAATAAGCCTGCTTTTTTGTTTGCCGCAATTTTGCAGGTACAACTTTGATGTTGTCAATGATTTGCCCTTGCCTGGACGCTATGAATGGGTCCAAGTGATTCCTTAAGCAGTTATCTTATCACTAGGACTTCCATCCCCTCAAACTCCTTCAGTACTTCTTTGATTTCATGCTAAAGGGTTTTTCAATGAGGTGCTGATTGTAAAAAGAATTGAAGACGCGGAAGATGCGTAAATCAAATATCTGAATGTATGGCTAATGAATTATAAATTAGCCAGATAACAAATAAAAAATAATTGGTTAAGTGGAAAGGCAAAAGAATCATTGAAGAGGAGAGCTTTGGGGGGAGAACATATAACTTAGGGTTTAGATGTTTCATTATTGTAATTTTTAGGAGGTATATCTAGTTGCTAGATTTTCTTTTCTTCTCTCTTTTTCACTATGAGTTTTACTTTTGTCTATACTTAGGGACGAACCATGAATGTTCTTTTTGGTAATAAATGTAACTCATTTTATGTGCTTGTATTTTCCTTTGTTTTTGTTCCCTGCATTTTTCACAATACATCTCATCTATGTATCCAAGCATTACCCACATTCAATTTAAGTTTTTGATGGCGATGTTTCTAAGCATGTAAATCTAGATTAGATTGTTTTCTGTCCTACTTGTCGTGACCTTGTGTGAGATTTGCTGATGGTGGTGGTCAGGACAGGTTCACTGATTGTTTGGACTAAACTAATGTTTGGTTTAGATGATTAATTACTGGTTTTTCCCCTCAAGTGCTTTTTATGTTTCTTGAAAGTTTCTATCAAATATATAAATGTTCTTGAATGAATGTTCATAGGACCACTCTACTCAACTACCTGCACAAGAGAACTAGGCTTGTCAGTACTATTTTCCCCCTCCCCCTTCCTTTTTTCCTTTTTTCTTTTACTCTTTTTATTAATATTAAATTGTTGTTATATTTGAATATGGTCTCTGGTAGTTGAATAGGGAACTACTGGCCCCATTATGTTTTGGACATTTAGGTTTGAAAAATCACTAGCGGTAAGAGGAGGTGGTGGTGGTGAGGGTGTTGGGGTTGTTACAGCCTTGGATTGTTCTGCAGAATCTTACTTCAGATGTTCAGTCTCTTTGTAGCAGTGGAGTTTTTTTATTTTTACTTTTCTTTGACTGTTATTTAAATATTTTTGTCTAGTATCTCCGGAAGTGTAGAAACTAGTGGTGGTAAATTTGTTGAGCTTGTCAAGAAGCATTTATTGAATGTCATTAATGGAGACTCTTGCATTGGCGAGTTTGCCTATTCACATGGGACATTGTCCAGTACTGCAGAGTTTTACATCACAGGTTACTTCTTTTCAATATAGATTTGATTGTGTCCTTTTCTCTTTTCTATTCTCGAGCTTCATAATTTTTTTTTTTTTTTTTTTTTTTTTATATTTTTTTTTTTTTTTTTTTTTTTTTTTTTTTTTTTTTTTTTTTTTTTTAATTTTGAAGACTGGAAGCTGTTAGCTTGATACTTTTCTGTCCTTCATTTCAGCACACTTGCATCTTGTTGCTTCCTTGATTCTTTTTTCTTTTAAAAGAAAAAAAAAATTAAGAAATTATCTTAATTGCAAAGCTCCTAACTAAAAAATTTGTTTTTCCTAGAAAATCGTCTTCTTTTTTTTTTCAAAATAAATACATAAATAGTCATTCATATATTTAGATTAAATTATTAGATAAAATTTGATTAAATGTAAAGAAAATAAAAAGATTATTAAATTAATTTCTACAATTAAAATTTTAATTTATAAATTTCAGAGAATAAATAGTAATTAATTTCTTCGTGTAAGGGATAAAGGAAAATACTCTCTTACCTACAATTGGAGGCCATCCCCGTTTTCAGATGCAGAAGGAAGCGTTTGAGAACCCATTTTGGAACATGCAGTCTAAAGAAGGTTTATTATAATTTTTTCATGGTTTAGATAAGGTTATATCAACATAAAAATACTAGGCTAATAATTTTGTTAGTCAAATAGTTATATTTTAATAGGGAATATATATATTTTTAAAGAGAAGATATCAAATATTTAAGTTCAGTCATACCACATTCTCCGTTTATAGAAATTCTCTTCTAGCCAATTAAATATGATTTATTCGTACCCAAACGCATTGGGACACGGATGGATTCCATCCCTCTCTATATCATCTTTAAACGTTTCTCCTAAAAAAAAAAAATCTACGTGGACCAACATTGCATTAGTTACATTAGTTGGAGTGATAATCGATTTAGATTTTTAATTGTATTTAGTAAAATTAATTATTTTAATAATTATTAACTGTTTTAATAATTATCAATTATTTAACTGTTTTTTTCTCAAATCTTATATAAAATAACATTTTATAATCTTCTCTAAAACTCTATAACACTAGTGTGAATGCCAAACCACCTAATTACACCTTAAAAAAAAAAAAATTTATGGTCTCACCGTTTCCATAGAAACTCAGAAATCCAAATTCCAATTATCCACTAAAATATTTGTAAATTATTTAATATAGAGCCTTAGGGAAGGAAAATAATAAATTATCATTTATTATGTCAGAATTTCATTTTGACAGGAATTTTACTCAGATTAGTACATCAGCATTATATCAGCCAATTGTAAAGCAATAAAAAGGTTTTTATAAGCAGTCATGTCATCCTTCATTTCTGAAGTAGTATTTGTTCTTATTGGCCAAACCAGATTGCTAACGCAACAGATTTTGTCTGGTGTTTTAATGTTGTACTAGTTCGTTGGGAAAGAAGGCATTTCCATTGCCAAGAATTCAGATTCAATTCCTGTGGCTACCTTGTTACGGCTTCGCCTCAGTCAGCAAAGTGAATGAGCCAAGCTGAACTCGAAGCACGGTCCAAAACTTAAAGAGCCTGAAAATGCTAGATTTGAGCTTGGCTGAGACACTTGAGTTCAACTCAAAAAACATTGAGCTCAGGCTCAAGGCTTGAATAAGTTTCAGATAAATATTATATCCATATATATAAAAAAGCTCGATAGGACTTAATAAAACTCAAAGAGCTTTCGAGCCGAACATCATTAGGCTCGAGCTCGGCTCATTAACAGCTCGAGCTCGATTCAAGCTCGAGTTGGCTCAAGTTATTTACACCCTTAGTCTCGGACTACATCCCACCTTAGTCTTAGTCTAACATCCCACCATGATATGTACCAACGAGACACCAAAAAAATTTCATTTCGCCCCTGCACCAAAAGACATGAGTTATATTAATCCTCTATTCCTCTCTATTACCTCCATATTAGGGGCCAACTAGTTAAGTCAAAGAATGGGCAAAACAAAAAACTGAGTTTCAAGGCTAGTAATTTCTTTTGCGGTAGTTCACCATTCTATATGCAGCCAATACACAATTTCTTTTGCTCAAGTGAGCAAAAGAGGTGCACAGATATCAAAACAAAGCAATTTCTCTTCCAAGTGAAATTAGATCAAAACATATATCCTTGCTTCTACTCAAGACGAATAGGGATTAGAGAACGATCTCGCGGACTTGGAGGTTGTGAACATTTTGCATGCTTTGTCTCTCCCATTTCAACTTCAAATGCACTAGAATCTGAAGATATTTCATTCTCCATTGCCATCTTCTTAAGTTTTGCTAGTCGTACAGCCCGTAGTTCATATCTGATGATTAACCCAAGAACCAACATATCATCAGTTGTGTGGATGTACAAACTAATAATATTTGGATATTATGATTATGAGAGACAGAAAAGGGATAACAAAATACCATAGATTAACAGTTGAAAGAGCAAGAAATAACCATCATGGATCTCATGACATTCATGAGATAGCAAATGCTTATTTATTAATCTTAATTGTTATTACTGCAAAGCGATTTAAGGAAAAAAAACAGAAAATCTTGGACCATTCTTATCATTAAACTGGAACTAGATCATATACCTAAGAAAACGATGTAGATATAAACATTTCAACAAGAATAAAATCAACAAAATGAATTCAGAGTCACCATGTATGACTAAACCTCAAACCAAAAATGATTACCAACATTCATCTATGGCTAACGGCTTGCATTGGTAGACCGAACTAAAAATTACTTAAATCTCAAAGTTCCTGAGCCTCACCAAGAAACAAACTACACAATCTGCCTGCCCACATAAAAGTGTTTTCTTTTTTTTTCTTTTTCCCCTCCTTTGGCTTTTTGTTCATCAACTATTTTTCAAGCCTTGATTATTCTCTTAAGAACTAAACCAACCAAATTAAGTGCATGTTCAACTATCCCATTTTTGTCCCTTTTCTATGTATTCTTTCCTACTCAAAGGGATCCCTAGTCAGAGAACCTTAGTTACCGTACTGAATGTTTATATATACCACATGCCCAATTACATGGTATGCATCTGACTCAAATTTCATTGCAATAGTTATGCATGTAAACAATGAACATGTACTTTAGCATGACCATGAGATTAAATGAGCACAGAAATCTATAACTGAAGTTGTCATTTATCCATTTCAGCTTTATTGTGTAAATTATTCTGCTATCATAAGGTATGATATGTTCAAGTAATATTTTTTATAAATCTATGGATGGTCCCACAGTAGTTCAGTTTACAATTGTCCCAAAAACCAATCAACATTGATAGACTCTTTCATAATGTTGTTAAGAAGAAAACAAGCATGGGCATTGCTTTCAACCCACATCTGGTCTACAAAGGGAAATGAGAGTAAGAATAATTAAGTTGTTTAGAGTTCAGTGAAAATCTATACTCCAATTTTCAGAAGCATTTCTGTTGGCAGGATGACATGAGCAATAAATGCCTTTTTTCTCATGTTGGTTCAAGCATATCTTGCAACTCCTGAGGTACCAGTGAATATACAGCTTCTATTGCAAACAAAAAATTAAAATTATTATGATTAAATCACTGAAAACTTGTAAAAACTTACTCAGCCACATGACTTTTGACAAGTGTGAAGTAAATCCTCCAAAATTCCCGTTCCTTCAAGTGGCGAGGACACAACAAAAATCTAAGCTGTGAAAGTTCCTGCAGAGGCAAGGAGAGACAAGGGGAAGAAAAAATAAGTTAAACAAAAGATAACTTCAAGTGACAGTCACCATTCTTTACACGAGTTGAAGTACGGAAAGAAATGCCAGCAGGTTACAGAAAAATAAACATAATGTTAATATGCCTATAGGATAAATACACAAAATACTTATCTTGTAGAATTCCTAAGAAAAGAACTGACAGTACTGCCTTCATATTGGTCAGTATTTTCATATTTGAAATGTTCCTTCACAGTCATGGCCACATAGGTAATAAAACAACTACAATTATATCTACAAATACTTGGGATTATGGTGACCATTTTGATGAATATATGGAAATGTTGTCCATGCACCGTCAACAGGCAGGGGAAATTGAAAGTTACGATAAAAACTGCCTTCTAAACCCTGTTCTTAATGGTTAGTGTATGGTCAGCATTGAGAGACGTTCTCAATAAATACTAGGCCACACCTCAACAGTGCCAGAAATCTTAAGTAAATCCCAAAGTAGTCCAAAATTACCAGTTCATGGACTTAAAAGTTCCTTATTTCACAGATTGCTTTTTTTTTTTTTTTTCTTTGGAAATGTTCCGGATAAACTGCCTTCCAAACCCTTTCTACATGCGTTAGTGTATGGTCAGCATTGAGAGACGTTCTCATTAAGAATACTAGGTCCAACCTCAACATGCCAGAAATCCTAAGTAAATCCCAAAGTAGTCCAAATTACCAGTTCGATGCGACTTAAGTTCCTTATTTCACAGATTGCTTTTTTTCTTTTTTTTCATCAAAAACTAGGAGGCAATATCTGAATCATTGAAGTTCAAATTTTCAGTTTTTTAATGTCTACTTGACATTCAATTGGCCTTGTTCCTTTCTCAACCTACAATCAGTTAATCCACAACAAAATAAGTATTATAAAAAGAGAGAGAGAAGAGAGAGAGATTTTTTTTTTTTTTTTCATCAAAAACTAGGAGGCCATATCTGAATCATTGTTCAAATTTTCAGTTTAATGTCACTGACTTCAATTGACTTTTCTCTTCATCCAACCTACAATAGTTAAATGCACAACAAATAGTCATTAAAAAGAGAGAGAGAGAGAGAGAGAGAAAATATACATGGAATTTCCTAATTATCCGTTCAGCCTTTCCCACTTCCATTCCCAATTGTTTATTGTACAGAAAGTTCAAATTACAGCACATCCCTTGTTTCTACAAAAACCCAGATTATTTACCACCAATATATCAATCCCTGCCACAGCTGGGCACTCAATCAAGAAACGTTCTATCACTAACCCATTTATGCCGGTCAGAAAAAAAGTCCTTCAATAGAATATACCACAAGCTAATTCCTACAGCATCGAAATTCCAATAAATAGCAAAGTTAGAAGTAAAAACCTTGACTTTAGATAGAACAAGAGTAGCGTGTCTTTCCTGCCATAATGATAGATCCTTTCGAACACTAGCTGATGTGCTAGGAACAATTTCATCGCTAAAACTAGCTCCACTAGTTCTCTCTTCTTCATCTACAAAGAACAATACATATAATCACAAACCCACAACTGTATCAGAACAAAACAATTAGCAGAAAATGGATTGGTGGGTTTTGAGTGTTTACCTTGCAGTGGGAAATTCTTGAATGTGTCAACTGTAAATGACCTCACATGATCGATTAATTGGTGGGTAACTCCAAATAACTCTTCTTCTTCTTGCTGCTGGCGTTGATTTGGGCTGTTGTCTTTTTTATTACTGCGTCGAAACCATGAAGACCAGTCCATGGTATTGTTGCAGAACTAAATAGGGCTCTGTTCTTTCGTCTCTGAAACTGCGCTTAAAAGACGACAATATATTCCATGAGCTGTGTCAATAAAACGTCAATTGGCATTCCGTTCAGTCATCAAACGACCATCCATCAACCGGACCAACTAAGCACGCTACGTTCTTTAATTTTATAAGAGCAAACTTTAACAGTAAATAATATTTTTGTAGTTTTGTAATCTAACAAGTAGCAACTGTTACTAATTAATAAGATTAAAGGGAAACTTTCCTTCTGTCGTTTATCTCCTTGTCATCCTCGTATCGTGTGAGTGTGAGTGTGACGCCTAGATCTATAGGCTCCGTTAAACGACATTATCGCTTTCCTGTAGAAGGCGAAAATTGGCTGATAAACAAATCGGGCCGCAACGTGGGCCTTCTTGAGCTGACCTCGGGTTTTTTCCTTTGGCCCATCCGCCCACTGGTAAGACCACAGGAGAAGCCCACTACATAGCAAGATAATCATCCCCCAATTTTATCATAAACATCCAACCCTTAATACTAACAAACACTAAATCCCTTGCAACAAATTTCCCTTTATGTAATTATAAGTCTACCATTTTTCATTTATTACCCTTCGTCAACGTATCGCACGTGTGAATCGGGAGCACATGAAAGTCAAATGTAAAATATAATGAGATTATATTAAATGTTATTCCCTTATTTTATCCTCTGACTTATGCTATTTTCACTTTATCCTCGATTACACATTCATTTTAATTTTTATCTATAAAATCAACACTTTAAAATTCCAATCAAATGATGGATTAAACTCTAAATGATCCAAGTGATTGATAGTCAAATTAGATTTTATATTTTACTTGTAATGTTTAACCATATTAAATTATTAAAAAGAGAATTTAATTTTGATGATATTATTTTAAATTTCTATTTTCTATCAAATTAGATATAAATAAATAAATCCAACTAAGAATTGATTCAAAAGCTAACATATATCTCTAATTCACACACATACAAAAATATGAAAAATTGCACACTAAAGCTCCTAATGTAAATATAAGTATCACTTAATAACAGATTCAGGTTCGAACCTCGTCCGATGCGAAAAAAATTGTTGTAGAATTAAAAATAAAAATAAAAAGAGAGAGAGAGAAAAATAAATAAAAATGATTGAGGTATGGTTATGGGTAAACATAGGATGCCTGTTGTTGTCCATGAGATTAGAAATGATGAGCCGGGTCGCGTGCAAATAGGCTATTGATGGGACTTCATTCTTCCACCGTCACTCCTCACTCCTCTGTTTAATTATATTTACGCGGATTAGGATGATCATGTAAGGCTATCTGATGATGGGTACTTGGATTTTTTTTTTTTTTGTTATTTCAATTTTACTTAATCACAAATTATTGATGCTAAATATGAAAAATTAACTTTCAAGATTAATGCATTTGATAAATAATCTATAAGAGTTCAATGATTTGAGTATTGAAAGTAGCATTCAAGAGGTAATTTTTAAATGTTTAAATGGTATGTGAAGATTGTGTTCTTGATTTGTTCAAAGAGAGAAAATTTTGGTTTCCATTCATGTATAAACTTCTGCAAAGAATATCTAATTTTTAATTAAAAAATATTAAATCACTAAAATAACCATGAAATTTAACGTTTTTTTTTCAAATTAAGTCAATACTTTTGATTTTTTCAATTATTATCTTAGACTTATTTTTTATTATCAATTATAACCTCCATCTAGAGTTCATCTGTTTGTTGTTTATTTAGTTGTTAGTTGGCCCACAGCACACCAACTCACATTGTCATGACTCTTCTCTTGTGTTTCATAATTGCGTTATTGAGACAATCTCTTTTCCTATCTCACCGCAAATTTGAAAGAATCTGATATAATTTTAATTAATAAACTCTTGACAGATTATCGTCGCTCCATCAATAACATTAAGCAGGTTTTTTTCCTCTTAACACTGCATCACTCGATCGTATCCTATAGGCTTCTAGACAAAAGCAAAATTAATAATAAAAGATAAGTGTATGATATTAATTGATAAAATTAAAAAAAAAATCAAAAATTAAAATTTTCTAGTAATTGAGCCATTAAAAAAAAATACAAACAATATGCTGATATGAATAATAAATAACTTATATTTTTATAAGGATAAGAATACAATTCGATTTTTATAAAGTGTATTTATTAGAAGTATAAAATTCTTTGCGCTCTAATATATATATATATAACCTTAGACATTTTAGTGCTTAAAAAGATTAGCTTACACTCATATTTGATTGCATGATTTGTAATATTGAACTTGCATTAATCCAATGCACTAAATCAAAGCAAAGAAAACATGTGTGAAACATGGAAATGTTATTAAGACAAAGAAAGTGAATCAAATATTGACTTGTTGGAGTTGAAATAATCCTAAAATTGAAAATGTACTCATAGCTCACAAGAAAATTAAGGCCACATGTGACAAAATAACCATAATCCCTTTTAGGGATTTTTTTTTTTTTTTTTTTTCCGTGGCTTGCCCTCTTCAATGCATGCTTATGTCTATGTGTCTAATTGACCATGCATGCCAGACATACCTTAAAGACTTTGACTTGAAACCAAGAAAATATTTTGTTGTTATGTTATGTAGTTCATGAAAGGAATGGTGTGGTGGTGGTGGTAGGACACATCATATCAAATAATAATAATAATAATAATATCCTATAAATGTAATTATATAAGAAGTGGAGCCCATAGGACCCACCTATACTAACCCACTAGCTAGGCAGTGGTGGGTAATGATATAAAATAATTATAAAGTAGCCGCACCTCCACTGCCTTCCCTTTCCAAAGTTTTTGATTGCTCTTTGTTCCAATTTATTTATGCTTTTTTGACCTTTTCTATTGCTTTCTTTCCGTTCGTTTCCTTTCCTTTCCTTTCCTTCCAAGTGGAAAGCGATATGATAAGTTTGAAATATAAAAGCCAAAGGAATTTCAGCACAGGTTTTTTCTTTTTCATTCTCTTTTTGACATTTCTTTGATGCCTGCCTGTAATTTTACCACTAGATTATCTCTGTCTGTAATTTTACCATTAGATTATGTCTTAACGTGCAGTATCCACTTATAAAACTATAATATAAAATACAATTTGTTTAGTGATAGATTGTTGAACTTATAATTGCATGTTACCTTGTCCCTTTGGAGTTTCCTTCCAACGAATCAAAAACATCCAAGAACTATTTCAGGGATGGAATATATTGTGATGCAAAATAATTGATTGACAACTTGAGTTATCTTACATCACTTTCTTCATAAAAATTTTTGATTTTTTTAGTATAAAGACGATGTTTAATCCCAAGCCACAGAGCTTAAGCATAAAGGTTTTTTATCCTCTTCCAACAAAGTGAGCTTTTGGAGTATTGTAATTGTGTTTTCATCCTTAAGAGGGATTGATATCGCTAACCATTTCAACCAATACCTTGATTGTTAAAAAAAAAAATTTGAATTTTGATTAATGAGAAAAGGACTAACTTAGCCATCCTTACTTAATTAAACTTATAATTAACAATTAATGAGATCATGAACGACAAAGCCACATGAACTTACATCAAAAGAATAAAATTTAAAGAAGTGAGGTAAAAACTATCTCCATAATAGGAAAAGATTAAAGATATAAATGAAAAGGGACTTTTCAAGAATGAAGGCCATCACATCCTTAAACAAAGCCAAAGAAAGGAAAGAGATAAGGGCAAAGAAAAGAAGAAAGAGATCCAACAACTTTTTTGTAGGAAATATTCTGGCTTAAGTTGGAGTAATGGAGTGATCTAGTAGTAGGGTAATGAATCATGTCTTGTGTTTCAAATAAGACATTACTGAATTCAAAAGGAATAGATAGTCAAGATTTCTTTTTTTTTTTTTTTTTTTTTTTAAATATTCTGGTCTTAAGTTGGAGTAATGGAGTGATTCTAGTAGTGCGGTAAATGAATCATGTCTTTGTGTTTCAAATAAGACTTACTGAATTCAAAAGGAATAGCATAGTCAAGAATTTTCTTTTTTTTTTTTTTTTTTTTTGTCTTTTTTTTTTTTTTTTTTTTTTGTCAAGTTCCTGAATTTCAGGCTTTCTATAGAGAATTTGCTAGTTGTTGGCTATTCCACCTTCCAAACCTACATTCATATCCATCCTGAGAGCTTTCTTGCACTTGCACATCACATTTAAGTTAATTAAATAAAATATTAATTTAGTATAAAGTTCTCATTAGAAATGGATTATCTAGAGTTATGTTTAAAATTAATCTAGAGTTAAGTTCATCGAATAACTTTTGTAAAGTTAAAGTTAGTTACGTGTAAAAAACATTTATAAAAAGAGAAAAACACGAAATTCAAAATAAAATTAATCTCGTAAAAAAGATTATATCATATAATAATTGTAATTGACTTGGAGTCTGTTCACAGCCGTTTAACTAGCATTTCACTCAATATTAAATGAGGTAATATTTCATAATCCACAGAATACTATAAATAATAAAAATAATATTTTGACTAGTTAAAACACTAAAAGTTATATGAAAAGTGATAGCCGAACATGATCTTAATAGAATATGAAATGCAATTTTAAAAATTAATTTAAGCATAATTTTCCCTTTTTTTTCATGATAAGTAGATATTGAATTATGGGTTTTGAGCTAAACATTAAAATATATTATTGAAAAAATACATTGCAAAAGGCATCAATTGGATGTCGAAATGAGACAAATAATATAAAAACACATAAATGCGTAGTATTGGATAATGTTTTTTCACAACTCCCAGTCTTTAATCCTTTAGGTACAAATACCATTAAGATATGCTTTGTGCTCCTTGGGACCCAAATTGCTCCATAAAGATTTTCAATAATGAGCTTCTGCTTGCCCATGAAAAAAAAATGTCAGCAATTTCATTTCTGAATTTCTTGTTTTTGCAATTTAGAATAATCTAAAAAGAAATATTGATTATTATGATTCTTATTTAATTTCGATCTAATGAACATTTTTTTTTTTTTGGAATTTTTAGTCTCATGTAATGACCTCAGCTAGTGTCGGAAAATCTGAATGTCTAATCACACGCAAGCATTGATAGCGAGGTCTCAAGAAGAGGATTTCTGAACAACCAAAGGTACGGCTTTTATCTTAGCCATTTAGTCATTTAGGTTACATCTCCAACCATGCCTAGATTTTGCAACTAATATCGGTAGTTAAATAGTAATATTTAATTGCAATTGAAAATGAAATTTGTCACTTTCTTGATGATAATAATTATGATTATTTTTTTGCAAAAATTTAATATTTTATGCTAATCATGTGTGGTTTGATTGGTTTTATTATTTATACGAGGATTAGAAAGTCTTCAAGTCATCTCAATCATAAGAGTTTTTTACTAATTTAGTGAGTTAATGTAACTCTCGGTGTTTTCCGGCTGAGTGAACATCTAAATAAATTAAGAAAAAAGAATTTAACATTTATCATTTAAAAAAATATAAAAATGAGTTTAAATTATTATATTAACAAAAGATGATGTAATGTTGACATGTCGTACTTCTAATTTATGCGTGGCATAAGCACGAATTAATACATATTTGTGAGACTAACATGTCATATTGATTTATTTAGAAAAATAATAAAAATGAGTTTATAAGGTGTTTTAAAAAAGTAAGTGAAAAATATCGATTATATGGTGGTCTATTATTTTGAATTCAAGTTCTCTTAACTACAGTTGTGGAGAACTATTCTTATTATATAGGTCGTGGTATTATTTCGGAAGAGAAAAAAAAAAAAAAATTTCTGATGGTGTACCTAAAGTACCAATCAAAATCAGCCCTATTCACGGGTACAAATTGACACAAACAATTGACCCACTTCTTCATTATAAGCAATAAAGAAAGTGTAAATGTGGTTGATGCTCGTAAGACCAACCACATATATAACATTAGGCAAAATAATTGTCACGAGACACAACCTTTAGTCAACAAATCAATTTCGATTTGATTCCTTTTTTTTTTTTTTTTTAAGTTTAGGCAAAGATTTTAGACTAATTTTGATCCTAAAGAGCCATTTACAATAAATGAATTCCACAAAATTCATTTACAAGATTTTAGACTAATTTTGTGGAATTAATTTGGAAATACAAAATGTTGTGTTTGGAATAAAAAAGAATACAGAATTCAATTCTTAACTCAAATTCTACTAAAATTGATGAAATTTGAAATGAATTTTATAAATTGACCATTGAAATATTTATCGATAAAATTACCCTCCACTGTAAACTCAACTACTTGTATTTTTTTTTCCTTTTTATTTATTTTCTTTAGAAAATTCCAGACTATAACAACGTTTTTTTTTAATCCAATAATGAAGCTAGTTTAATCTAATAATCCAATATTTTTCAATAAGTTATTTTCCTGCAAATTATTTTACAGAAACAAACGGAGCATAATATTAAAAATTTAAATATTTTTTTTTATTTTTATGTTGAAGAGCAAAACTCTACTGAAGTTGAGATTAATACCAAAATTAACATAACTTGTGAAAAATGAAATTTAAATATTTGATGGATAACATTAACAGTCTAATACTAATATCCTAAATTGTGTGATTTGTTGCAATTGTATCGTATTCTTAACTTTTTAACAAATATATTCTGAAATGAAAATTAAAAATTAATTACGCACTATGATTAAAATTGAAAAAAAGATGTAACCGCAAGAACACATATAAAGTTGAAGATATTTTTATAATCTAAAATGATTAATTGTACCCTGTAATTAAAATAAAATGCAATTAAAATAACATGTGAAGTGCATTAATCATGGTATTTTTATCATAAAGGTCACTACTGAACTATTATTGCTATAGTTTTCGTACTCAGTGCAGTTTAAATTTTTTACAACTTCCAACAATTGCATAGCTCTTAAGAAAGAAATTAAAAAGTATTATAATATAAATTGATTAATTATTTTAGCGCGTAAAAATATTACGAATTTTGTATATTGTTGCAATATATTCTAATTCAATTATAATATTATTAGTCTCTCTAATCGCATTTCACGGTATATTTATCAAAAAATAAAAACTGGAATATAATTATAACAAATTCCAAAATTTAGAAATACTTTTTTTTTTTATTAATTAAATAGGAAACAAAATCCGCATGCGAATTAGAGACATTACACACTGATTACAAATACTACACGACTGAAAATAATCTTATTCCGTTTTACGATCTGATCATTAACATTAGTAGAACATTTAATAATGAAAGAGACGACAACGTTTGATCTTAAAAGGAAAAAATAAAATAAAACAAAACAAAAAACAGAATGGAACTGTTGTTCTATTGTCATTTCTACCTCTAAGATAAAAACATAGGACCAACAAACAGATAACTGTAACAACTGTTGGAGAAAGAAAAAAAAAAGAAAAAGAAAATAAAAGGGGACAAAAAGTCGTTTTTAACTGCAAAGAAGGCAGAGAGTAAAATGAATACCCAACCAAGATAAACAACTCATTTTGTTCCCGCTTTTTTTCTTGACTTTTATATCAGCAAAACAAAAGTTAAAGATAGCTCTTTTAGCGCCACTTTACTTGCTCATGCACAGTATAGCATGCCCAATGCCCAAACCAGCAATAACAACAACAGTGACCCTTCCTTCACTTTTTTTAGTATATTACAAATGGAGTTTTCAAGATTTTGATTTGGGCATATATAAGTTTGATAGATAGATAAATCAGAGGAAAAGGAAAAAAAAAAAAAAATGTGGAAGGAAAGATAAATTTAAGTATGACCCACCACAAAGGGTGAAAGGGAGGCCCATTGCTTTGGACAGTTGCAATCTATGGTTTTGAACATAACCTGTTCGAAAAAAATGGCCAAAGAACCTCACAAACAGCAACTTCTCCAACTGGGTCTCTGTCTCTTGCTCTTTCTCTCTCTTCCCTTCTTTCCTTTAACTCCACTTTCCTTCTCCTATACTCATTCTCTCTTTTTTCTTGCTCTGATTTTTTGTTCTTTGGGTTCTTTTTTCTCTTTGTTTTTCCTTACATGGATATGAACCACCATCAGCAGCAGCAGCAATTGTCTTTGGCCAAGAGTTCTAGGCAGAGATGCAATGAATGGTTTGTTTCTTTTTTCTTTTTTGATAAAAACTTCACTTTTCATGTTATGGCTCTATTTTTCTATTGGCACTCTGTTCTTTTGATTCTTGGTTTCATTGCTGTCTTGTGTAGTATTGGTTATGCCTTACTCTCGCTTTTAGTTACTGGTTTTGCATATATCTTTATCCATGTTTTTCTTTTTCATTTATTATATCTTCAATATGGCTTTCATGTATTTATTTACTTTTCATTTTTACTTCAATATATTTCAGCAATTTTAGATATTTATTTCTAATGCATTCTGTGTCCAGCACTTCCATTTCAAGATTTCTGATTCTCTTCATTTGTGGATCTGCTTGTTGTTCATGTCCATATTTGTTCCCTTTTGGAGCGTGATGCAACACACACACACACACACACACTTATGTACACTTTAATTTAATCTTTTGTTCTTTGACAGAATATTTCTATTCACTTCAGGTTGATTTTGCACGTTTATTGAAAGGCTATCTACTATGTTTCATAATAAGAATTTTATTTTTGTTTGCCATCAGATAATGGACGGTGTTAGTATGCAGCCGCTCTAATTTTGAACTTGAATGTTAACCTTCGAAATAGTTGCAAGTGTTCCTTTGTACTGATTGACAATTATTTTCTTGCAGGATTTTCCGGGATGTCCCCAGTGATATCACAATTGAAGTGAGCGGAGGGACATTTGCATTACATAAGGTCATTTTTAAAAATTTAATATCTGAATCGCTGAATTTCTTACTGGTTGATTACATGCTACTTGTAATGGATGAAACTTCTTTTGCATTGTTTTAATGGTGTAGAGGTAGAGAACACATAGAGATCTTAATTTTAGCACTGAAAACTGTAAGCAAAATAAGTTCTACAGGACTTAATTAGTGACTTTGTTGGGAAGACTCGATGAATAAATAGCTGGCATGAAAAACGGAATAAGAGTAGCATGTTTTTTTGGGATTTGTGGAGTCCATAACTTCCATTGCTAATTTTCTGGAAAATGTTTGGTGGATCAATCAGTTAATTTTTATTAACAACTAGGATAGAAGTTAATAACCTATATATACTCAGTTGAAGGTTAATCATTGACAGAGATTGTTTTTTTAGCAAATATTCCAAAAACTTCCGTACTTTTCTCCATTAATCATTTGGGAAGAATATGATAGCTTAGCTTCCCAAACCCACAGTCTTGGTTTTGTGATTACTGATCTCATAGAACTTTGGGTTGGTATTTTACTATTTTCTGATAAATCATTAAATCTTCTTTTCGTTATTGTGAGATCAAAAACTTTAAATCAATGATTTTCTTGATTTTGGCTTCTAAATATGCCACTTTTTTTTCTTCTCAAATTCTGGGCTATATTAACTGGATATGCTGATACTGCTGAGCACAACGGCTGTTTCTGTTCCTGTCATGGGAGATGCCAACCATCCCTTCTTCACAAGAACCAAAAGAAGCTCCACCCACATATCCTTTGATGAATGCGCTTGATTTGACAGCCAAGAGTTTAGGTGTTTGACCAGCCAACAAAAAAGCGTGCAGAGAAAAAGTGGAAAGGTTGATGACTTACAAGAAAGTTTGTGTGGCAAGAACCGATTCCTACTGATGTTACGGTTCCAAAAAACAGGGGAGAGAAAAACAAGAAAATCCATGAATCTTCTTCTTTTGGTCAACATGGCAAATAACATTTATTGCTAAGAAAAAAGATCATAAGCATCTGAATTCAGTACAAATGGCCTTAAAAGTTTTTCTTTCCTATTTATAATTGCCATTCAAAATTTATTTGCATTTATTTCTGTTACCCGCTCTGACTTAGGTAACTAATTCACCTTAAGAGTGTGCAACTCCTACTTGTATTTTTCCTCCTTAGTGCATATTATGAGATGTCCAGTTCATGGTTTTGACTAATAATCTAATCCGAAATGCAGTTCCCTCTTGTCTCCCGAAGTGGACGAATTCGAAAGTTGGTTGCAGAACATAGGGATGCTGATATCTCGAGGGTGGAGCTCCTTAATCTACCAGGAGGAGCAGAATCATTTGAATTGGCTGCTAAATTCTGTTATGGAATTAACTTTGAAATTACATCTGCAAATGTTGCTCAGCTATGTTGTGTTTCTGATTACCTTGAAATGACTGAGGAGTTCTCAAAGGACAATCTTGGTTCTCGTGCTGAAGAATATCTTGAGAGTATTGTTTGTAAGAACCTTGAAATGTGTGTTGAAGTCTTACAACAATGTGAGAACCTACTTCCTCTTGCTGATGAACTGAAAATAGTTAGCCGTTGCATAGATGCAATAGCTTCAAAGGCTTGTGCCGAGCAGATTGCCTCAAGCTTCTCGCGATTGGAGTATAGCAGCTCAGGGAGACTTCACATGAACAAGCAAGCCAAATGTGAGGGAGACTGGTGGATTGAAGATCTCTCTATTCTCCGGATTGACCTATACCAAAAAGTCATGACAGCCATGAAATGCCGTGGGGTCCGTCCCGAGAGTATTGGAGCATCGCTTGTGAACTATGCTCAGAAGGAATTGACAAAGAAATCCAGTTTATGGAATCCATCTAGCCAGACAAAAGTTGATCTTGTTTCTACAGGGCATGAAAGACTTGTGGTTGAGACAATCGTTAGTCTTTTGCCAGTTGAGAAACTTGCAGTTCCAATTAGTTTCCTCTTTGGTCTTCTGCGAAGTGCAGTAATGCTTGATTGTACAATTGCATGTAGACTTGATCTAGAGAGGCGAATTGGTTCGCAATTAGATATTGCAACTATTGATGATCTTCTGATCCCATCGTTCCGGCATGCAGGTGATACCTTATTTGATGTTGACACAGTTCATAGGATCCTGGTAAATTTCTCACAGCAAGATGATAGTGAAGATGATATGGAAGATGCTTCTGTTTTTGAATATGATAGTCCTCATTCACCTTCTCAAACTTCATTGTTTAAAGTATCGAAGTTAGTGGACAATTACCTTGCAGAAATTGCACCTGATGCAAACCTCAAGCTTTCCAAGTTCATGGTCATTGCAGAAACTTTACCAACACATGCACGAACCATACATGATGGACTGTATCGAGCAATTGATATTTACCTAAAGGTATGTCTTTCTGATACTGGAAAGAATATATTAGGTAATATTTGATTTTACATTAAAAAGGAGTCTGTGGCATCACAGGGTGCTTTAACAATATGGGTAAGAACTTCACCTGTATGCCTGTCGTTGTGTCTTTAATTTTATTTTTTTTTCAATTCTCCATCTCTGATTCTTTTTCAACCATATATCCAGGCTCATCAGTGTCTATCAGATTCTGACAGGAAGAAGCTCTGCAAACTGATTGATTTCCAAAAGCTCTCACAAGAAGCTGGTGCTCATGCTGCACAGAATGAACGCCTCCCCCTCCAGGCTATCGTTCAAGTGCTTTATTTTGAACAAATAAGGCTCAGAAATGCATTATGCTGCTCTTATGGTGAAGAAGACCATAAACCAATGCACCAGTCATGGCGGATCAGCAGTGGTGCACTCAGTGCGGCAATGTCTCCACGTGACAACTATGCATCATTGAGGCGAGAAAATCGAGAGTTGAAACTTGAGTTAGCTCGATTAAGGATGAGATTAAATGATCTAGAAAAAGAACATGTTTGTATGAAGAGAGACATGCAAAAGTCTCATTCTCGAAAATTCATGAGCTCTTTCTCGAAGAAAATTGGTAAGCTGAGTTTCTTTGGGCATAGTTCTTCTAGAGGATCAAGTTCTCCCTCAAAGAATTCTCATAGAACAGATTCTAGAGTGATCGAGAGAACATGTGCCAGCACGGACTAGGCAACTGAAGTTGCCTGGATTCTTTTTTCTGCATTTCTTAAGTAACTGCGAGTCATGATGTTGTTAACCTATTTATTTGGCTCCTATAAATGTTCCTTTTTGTCCACCTTGTATATGATTTACAATGCCTTTTGTTTTCTTTTTTTTGGCAAAAATAGAGTTTCTCGTTTGCAAGTCACGGTTTTTGGAGAGTAACAGCTCTGATAGAATTTGAAATGACTTGTGTAAGAATTTGTTTGAAATATTGTACATACGCAGGAGTTGTTAGCATAAATTTTGTAGAAAATGCGCAAAAAAGTTATAGATAATTATATCCCTTCTGATATATAGATCAGTTTATAGCTAACAAGAAATTCTGTGTTCGGCCACTGATTCTGTCCATGAATGTGCATGAACTGGTTTGCCATTTCTTCTCTCCAAGTACTTCAAGTCCATTTTCTAAATAACTCATATAATATGTAGCACATTTTATCTCCTAATCTGGGATGATCTTAGAATGCTTGTACACTGATTTAATGGATCATCCTCCTCATTCAGCTTTGATTTTATTCTCTTTTATCCCCATATTATTTTGATATTTACCAATCAAGCTCCTGTTATGAATTAATCTCAAATAATTTCACAATAACCTAGATCGTGCAAACCACTAGATTCAACAAAATAGATTGAATAAGAAAAGGTTGCCCTAATCTGGGATGATCTTAGAAAGCTTGGTACACTGATTTAATGGAATCATCCTCCTCATAGCTTTGATTTTATTCTATTTTATTTCCCAATAGTAGTTAATTTTGATATTTACACCAATCAAAGCCTCCTGTTATGAATTAATTCTCAAATAATTTCACAATACCTAGATCGTTGCAAACCACACTAGATTCCAACAAAATAGATTGAATTAAGAAAAGGTTGCGTACCTGAACATCGTTGTTCGTCGATCTTGATGTGTAGAAATCAGGTTGCAGCCTTCCCAGAGATTGAAGAATCGAATTAGCGGAAGCAGTACGAAAGGAACGTAAATCTGAATCGTATTCAACTCCTCTGGGGACACGACCTTTATATACCTGTAGGAGTAGTACAATTCCTTTAGTACAATTCCTATTTCGGTCCTTTAAAGAAATAGGAATTATATAATGGTCTCTACACTTAATATCTATAATTAGTTGATACCTCAATAGTCAATTATTCACAATCAAGACCGCATTTAAAATTGACTTTATAATTAGACTGCTGTACATATTTAATTTTACATATTAAGCCCACAATAGAAAATTAAATCCAACAATCTCCCACTTGGGCGACATTATGTTAAATAAAATACATACACCAAAATGAGCTCAACAAACGCAGTCATACAAGGTATCCAAAAACAATCTCGTCCATTAATTATATTGATAAAGAACTGAAGAAACATTCGCCATAGATCTCATGACTATCATCAACTACCTTACCAATACCCCTAAATGACACAGATTCATTATAGAAGTGTAGGATGAAAACTAAATGTAATGTGATCATCATGTTTGTTTCCAACTGGTCACCAACAAAAGTGAGATCAAGCAAAACAATAATAATACAGAGTGTAACCATCAACCAAAATGAGTACTCAATAAAATTTCATCAACATAATAAAACATATCCAAAACAAAATAGAGCATTCAAAAACATACAAAATTTCATGATAAAACATATCCAAAACAAAATAGAGCATTCAAAACCATAATGTATACATAAAGAGCAGACTCCCACTAAAACTAGACAGTCTCAAACAAAACGATACCCATATGAGCGGTGTGCTCATGGAAAACTTTCGGTATCACTGCCTTTGCAAGCGGATCCGCAATCATAGAGTTTGTTCCAATATGCTCTAAGGATATCTGTCCACTCTGTACCCTCTCCTTCACAGCCAAGAACTTAATCTCAATGTATGTGTTTTGATCGAGAAGAGCTCCGAGAAGAGCTCCTGTTGTTGTTGGAGAATAAAACGGCTGACCTGCTGTCACAATACAACTTCAGTGGTCTTTCTATTCCACCTACTACACGCAGCCCATTGACAAGGTTTCTCAGCCAAATAGCTTGATTGGATGCCTTATAAGATGCTACAAATTCAGCTTCCATGGTAGAGGTTGCTACTAGAGTTTGTTTCACACTCTTCCAAGAAATAGCACCGCCAGCCAATAGAAAACGTAGCCAGATGTGGATTTTCTACTGTCTTGGCATCCAACGAAATCAGAATCAGTATACCCAATGATCTCAAGCTGATCTGATCTCCTATATCAATGATCTCAAGCTGATCTGATCTCCTATATGTGAGCATATGTCCCTTAGTCCTCTGAAGATATCTCATGGCTCTTTTGGCTGCTTTCCAATGATCCATTCCTAGATTGCTGAGATATCTACCTAACATGCCAACTATAAAAGAAATGTCTGGACGAGTACAAACTTTAACATACATAAGACTTCCTATAGCTGACGTATAAGGAACCTTTTGCATTTCCTAAATTTCAAGTTCACTCTTTGGACATTGTTGATTACTAAATTTATCACCTTTTGCAATAGGGGTATCCAATGGTCTTCTAGAATTCTGGCATTACTAAAATCTCTGACGCAATTTATCAATATGCACTTTTGTGATGATGGCCAGAGATATCGTAGATGAACGGTCTCGATATGTATCCTGAATCCTGACATCAGAGAAAGATAAAAACAAGTAGATATAGATTAATAGGAGCCTACAATCCACAATGAAACAATTCACATAAGTGTAGATCAAAATGGAATAATGAAATACAGACACAACATTAAAGTAGTTCCAGCTGCAATATTTTGGAGATAGTAAACACATTAACTTGTAATTAGTATTCAACGCGCAGCAATCAACATATTGATAACATAGTACCGACAAATAATAAAATCTTCCGTTGGGCGATAGTCATGTATTGTGCATGGACAAATGAAGCAACCAGTTGATACATCTTATTGCCAACATCGTAGTGATCAAAAAACATTCCGACCATTAGCCAACATTCCTTTAGGGCCCGAACTTCAACTTATCCCGCAACGAAATTTTAAAGTACAACCCTAGTACTAATATGTCTAAATAAATCAATCAAAGCAATAGAGGCACTTTTGGTGACTTATTGATCCGTGACTTATTGATCAAATCAATTTATTTTAACAAATATTAAACACAATAGGGACTTAATCACTCCAAAATTTAATCTCAAGTCGACAAATTAATTCATTTAATTGTAATTAAAGCAAAACAATTGCAATTAAAGGAATTGATTGTCTAAATATTTAATAATCTAAAATTATTTAGCCCTAAAAAATAAAAAAAAATTATAATCTAGTCTTTAAGTCACTAAATTAGAGACTAAGTTATAAAATTGGACTAAATAAATTTGAATAAATAAAGTTCGGGGTTCTAATATAATTAAATATATGTCCACGGGTCTAGACGAAAAAAAAATATTTTAATTAAATATCTGTCCATGGGCTAGACAAATCAGGAAAACAGAAAATTAGGGATTAGGGGCCTAATCTGAAGTTACAGAAAATTAGGGGCCTAATCTGAAGTTACAGAAACTTAGGGGCCTAATCTGAAGTTACAGAAAATTAAGGGTCTAATCTATAGTTACAGAAACTTAAAGGCCTAATCTGAAGTTATAGAAACTTAGGGGCCTAATCTGAAGTTACAGAAACTTAGAGGCCTAATACGAAATGTTTCAGGGATCTAACCGTAATTTTTCATCCCTAACCTTAAAACCAAAAACGATAAGAGACAAGCTCTCCTTTCCGCCGACTCTCTCAAAGAAACCAGGAACTGTTTTTTTTTTTTTTTTTTTTTTAATTTCTAAACAAGATCCGCTAGCAAAAAAAAAGAAAAAAAGATAAAGAGCTGGTATTCTGGATTAAATGATAATCTGGGATTATATTTGCTGGTTAATAATTTGGTATTTGATAGTGCTTATGAAAATTAGAAATTTTTCTGTGTAGAGTTTCTCTTAGAAGGTCATTCCTTCCCTTTTCTTCTTGTTTCTTGTTTTATTTATAAGCCAAACTTTCTACCCGTCATAACATGTTGGAGACTCTGGAGGATATTGTAATAAACTAATCTCAAATAATTCCACAATAATCTAGATCGTGCAAACCACTAGATTCTCTTAGGTTTGCAGCCTTCTAGAGAATTGAAGAATCGATTTAGCGGAAGCAGTACGAAAGGAACGTAAAACTGAATCGTATTCAACTCCTCTGGGGACCACATTGAAGATCGATTTAGGCGAAAGCAGTACGAAAGGAAGTAAAACTGAATCGTATATCAAAGGGACACGCTTTATATATCCTGTAGAGTTTAGTACATATTCCTATTTCGGTCCTTTATGAAATAGAAATTATAATATGGGTCTCTAACACTTTAATATCTATAAATCAAGTTGAGTACCGTCATATGTTCAAGTAGTCAAATGTTATTCAATCAAGTGAACCCGAATTTGAAATGACTTTATATAATATCTATAATCAGTTGATACCTCAATAGTCAATTATTCACAATCAAGACCACATTTGAAATTGACTTTACAATTAGACTGCTGTACGTATTTATTTCACATATTAAGCCCACAATAGAAAATTAAATCCAACAGCTCCGGCATGACCAGTAATAGTTTTTCAGTAGTAGTAAGTAAGAATTCTGGAGATTTTTTTATTTTTTATTTTTTTGTTTCAGGGAGTACATGGCAGCAAAAGATTCAGAAAAGAAAAAAGTTTATCCCCTTTTTCTTTTCTTTTAGAGCTTTAGAGATCTGAGGGGAGAGAATTTGAAGAAAAAGGCTAAATGTTAACTTTAGTTCGATGATGCGTAGAATGTGAAAGAAGAACAGGATAAATAATGCTGCCAGTGTTAAAATTTCAGTAAAAGTCACATTGTTCTGAAACATACAACCGAATGCCCTGTTCAAACTTTGTTTCCTAAAATCAACCTCTTGTAAAATTCCTCCTAAAATCAACCTCTTGTAAAATTTCTCCATCCCCCAAATTTTCTGTATCTAGAAAATTAATAAAGCATATGGTTTTGAATATGGCAAACCATTACACTTATGTCTGGAGAATTCTTTTGCACAACATTTGCAGCAGAAACTTTCTATGTCAATTTACATAATTACTGGACAAAAGAACCAACGGATGCAAGAACAAACATATTTACCATAAATTTCTTAGTATAATACTTGGAAGATCTGGAAACATTAGGCTACATAGGAACAAGGCTCGTAGAATGAACAAAAAAATCTGCAAAACTGCAGGAATTGCCTGCAAATTCTTCTCTTTGGTACACCTTGACTCTTCTCTGCTGCTCTTCTTCTTTGGTTGGCAAGAGAAAAGAAACCTTTTTAAGCAACTTAACATCACTGTCTGGTTTCCTTAAGCAAGATTTGAACATAGCAACCTCTTTGCCATGATTAAACTCTAAGTCACCGTCATTTCTGTCACAATCTGCCGTCATATTGTCTGTACAAATGTCATTATCCTTGTGTTGATAGGAATATCTAATCTTAGTTCTTGAATCCTCATACACTTCCTCTTCAAGTCTAAAGTTTGCGTTTTTGGGCTTGATCGTAACTTCAGGCCAAGAACTGACTTTGTTTTGTTTTCTGGTTCTTGAGTTGAGATCTTGATCTAAGGAAGGCATCCAAATACAGGATTTAATAGTTGGTGATTGATTAAGCTTTTCTCGATGATGACGATCTAGGTGTTTTGGTGTTGAACCAGCATGTGACTTAACTGGTGATGAGGAATTTTGAACTTGTTTGTTTTTAACATGATGTTTTGAAATCTGACTTTTTTCTTGTGATTGTTGCTGGGACTCCCTCTGAGCTTTCACCAAATTATAGATAGTGCGATTAGGAACAATAAAGAAAACCCTTCCTAAATTTAAGACAGACTCAGGCTTAACAACAATCCAAGGATACTTAAACACATCTGGCCGGGTTACAGAATGCCTTGGATACTTCTGCAGAACTTCAGCTGCAGTTATAGGCTTTGTGTGAATCTCCACATGCCTACCTGGATGCACTAGTTTTAGCACACCTTCTTCTCCACTTACACTTCCCATTTATTGCTTCTCTCTCTTTCTTCTTCTTTCTTTCTTTTTCGGCTAGTGGGCTGATACTGAAAAATGCAGAGGAAGAGGGAATACAATTCAGCCTCTTTTTGACTGATATACAGAAACCCACCTCACATTGTGACAGAAATGGCGATGATACTAAAGAAGAGTCTTTGGATGATAGAAATTTTCTTAGGCGGATTCTGTCTTTCTCATTGTTGCATATGTACTGATTATCGATAATCTCTAGCTTCAGCCGTAGAATCTTGTTCTTATTGCTCAAATGTTATCTTATAGCAGATACTGGAATATGGCCCTAGTCTTGTTCTTATCTTCATGTTATAGCACGCAGAAATATTTTTATTGTTTTCAGAGTCTCTACAGTCTAAGACTAATCAGAAGATAGAGCTAAAGTTCAAATACTAATGCCAAAACATGAAAGAGTTATGTAATTGAACCAGAAATATTTTTGAATTTCTTGTAAGCCAAAACAGAAAACCAAACATGACAAAAAAAAAATTTGAACCATTGCTTTACAATTGCAAATGATATTCAAATTATTAAAAGAAAATCATATTTATCTATAAATTAGAGGAATATATTCAATTCAAAGAAGCCTCCAGTGAGCTGTTACCCAGGTTGATATCAACTATATTAACTTGCCTAGATGGTATTTATAGACCCATGTGTAAATGAAACTAATGAAAATTAAGTTATTATTAAAATAAGGATATTTCTAACCATACATTGATAAAAATAAAACGCGGGAACAATATTTAAAATCTCTGTTTTCATTAGTTTAGTTCGTAAACAAATCTATGATCCAATCTAAATAATATAATCTGATCCAAAACATGAGTATAAGTCTATAAGAATATATTTTAAATTTTAAAAAATAAAAATAATAAAAAAAAAGAGCTTAGACAAGAATCATCTCTCGTCTAAGCATCAAAATCATCTATGATATTTTCCATCAAGTAGTATCAGAAGCTTCTATGTTCTTTCCATTTTACTAAAAATCATCTACGATATACTTCCTACTAGATGACAGTTGTCTTCTTACATTACGTTTTAGATTTTTACGGATTACAAAGTTTTTTCATGTGAAAACTCAAGGAGTAGAATGTTGTTTCAAAAAAAAAAAAAGAAAAGGAGCTGAAGGATTGGAGTATAGTGAAATTAAAAAAAGTCAATGACCATTTAATTTATAAAAGGGAAAGACCTAAAAATCTGGATAAATATAATTTATTAAAAAATAATTTATAATAAATTATAAATATAAAATAAAAACAAAACGTTTCTATTTGAACATAATTAATTAAATTCATAGCATTAGCATCATCCTTGAAAATCATAATTTATTTAGAGATTTTTTCTTAATAAAAAGCATTGTACATTAATAATTTGTAAGTCAACATTTTACAAATTGTAAATCATAAGATATGGTTTTTCCTTCCTTATTTATCTTTTAATTTTATATTTTAAGTGTAAATAATATATAATATATATTTAAGACAATAATTTAAAACTTTTATTAATGAATTTATCTAAACGTCTCAAAATATCCTAGAGACATCAAGTATCCGAAATTATGAAATTAAAAGAATAATAAGACAATTTTTAATCAATTGACTCTTTGTCTGGAAGAACATGAGTACACAATGCAAGTTTTGTTTAACAGAAACTAGACATTGGCACATTATTCTTGGATTCTTCTTTATTTTTTAATCGCTGTCTGTAATATATACTAGCAGACAATTATATGACCATCACAAATAAAAATTCATGCCAATGAGAGACACTCTTTCTAGGAGATGAGCAGATTGTTCTCAGAGTCGTGTTTTCAAAATCAATCAATGTTTTCCAATGGCATAAGAAATAAAAGAAGAAAATGTGAAATTTTACAACCACATATTCATCACAACCCAGATGTCCTCAGATCCCCAAAGGTACAAGGATAACTAACACAACTTATTTTGATCATCTTTTTGATTCATGGTTCTTGTTTCAGTTCTTATGCTTCAGCTGATTTAGTATAGAAGCGGATACCAACAGCCAAGCCCAAGATTAGCAGGGGAACTACAATTTGGAGGAGCTTGATGATGAACTCTGGTGTCTTGTCTTGGTTGTAGTGAGGTTGCTTCGGTGGAGTATATGCCTTCCTAGCAGGAATTGTCGACGAATCAATCTCACCAACATAGAATTCGTCCATCATTGCCCTTGCACTGCTGCTGTGCCCAACATCCTCAAAATCATCGGTTGCATCCTTCCCTATAAACCAAACACTTATCCGATGTATTTACAAATGTGTTTTCATGATTCTTTTAAAAATAAGGAACACATAGCAAGTAACATTTCTTCATACCTGTGGCGGAAAGCAAAACCTCATCGCCACCAGGGTGGTCCTCCAAGAATTTTGTTACATCATATACCTGGTCCAAGAAAATGAATTTTGATACTCTACTATGTCTCAGTGCGGCGTGCCAAATCAGAATTGTATTTTCACTTTGCTCAATGAAGAATTCTGACTTCATTTGGCTACAGTTCATGCATCATAGTGTGCTATATATCTCAAAAGCATTTACTGAAGTCCTAAGTACATGATCGTTTGGTGTAGTATGATTAGTGAATGATCAGAGTCAGTTCAACTCTTCCTTTTACATTTAAGTACCCGGGTGAATTAGGATATATGGGCATGACATTTTTAAAATTCAAAATACTGGAAAAAAATATGTGAAGTTCAGGAAATTTGGCAAGACTATCACACAACCATATCAGAACTTTGTGCCTAAGTCCAAGTAACATAATGAATACCTATATTGAGGCAGGATATATTTGCTAAATCACTTGTTACTAACTTTTCCGAGAGAAGAACTGTTCAATATATTAAATCTAACATGTAATCTCGGGAAACAATTCCACAAGTGGAACAAACAAACGCTCATAGCTCAGAATTAACAATAAGCATCCACAGAGGAAAAATTTCACCTCATTAGATATTTCAGGGTCCCCACCTGATCAACATGAGCACATAACACGACACGCTGACTGTCTGATAAAAGGCCTTAAAAGAAATATTCATTCTTGGAATTTATAATAAGAACCCCCAAAATTCAACTTCATAAATCTTGAGAATAAATTCAGTCCTTGTTGCATGTGACATACTGATGACTGGAAAATAACTCAAGTAAGAAATCATTCTTATGTTTGTGACTAAGCAACCATAAACACCCACCATCGAACACCAATTGAAATACAAACAATCATGCCATTCATGTTGACCATATGACCATAATGTTAAGCATTTTAGATATCACTTCTAAGCTATAGGAGTCAAAGGCATACACCTACCAATACACTTAGAATCATACATGAAATGTTATATGACACAATTTATGAACAGATGGTTCTGAATTTGATAAGTTATCAGCATATGGTTGGGAACAAAAGTAATTATCTACCACGCCCATTGGAAGTTATTGACCAACGAGTATGAAAAAACATAAAGATCTAAACTTATCCTGATTCATAAATATCTGCAGCTTACCACATTCATCTTCAGGTTGTAGCAATAAATAATAGAACATGAAGCTCAGAATTCTGGACATAACTTAATGCAGCAGAGGAACAATTTCATTTTCCAATGAAAAATAAACAGACCTGTCCTTGATATGGCTTTGGCCATCTAAAATGATGATTCTGAATTTTATTCCTCTAGCAAACGAAAGTAATAAAGGGTAAATCTTATTCAAGAAACACCAGTATATTTAAATTACATTGACAACTCCTGTGCATTGAACAATTACATAAACCTCCCATAAAATGAATTTTGTTATGAATATAGTCCAAATGTATACTATTACTATTACAAAATAGTGACATAACATTGATAATACAATATATGATAGTGCTTACAGAATTCATTAGAAGGCAGAATTGATGTGCTTATTCAAAACAAGGGAGTATTATCTATGATTAGAGGTTCATTATATTGATCATCCTCAAACAATAAATTATTGATCCCAAATTCTACATGCAAGGCAGACATGCAAGTAAAAGCCTTTTCAAAATTGTCATGATCAAACCAGCAAAAATAATATATAAACAAGAAACAACAAAATTGTCAATCTAAACCAAACATGGTTCAACAAAAAATTCTTGCACCCAGAAAATATCACACCCAAAAATTTTCCCAGATCCAGAAAGCAGGATTGTATCAAATATAATATCAAAGACAAGAACAAAAATAAAAAAACCCATCAACCAAGAAAAAGGGATATGAAAAAAATTGGATCAGGAAACAAGGCATGCTTACCTTCCCCTCAATGACAAGCCAACAATCTTTGGCGTTGTTGTGCTCAGAAACCTCAGATAAAGTAAAGAACTTTCCTTGACCACCCATTTCACTCTTGCCTTCTTTTGGTTTTGAGAAAGAAAAGAAGAGCTTTTTAGCCTTCTTGGATGAAACAAAGATCGGTGGGCTTCTCTCGCCAGAACCTGAGCTTGAATACAGCAACAAAAGGAGAGACAGAGGGGGAAAGGAGGGGTTGGTAAGGTCAATATGGAACTTGCTCAATATTGAAAGTAGAACAGTTGGTAAGTGGGTGAGATGAGTCTTTTCAACAACCACCTTGGGTTCTTTGGTGATTTGTGTTTTTAGTTTTACTCCTTAGGTTTTAATGTATTTCACTTTTTGACCCCCATTCCATTTCCCTGTGTCCTTGTCCTAATATTTTATTGAAAAAGCTGTTTATTTGTGCGGTTGAAGTTCAACAGATACTCTTTTCAGTTCTCAGATTAATCTAATCTTCATTTTAGTCCATAAGTTTCTATTTTTTTTGCAATTTTACCTTCAAAATGACTACCTATTGATACTTTTAGCATATAGAAGTACATATAAAATTACATCTAAACTACCTGGATAAGACTCTAATTGTATTATAATTACTATAAGATTGAATTGATCGAACCATTGAGCAATTTAAGAAAAAATATGTATGTATTATAATGTAAGTTTCTTAATAAACTTTTCCCTAATATGTTTTGAAGAGAAAAAAAAAAAAAAAAAAAACCTTGAATTGATTCGATACCATTGAGCAATTTAAGAAAAAATATGTATGTATTATTAATGTAAGTCTTTTTAATAAACTTTTCTCCTAATATGTTTTGAAGAGAAAAAAAAAAAAAAAAAAAAAAACCCTAATTGGAATATGTAACAAAAAAAAAAAAAAAAAAAAAAAAACCCTAATTGGAAATATGTAACAAAATCTCTTTCACTTAATCATAATAATTTCTTTCTTTTAAAGTTCTCTTATGTACCAAAACAGGAAAATGACATTATAATATGTTCTTTCTTTTTATTCTTTTATTACAATTAAAATATGTGAAATTTCTAAAAATCTTGAGCTTTTACTTTTATATTGTTTTTTGAACATTTTTCTGATTGTTTCACATGTTTATAAGAGTATAGTACAATCACATATGTTTTAATTAATTTTAAAAAATTATTAAAAAATATTTATTTTTATAATAAAATATTTTATTTTGTCTTATTTAACCTATAATGCATTTAAAAAAAGAAACTCTTACAATCAATTAAAATTCCCAACAGTGTCGAAAAATAAGTGTCCCCCTTTCAACATGACGTTACCAACTATTAAGTATCAACCAACAAAACTTTTCAAGCATTGGTTTTATTTTAATTTACGAAAATTAAATTGAATATGAATGAGGGGTACGTGGGTCAACCAATTCAACTACCCTAAGGCCTAAGCCGCAAAAGGTACAATCTTTCTTTTATTTACATTTAATTTGGGCCAAACCAAATTCAAATCAGCCTAGAACTAATTAGAAGACCCTAGAAAATCAGAAATTACTATTTGGTCCCATTTCTCTCTCTTCTTTCCCCGCTTCAGCGACAGCAACTCCCCCTCCCTCCCCGTCGATTTCCGATCGCCTGAGCTCAGTGCGACCAGTAGAACCTCCTTCTCGCCACCGGTCTTAGTATGCCGCTCTGTCCTCTCCACTTCTAGTCTACATAGCGCAAAAACGAGGAAGGTATTGAGCTGCGATTTCCGATCGAGACAGTCACCTCCTTCTCATTCTTCTGGTTTTTCCGACGAATCCAGTCAATAGCCGGCCAAACCACCTCTCATCCCGTCTCCAGCACCTCACCGTCCACCGTTCCTCTCTTTTCTGGGCAAGCCAGCATCGACAGAAACAGCTTTTGGACAAAGAAGCCGCTGCCAATCGTTCTACCCGGAAATTTACGATTTCTAGTGTGTTTTTGCGACAAGGGGAGGGAATTTCTAGCCTTTCTCTTGATGATACCTAAACTAATTGTCAGATTTTAATTGTAGGATTCTCTCATGAATCAATTTTTGTGAAGAAATAAATCCCTAGTTACTGTTCATGAGAATTAGCTTGGAGATTTTTAATAAAAATTATAAATGGAAGCGATGAATTGAATTCCTATATAGAAATAGCTAGATTATTGAGTCTATTATAAATTTTTGTAAGGAAACGATGATTCGTTAGTACGACAGTAGATATTTTTAGCCTTTGGCTTGAGTTCTTGGTATGTTACGTAGGAAACCTTGATTTTACCGTTTCAATTGAACTATAAACTGAAAATTCCTTGTACAAATGAATAAATTATTTAGTTTAATGCAGATTTTGGCGAAAGAATTGAGAAACCTGAAATGGCAGCATGCCATTTTAACAATTGCCGTGGTATAATGCAAACCAAGTTATAAATTAAGTTCTTGATGGGAAATGGGTTAAGTAGCATATAATGTATGAGTTTAATCAATAACTTAAGGTTTCTTTGATATAATGGCAGCTTCTAGTTAGAAAAAATTATGGATTTTTGCTTGAACTAAGTTTATATTGTCGGAATAAATGTGCTCCTCATAACTTGTCGTGGATGTAGAGGTTCTAATGACTAAGTTTGACGAGAATTGAGAAACTTTTGGTAGTAGCAGCAGCTATTTTCAATCATTTATATAGATTGTTGCTTGATATGGAATATTTGAATTAGTAGATTTAATTCTTGCTAGGAATTATTTAGTTGGTATAAAGTCATAAATCGGATCTCTTATTAGATATATTCATTAAATTTTAGTTTAATTGAAGCATTTGTTCTTAGTGGCTAATTTAAAATTTAATAAAGTTATAAATATGTGGTTGTTATCTTTAAGCAAGGATGAAGAAATGAAGGTTTGATAAAGAGTTCTATAATAGTTAGACACTAAGGAACTATCAAATGAAAGTAATTGAAATTAACTTAATGACGTAAGTTTTATTCGATTTTATATGTATTAAAGCTTTCATTTGTTTGGTAATTCGCTATAGAAGCTAGTTATAATCGTATGAAATAAATAACGATTGATATTATCATTGGAACATGATTAGAGGTTATTGTAAGTTGTAAATTAATGGTTGAGTGTTGACATTGTTGTTTTGGAAGGAGGATGAGTTTTTAAATTGATTGATCGCCCGATGGATGGGTTGTGTGTGTAATGGTTGATAAATATTTAATACTTTTGTTATTCTAGCAGGTGGATAGTCTTATTTTTAGATAGAATCTAGGCTAGTTATATTTAATGATTAAGTTACTAGGTTTATTTAGATTTATTCTCTAACTTGATATATTTAAAATAAAGTTATTTTTTTAATTCAATCTGTTCCCCTCCTTTGAATTTCCATTTTGTTTAGATCGCTCTAGTTGGTTCACTTTTTTAACAAGTTAGAATTCAAATTTGAGTCTTTTCTCATTTAGTATAGTAAATAATAATAAATAGTATTTACCATTTGCATCATACTTAAAATCATTACTATACAAAGCTTTGTCTTTATTTATTTATATTTTTTATATTTATTTATTTATTTTTCAAGTACCAATTGTTATATTATATTATTATTTAATACTCTTATATTTATTTGAATTAGTATATGAATGTCTATTTGATCATTACTATAGCAAAGGCTATGTCTTTATTTATTTCTATTTTTTTATATTATTTATTTATTTTTCAAGTGAGCCAATTGTTATATTATATCTATTATTTTTAATACGGTGGTGGTGTGATGATCAAGTATATGAATGTCTATTTGTGCTCTGCATGATAACGTTTAATCATTTAAATATGCTTGCATTTAATTGCATTTGTTTGATTATTTGATGTTGTGACAATGATTTGCTTGTTTGCGTGGAATTGGGTGGTTTCAACCATGGGTTGATGAGGGCGGTCCTTCGATACGGTTGGCCATGTATGGGGAGATTGGCGCATCCCAGATAGGTGCATCTGCTGATAATGAATTATATGGAAAATTACAGGGTGACCTCTGTTGATAAAGTAGAAAAAGAAATGAGAAAACAGATTGAGAGGGATAGATCATAGTGAGGACTTAGACCGGTTGGCCAGTATGACGAGGGATTCGGCTCCCTGGTGCACACATTTGAGAGGGTGGGTCATGCGTGAGAACAGCTCGTCGGGGGTTTTTGCGGTGACCGCTTGCTAGAACTCAATTTCCACTTGTTTGATCTATTTGAAGGGTGCAGTTACTTGTGAGTGGCTGATGTTTGTTGCTATATGCGCTTGACATTTATTTGTGTTGTGACATTGATTTGCCTTGTTTGCGTGGAATTGGGTGGTTCACCATGGGTTTGTGAGGGCGGTCTTCGATACCGTTGGCCATGTATGGGGAGATTGGCGCTCCCGTGTGCATCTGCTGATATGAATTATATGGAAAATTACAGGGTGACCTCCTGTTGATAATAGAAAAAAAAGAAATGGAAAAAATTGAGAGGGTTGGTCAAGTGAGGATTAGACCGGTTGGCCATATACGAGGGATCGGCTCCCTGGTGCACACATTTGAGAGGGTGGGTCATGCGTGAGAACAGCTCGTCGGGGGTTTCGGTGACGCTGCTAACCAATTTCCACTTGTTTGATTATTTGAAGGTGCGATTACTTGTGAGTGCTGATGTTGTGCTATATGCTTGACTGATTGTGTTCATTTAGTATCTTAGGAAGCATTTCGTGTGAATAGCTGTGTTATACACTAATCATTATTCATTATAAAACTCACTCCTCTTTTATTCAATTTTTCCAGGAAGTAGATTCTTCACTGTTTCAGCTAAAGCTCTATTTCCTTCACTGCAAAGCTAGAAAAATAACTTTTAGAGTTAGCTGTTATTCAAAATATGTAGCTATATGTACGAGAACTTATTTATATTTATCTGTTAGTGAACTCGTTTATGTGAATGTATGAACCAGTTAGTCTATATTATGGATGTTTTGTATTATAATTGGTTCCGAGCTATGAAATGTTTAAAATGCTAGATTTGGGCCAGAGTATAATATAATTATGAGATTTATTATGTATGGTAATATGAACTGACTGTTAGAAATTTATATTAATATGGTTGAATTCTAGTGATTCAGACTTACTATGGGCCTCGGAAAACTTATGCTTATTTAGGATATAGTGCCGGTTTGGCCTCTGGTTTCGGGTCGTGACACTTTTTTATTAGTATTAAATGATTTGAAAAGCACAATTTTTATATGGACTTGACACATTTAGAAAAATTATTTCGAATGTTCTAAGAGTGCTTTATGATGAATTTTGGTTAATAAGAAAGATGAGTTTAATTCTTACCAACTAAATTAACCCATTGCATAAACAATATTATTGAAAAAAAAAAGTATGGCACAGTAAATAAATTGTACATGAGTAGCAATTAGCCAATTGTTTTTAATCTACAACAACAATATTGGGCTCTTTTAATTTCATTCAACAAGGAAAAATTAGACTTAATCTCCATAGAAGGCTCAAACAAGTGTTGGCTTGGACAAGCCCGTTACTTCCTTTTAGTTGATCCTTCACGTGGCATGCTTTCATTTATTTACTTTCCCTCACCGTACCTAAATAACTGTACACAAAATAGCCCTCAAGAAACCCTAGCCACCTTCCTCTTATATGCCACTTACATTCAAAGAACTGAAAGAGAGTGAGGGAGAAAGTGTTTGCAAAAATGGTGTCCGGATCGGGGATCTGCGCGAAGAAGGTGGTGGTGGATGCGCGGCACCACATGTTGGGGCGGCTTGCGTCGGTGGTGGCGAAGGAGTTGCTTAACGGACAAAAAGTGGTGGTGGTGAGGTGCGAGGAGATATGCATGTCCGGTGGATTGGTAAGGCAGAAGATGAAATACATGAGATTTCTTCGCAAACGCATGAACACTAAGCCCTCTCATGGACCCATTCACTTTCGCAATCCTGCTAAGATCTTCTGGCGTACTGTCCGTGGGTCTGTCACTCTCTCTCTTTCTTGAATCTCATTGCTTTACTGTTTGGTTAATGAGATAATGTGAGAAAAATGAATTAAAATTGGTCATCACTTTGAATATGTTGGTCTATATTTGGTTTATTTGTATTGGATACTGAAAGTGATTTAGTTACATTGGATGAACTAGTATACTTAGCTCTAAATAATTTTGGCTAACTTGTTTAAGTAAGCATTAAGGCAAAAATTAAATTCTGCATCAATTAACTTGATTCTGTATCCAGTCAAACTCTAGTTTTTGTTGCTGAAGAGATGGATAATGTAAAAGAATTAGATAGTTATTTGATACCCTGGGTTAGTGGTATTGTTTTAGCTTATTGGGTGGTAAGTGTTGGAGAATGTTGGAATAATATTTTTTTTGGTGTTTTTATAGAATGATTCCACACAAGACTAAGCGAGGGGAAGCTGCACTTGCACGATTGAAGGCCTATGAGGGTGTCCCACCTCCATATGACAAAACGAAAAGGATGGTTATCCCTGATGCTCTCAAGTGAGCATTCCTAGTCTAGGCTCAGTTAACTTTATTTGGCTACTTGATTTATTTTTTTCTAATTTGGTTAATTTCTCTGATATGAATTTTTTGCTGACTTGGTCATTAAAATAAGGGTCTTGAGACTTCAGAAGGGACACAAGTATTGCCTGTTGGGCCGCCTGTCATCTGAGGTTGGATGGAACCACTATGACACCATCAGGGTGAGTATCTGCATTCTGCTGCTTGGGTTCTCCTAATATGTTCATGTTCTTGATTATTCAGTTATACTTGTTGCTTGGTACTAGTCTATTTGTTGGAATAGCAATTTTTGATGGCCTTGCTGTAATTGAGTCAGTGGGCTTTAAACATGCTAATCAATACAAGTGAATATCCTCTGTGTCAAGCATGCTAGAACTGAGTTTTTGCAGGAGGGTTTATTATATGCAAGGTTTACAGTTCATAATCATCTGGAGCAGATTAGCTCGTATTTTTTCAAGTGTCTGATTATGATATTTATTTTTTTGGTAATAAGGTTGTAGGCAACTGTTGTATCAGCACATTGACTTAGCATGCAATGTTTTTTGAACCATGAAGTTTGTTCAATCTAGTTGAGTATGGTCACTTTTGTCTCTATTCGTTGATTTAGAAATTTTCACTGCATTTGTTTTTGGACTACTACTTGAGCCTATATCAGCTTCTTTCAGCATGTTCGTAGTTGTTGGCTGTCTAAAAACTCTCACTGCAGTGTTAGAGAATGACATTTTAATAACAATTCTAATGAAAACTAGTTATGTTCTAGTTGTCCTGTTTTTCTGCATCTGGTTGGCAATTTTGAGAAATATCTGTATGGAAAATGTGTGTCTAATTATGTTGTCTCCTTCAGGAGTTGGAGAAGAAGAGAAAGGAAAGGTCTCAAATCTTGTATGAGAGGAAGAAGCAATTGAACAAACTTAGGTTGAAGGCTGAGAGAGTTGCAGAGGAGAAGCTTGGCTCTCAACTGGAAGTTCTGGCTCCTGTTAAGTATTGAAGTTGTAGGGACTTTAGCTAGAGCTGCTCACAATTTTGTTCAGGATTATCTCTTAATGGAAATTTTACTGTCTTACCTGTGTTAAAAAAGTTAGAAGTTGAATATCAAACGGACCTTTATGGTTATGTAGTGTGCCCACTTGTTATTGAGTTTTTGAATTGAGTTGGACGTCAGACTTGTCAATGCTTATGCTTCTTTTGATGTTAAGAGAGTTTCTTCAAGGTTGTGTTTTCTTGCTGTTAATTATGGCGACTTCACATTTCGTTTTCAATAGTTCATTTTTCTTTCGTTGCTAAAGAAATATAGTATGGACTTGTATGGAGATATTGTTTGCTTGTTTAAGTTAGAGAGACGGACCTTTGTGTAAGTTGTTTAAGTTGGAAAAGGCAAGTTTTATCGTTGGATTTTGTTTCAACTAATATGATATGTTAGATTTGGCCAAACCATTCGAAAAGTTCTAAACTCTTGTATAATTTCATTCCAAATCATATGGAATTTTGAATTATTGTGGAGCTTGCTAAATGTGGCATTGACAGCGTATGCAATCAACTTGCTGTGTAATTCGTTCTAGTATAAAACCCAGCAAGCGAGTTGAGTCCGTTGATTAAAAACTTTGAAATAAATGACCGCATTAATTAATTAAACCACACAAAACTAGTTTCTCAAATTTAACAGATTCCACAATTACTACTCATCAATCAGTAGAGTTGATGAATTAGATATAATTGTGTTCTGATGAGATTCGTGGGATTCCTTACTCGTCTATTGGGAGAAAAAGGGTGATAAATTTATAATTGCTAGTAAGTGAAAACTCATTCTTTAAACATAGTTTATTTACAACTACTACCATAGCCAATAAGAAAAATAACCATTTCAGGTTAGTTTAATCAAGCAAATCATTCTTTTAACACACTCATGCAGTGCATAACATGATAGTCAATTCCGAAATCTGCCTCCAAAGCAGTCTAGAAAATCTGCTTAATCAGCCTCAGTTTAAACTTAACATATCCACTATTTTTATTCAGTGTTCCTAAATTAACTTTAAATTGATTCATCAAACATAATTATTTAGGTTTACAAACTATATTAACTTTGAGTGATAAGATAATACAAACCCTTGAAATCTCCATAGGTTTACTCTTAACTTTTTCTTTGCGTGAGATTGAGTGATAAGAGAATAATAATAATAATTAATGCAATTTAAATTAAAACATCCAATGTAGTAGTAAAACAGTTTGAAGCCAGAGTCTTTCATTAGGCACTTCCAGGAGAAGTGTTATTTACAGAGGGAATTCGTTCATTTCTAATTTATTTTACTAATAATTAGAATTAAGCATGTCTGGGTGAAATTATCAAGCAGAGCTTGTCTGCCATGTTATTCAAGAGCAGGAAATAAGTGCGTCTCCAAGAATTACTTATCAACAAAGGTCCCCAAAGTCCCCAAAATCCTACACTGAATCCAACCCCCATGCCAGCATAAAGTGAAGACCTGTTTACCCATTTTTCACTTTCTCCAGTGTTCTTTTCAGTTACAGTAGCCGAGGGATGTCTCGTTGTTCTGTCATCTTCGCAGTCGCTCAATGGTGGTCCACAAAGCCCTGGATTCCCCGAATATACAGAGGGACTAAAGCTTTGCAGCTGAGTGCTGGTTGGAATTTTCCCAGTCAATTGGTTACTTGACAAATCCAATTTAGCAAGAAAATTCAAATCAGCAATGCCTGTAGGAATTTGGCCAGAAAGTTGATTGTGGGAGAAATCGAGAGATTCTAAACATTTTTCCTGTCCAATTCTACTAGGGATTGTTCCAGTCAAATTGTTTCTTGATAAATTCAAGGAAATTAGTCCAAACAGACTTCCAAGTTCTTCAGGAATTTCTCCGACGAGAGAATTGTTTGAGAGATCAATTATCTTCAGCAATCCCAGTGTTCTGCCATACTCTTGCTCTATTCCTTTCCAAATAACCAATGCATAATCAACATATAATGCAGTATCTTGGGGAAGGTGAAGCGATCCACTTCCATTCCAGTAACTGTAAGACAAAAAATACTGATGGGATACCATATTACTTGAACTTTGATTTAGAGCCATAGCAGTGAAGTTGTTGAAGCAAGCTGGAATAGTTCCTGATAGATTGTTGAATGAAATATCCAACACCTGGACAAAGCTCAGATGACAAATTGTTGAAGGAATGTTCCCATAAAATTTATTTGACCGCAGACGAAGCACAATCAAATTTTTCAGGCTTGTTCCAACCCATGCTTGTATGTTTCCTGTTAGCTTATTCTCTCCAAGGTCAAGAAGTACCAGGCGGAAGCAGTTTTTCAAGGATGAAGGCAGTTCACCTGTAAAACTGTTATTTCTCAAACGCAATGTCTCCATACTATGAAGGGAGCTCATTGAACTTGGGATTGTCCCGGATAAATCATTGCTTTCCAAATTGAGAAAAACTAACAGCTTTAGTTGTCGCCAACAATCAGGAAGGCTTCCTGAAAGTGAATTGTGGGAAAGGTCAACATAGCTCAAAGGGCTATCTGGTACCATGCATAGAAAAGATAGGGACCCTGTAAACATATTCTTGGAGAGACTGAGTACTGTTGTATTAGAAAGGAACTGCGGTATATGTCCATGGAACAAGTTGAAACTCAAATCCACTGCAGGAAAAGTATACAACTCTAAGGATAGATTTGGTACTTGGCCATATATGTGGTTAAAAGAGAGGTTCATATAGCTTAATCTTAAAGGCATATTCCAGAACCAGTCAGGGATGGCATCTGAAATCTCAGAATTAGAGATATCAAGGTGGGAGAAATTCCTTTGGCTTTGGAGCCAAGTAGGGAATTTGGGGCCTAACTTACAACTTCTTAGTTTGATAATATCCAGTTGAAATTTGGGAGTCCAATCAGAACTCACATTCAGAGATAGTGAATTATAAGACAAGTCCAGCTGCTGCAATTTGGAAAGATTAGATACGTGAGCTTCTGATACAATTCCTTTCAACTTATTTGAAGATGCATCCAGTATTTCAAGATTAAGAAGCTTCCCGATGCTTTCAGTTAAACTTCCATTTAACTCGTTGCTGCCCACAAGCAACTTGGTAAGTGATGCTAAATTCAAAAGGTTAGGCAATGAACCAACTAACTGGTTTCCTTCCAAATTCAGAATACGAAGTTGAGACAAGTGATTAAAACTTTCAGGAAAAGACCCATCTAAACGATTATAATCAAGATATAATTCTTTAAGGGATGAAAATTCAGTAATATCAGGAATTGAACCTCTGAGTTGGTTCATACTTAATGCTAATACCTCTAATGAATTCTTGGCACAGCCTGTGAGGTTTTGCAGCAAATCTGTGAGTAGACCAGAGATAGAACTTAATGACACAGATAACGTTTTTAAATTGCAAAGCTTCCTGAAAGATTTTGGTATTCCACCTTCAAATGCATTCAAGGAGAGGCTCAAATGAACAAGTGATATCATGTCTCCAAAAGAATCTGGAATTGGACCTTCCAACTGGTCATCTATGATATCAAGATCAACAATGGCAGCACTAACATTGAACAACCATGAGTGAATTGAGGAATTGAAACTATTATATTTAAGGCGAAGAGAGCCAAGAGATTTGGAAGAATTAACATGGGAAAGAGATGAATGATTAACTGGAGGAAAATGACAATGAGATAATTCCAAGGTTGACAAAGAAGGGTGCATTTTGATTGATTTTAGCCAATCCACATCTTTACCAATACTGATATGACTTAAATTAAGGACTCTTAAAGATGAAAGGCGATCAAGAAAATCAAAACTGTCTACTCTCATATCAAGATTCAAACTAAGATCAAGATACTGAAGCATAGAAAGATTCCCAAGTTGGTAAGGAAATGTTCCATTAAGTGAATTCAATGACAGGTCAAGATATGTCAACTTACTGAGTGAACTAAAATAATCTGGTATTTTTTGAAAGCCATTACCACTGAGATCCAAGTGACTCAAATATGGCAATTCAAGCAAGAAAGGGCTTATCTCACCACCGAATCCAGTCCAAACAGAATTACTATCACCATATGTTACAGGCCGGAGATCGAGCATGATAACATGACCAGTGTGATTGTCACACCCAACTCTACTCCATCTGCAACAATCTTCTCCACTCGTCCAAGAGGAGAGCAAGTTTGCTTCATCAACAAGGCCTTTCTTGAACTTGAGCAGCGCTTGCCTTTCACTCTCGACGCATCTTATAGTTGCATTTCCTGTTCTAGATTTTGTAATAGTTAGACTACAAACAACCCATATAAGTAATAGCTGAAGTTTTAGTGATCTACCACCAGTCATGGTCACAAACAATGAGAGAAAAGCAGCTTCAAGGAAATGAAGAGTTGGTGAAATTAATTACAAGATATATATATATCAAGCTAAGAAAGGGGCTTTTATGCTCACACCGAATCCATCAAACAAGAAATTAACTATCAGCAGATGTAAACAGGCGGAAGATCGAAGCATGAATAACATGACGCAGTGATAGATTGTCACCCCAAACATTCTACTCCATCTGCAACAAGGGTCTTCTACACTCGTCAAAGAGGCAGTAGCCAAGTTTGCTTCAGTGCCAACAAGGCTTTCCTTTTGAACTATTGAGCAAGCGCTTGCTTTCACTTAGACGCAATCTTATTAAGGTTGCATTTCTGTTCATATTTTGGTAATAAGTTAGAACTAAAACACCATCCCTAAGTAACTAGCTGAATCGATGATGTTGTTTTTAGTGGATCTAACACCAGATCCCCATGGTACACAAACAATGAAGAGAAAAGCCAGCTTTCAAGAATGTAGAAAGTTGGTGAAAATTTAATACAATGATTATATATATATCAGTATATATTTATAGTACAGTATATTATATAAAGTAAGTACTAATGATATAACTGATTAATTCAATGTTTCTGGAAGTTGACCCACAAGACTTACTATTTCTTTTCAATAATTAGTCAATTCCTCGTCCCCATGACTGAAGAAAATGAGGTTAAATGTAACCATTTCCTTTTGGGTCCAAAAAACAGCAGTCTTCAAAAGTAGATTGACCAACGGCTTATATCGAGCGAGAAAAGCAGTTATTTGCTGCTCTAAGTGGGACTTTATACAATATATAGTCATCTATACGATCCATTTTCAGGCTTCGACCCTAATTTTGGATTTGAATTTTATCATTTATTAATACTACAGGCTATAAAATGACATTATATATTACAATAAATAGTGTATCTTTTCTTTGCTTTTTAGATAGAAGGTATTTATTTCAATTTCCTAAGGTTAGTATGAATTGATTTTTACTTAGGCAATTACTGATATGTATATGATCAATTCAATGTTTCTGGAAGTTGACCACAAGACTTACTATTTCTTCAATAATTAGTACACCTCTCATGCTGAAGAAAATATTAAAATGTAACATTTCTTTGTCAAAAACAGCAGTCTTCAAGTAAAGATTGACCACACAGGCTACAGGAGAAAGCAGTCATGCTGCTTAAGTGGACTTTTTTAAAGACTAATTTAGAAAATTACCAATTTTCAAAGCTAATGACCTAATTAATTGAATTTGAAATTTTAATCAAATTATAATTAATTACAGGGCTAAAAATGACATTTTAATTAACAATAAAATAGTGTAATCTTTTCTTGCAATTTAGCTAGAAAGGTACTTATTTCAATTTCTAAGTTAGTATCCATTGATTTTTTTTAAGGAATTACTGAGTAAAGATTTCTAATATTTCTATTTATTTATGTTGATATTGACTCATCTATTTATTTATTTATTTCAAGGAAAAAAAGAAAAACTTTGGTCAATACCAACTACCATTTTTATTTTATATTAAATCCAATTTCAATCTGATCTTATCTCTAACCTGCTATACAAATGAATATTCAAAATAATTAAATAAAGAAAAAATGAGAATTCTGTGAAAATTATTTGCTTGCTTTCACCAACTGTGAAGCTAAATGGAAAGGTCAACTCAAAAACAAGACAATGGTCTAGTTTTGGCTTTGCTTAAGCAAAATTTACAGAGTTTCACCTGAAGTAAAACCACTCTACCACATAATTCAAGAATTGGAAGTAGCTGTACCTCCAAGATTTATTAATAATTAAAGACACATAGAGGCCCCAAAGTCCTACAAAGAATCCCATTCCTGCACCAGCATAAAGCCATGACCTTTCGAACCATTCTTCACCCTCTTCAATATTGTTTCCTTTCGATGGATCTTGCATTGTTCTTTCTCCTTGGCATTTTGGAAGTGGAGGTCCACAGAGTCCTAAATTGTTTGAATATACTGAGGCATTGAAACCTTGCAATTGAGTACCTGTTGGAATTCTACCTTTCAATTGGTTATTTGACAAGTTCAACACAGCAAGAAAAGATATGTAAGCAACACTTTCAGGAATTTCCCCAGAAAGTTGATTATGAGACAAATCAAGTGATTCCAATGCTTTCAACTGGCCAATTTGCTTTGGGATTTCTCCAATCAAGCTGTTTCTTGATAGGTTCAGTGAAATTATTCCAAACAGGCTCATCACTTGCTTTGGAATTCTTCCAGTTAGATTATTGTTTGAAAGATCAATAAGCTTGAGCAATCCAAGAGTTCTACCGTATTCTTGCTCGATTCCTCTCCATATAACAGATATGTAATCAAAATATTCTGCAATATATTCTGTACTCCATTCATCACTTCCATTCCAATAGCTATATGAATAAGTATACTCATCGGATACAACATGGAGAAAACTTCGATTCTGAGCCATAGCAGTGAGATTCTTGAGGCAAGAGGGAATTGGTCCTGATAAGTTATTGAAAGAAATATCCAGTATCTGGAGAGAGCTGAGGTGACATATTGTAGAAGGTATGACACCAAAAAAGTCATTTGATTGCAAACGAAGCACGATCAATTTTCTTAGGCTTTCTCCTATCCATGCTGATACATTTCCAACTAACTTGTTCTCGCCAAGATCTAAAAGCTCCAACAATGAGCAATTTTTCAAAGTTGAAGGCAATTCACCTGTAAAATTATTGTTCCTCAAACGTAGTGTTTGAATTCGATGAAGAAAGCCCATTGAGCTTGGGATTATCCCAGAAAAATTATTGTTCTCCAAGTTCATAATGGTTAACATTTTCATTTGCTTCCAACAATCGGGAAGGCTTCCTGATAGCAAATTGTCTGAAAGGTCAAGATAGGACAAAGCACTATCCGCTACTGTGCATATGACAGAAAGGGATCCTGTAAATGTATTCTTGGAAAGATTGAGTACTGTTGTGTTAGAAAGGAATCTTGGTATGGGTCCATAGAATAGGTTGGAACTCAAATCTACCGCAGGAAAAGTATAAAATTGCACTGATGGATTCGGCAACTTACCATATATGTGGTTAAAGGACAGATTCAAATATCTCAATTTGGAAGGGAAATTCCAAAACCAGCTCGGGACGGCATCTGAGATGCTAGAATTGGAGATGTCCAGGTAAGAGAAGTTCCTCTGGCTTTGAAGCCAAGTAGGAAACTGCGGACCTAATATACAAGAGCTTAGTTTGATAGTGTCCAATTGAAAAGAGGGCGTCCAATCAAAACTGAAATTCAAAGCTAAAGAATTATAAGACAAGTCTAGTTGCTGCAACTTGGAAAGCCTGGAGAGATGAGCATATAAGAGCAGTCCAGTGAACTTATTTGAAGAAGCATCCAAGACTTGGAGGCTAGTAAGCAGTCCTATGCTTCCACCGATACTTCCATTCAACTCATTGTTCGATATTCGCAACTCAATGAGTGATGATAACCCTGAGAGGTCAGGCAATGATCCAACTAACTGATTCCTTTCTAGGTTCAAAATACGAAGCTTAGAGAAGAATTTAAAGTTTTCAGGAAAAGACCCATCTAAATGGTTCTGATCAAGATATATTTCTCTCAAGGATTCAAATTCAGTGACATCAGGAAACGAACCCCTCAGTTGGTTTTGACTTAACCTTAGAATCTCTAAGGAATTTTTAGCACATCCTAGGTTCTCTAAAATCCCAAGAAATGATCCACTCAGATTATTATGCGACAGCTCTAATGTTTTCAACTGACAGAGATTACTAAATGATGCTGGTAAGCCACCTTCAAGGTGATTGTAGGAGATGTCAAGATGTTGAAGTGATTTCATGTGCCCAAAATAATCTGGAATCGGACCTTTCATGTAGTCATCTTGGATTTCAAGACTAATAATAGCACTACTAACATTGGGCAACCATGAATGGTTTGAGGCATTGAAACTGCTAAACCAGAGGCGAAGGGATGCAAGGGATTTGGAAGAATCGACATGGGAAATTGATGCAGAATTAGTTTCAGGAAATTGACATCTATGCAAAACCAAGTCTGACAAATGAGGGTGTGTTTTAACTGATTTGAGCCAATCCACGTCTTTAGAGAAGGTAATAAAACTTATGTGAAGGACTTTTAAAAAAGAAAGTCGATCAAGCCATTCAAAACTGTCAGCTTTCATATCAGAATTCCAGCTAAGATCAAGATATTGCAGCTTCGAGAGGTTTCCAAGCTGGTAAGGAAATATACCACTGAAGCTATTCCATGACAGGTTAAGGTATGTTAACTCCCTAAGTGAACCAATAAAATCTGGAAATCTTGTAAAATAGTTCTGACTGAGGTCCAAGTGACTCAAATATGGTAATTCGAGCAAGGAAGGGCTGATCTCACCTGTCAACTCCACAGTAGAAAAACTATCACCTCGATTTATGATTACAGGCCGGAGATCAAGCATGACGACATGGCCAGTTTGATTGTTGCAACCAACTCTGTTCCACCTACAACAATCTTCTTCTTCAGATGTCCATGAGGAGAGTAGGTTTGTTGGATCAACGAGGCTTTTCTTGATGCTGAGGAGGGCAAGTCTCTCGCTTGCAATGCACCTGACAGGCACAGTTGCATTTGCAGATTCCAGGAGACTGATTCTGATGATGGCTACCATGCATAGAACACAAAACAATTGTAATTCACACTTAAGGACTGTGCCTCCATTCATGGACACAATCACAATGAAGCTGAACCAAGAGAAAATAGAGAAAGGTATGCAAAATTATTGAGGTTCTGAATTTTATATCCAGAAAAACCTGCCAAATTGCCAGTGACTTGTGTCTAATTTGACTTTGTCAACAGAGTTGGCTGAAGAAAGTCTAAGAGAAATTGATTATCTTTTCCCCACAAGACTTAATTGTTTTGACATAATGTTTCCCAAGAGTTTTCCTAGAAAAGGCTCCATAATTTTAAGGATAAAATCAAGTACTTTAATTCTCCTATCTCATAAAAAGAAGGCTCTGAGTTCCATATTGTTAATATTTGTGATCCCTGAACACTGAAATGAGAAACTTTGATATTCCACAACAACAAATGAAATATTGAATTGTTGTGAAACAAACTTATAGTTGTAAAATCAGCAAGTTTGAGTCTTTTAATTAAGAATTTGGGATGAAAGACTCCCAAATTTTATAGATTCAAAATTACTATTATTATACCCATCAAGGTAAAGTCAGTTCTATATCCACATTTTCAATACTTCAAGAGTTGGAAATCTTCAATTCACTTGGTGAGTCATTTCTTCAAGAATTTCTTTATCCAAATTATTCAATATTTAGAGCTGCAAGTGGCTGGGCTTGGACTTAGACTTTTAGATTTTGAGGGGTTAGTACCCATGTCATTTGAAGCTTATGAAGAAGATAAGACTATGGCATAAAACCTTCGGTAAATAAAGGAAAAGGAAAAATCCTACAGTTATGCAAGCATGGGAAATGAAGAATCTTTTTAAAAAATTCTTTATTGACAAAAAAAATGTTTTTTTATGAAGACCCGGAATCTTATATTATCTAAATGTAATTAGCTTAAAAATATTAATTAAGTAAAATAAAATTTAAGTATTAGCATTAAAATATTAATTAAGTAATAAATTTAAAAATTAATAAATTATAATAATCTATATAATTTTAAAATAATTGTAAATATTAAAAATATATTCAAGATCCAATTAAAATGTTGAAAGATAAAATAAAATTTTAATTTTTTTAAAATAGAAAATAAAAAGAGAGAACCATGTAGAATTTTATTTTTGTTTATATTTTAGTTGAATGATTATTATATCAAATATTTTATAATTAAATGTATTTAAATCTCAAAAAATATAATTGATTGTTGAAAATTTTTAAAAAGAATATACAAATAAAAGAAGAATTCTTTAAAATTTTTTATTTAATATTTTTATATAAATTTTAAATATAAAAATCTATATTTTTATTTATATATTCATTTATGTATTATTATGACATCCCGATCCGGTAAAGCGATCCTAAGAGGGCGGGTAGTCTAAAGAGGGCGGGGTAGAGTGAAGCTTCGCTGACTAGCTTTCTAGATGACAGGGTAGCTTAAGGCTAGTAAGAAATGCGGGACACAGGAATGAATCGAATCATATATTGAAAAGGGAGAAAACTAATCATTAGAGGCCGTCTTTTTAGTGGACATGGCTGGAGAATTTGGGACAGAATCCCATGGGGAGAACTCCAGGGTTAAGCGTGCTCGCTTAACGGAAATCCTAGGATGGGTGACCTCCTGGGAAGTTTCCCATTTCACCTGCGGGACTTGCCAATCTTGTATAGAGGATTTGACTTGATCAAAAGCAGACAATGACAATTCCTCTAGTGATTAGAGTCGGGCGTGACAATTATGATGTTTAAGTTCTAATATCATTAACATAATTAATATAAAATTAATAAATAAAAACTTCAATTAAACTATTAAATATTTTAATAATATTTTTTGTTAACATTTTAATAAACATCCAAATTAAAATGATTTGTTTCCATGTATCAAAAAAAAAAAATTTTTGTTTCCACAATATTTTAAATTTCAATTTGATGTTTAAGAGACTATTAATTATGATTTAATTAATAGAATGTATTAAAATCATATTTAAACACTATAACTATATTAGAATTTGAGTTAGAGATAAATTCATAAAAACTATAAATAATTTTTATTCATTAATTAAACTATTAAATATTTTAATAATTTTTTTTATCGGTTATTGCTTTGAAAAAAAATACAGACAAAAAGAAAATATAATTCGCAAGACCAAAAAAAAAAAAAAAAAAAAACCAAAAAAAAAAAAAAAAAAAAATACAATAAAAAAAAAAAAAAAAAAAAATACAATCCGAATGACAGAGTAATCACGATCAACTACTTTTCTACAACACAACTCTTATGGTAAGAGCATATGGTGCTAGCGGTTCGGCATGTTTCTTTTATCATTTTCAGATGATCGGAAAATAAAAAAAAGTTAATATATTCAACATAATAATGTATTAAAAAAAAAATCCGCAAGACTAATTCTTTAACATGTTTTATATTGTAAAGACAAAAGAAAGACCCTGCATATAATGGTTACACTTATAAACACATTAAACAGTAGTATGCAAAGAATCATTAAAGAGCAAATATAATAAAAAAAATATATAATAAAATAATAATGAAAACAAACAAATATAAAAGCTAAAAAAAAAACTAACCTCTATTCATGAAATGCTTTGAAGCAGAAATATATAATATAGAAACATAAAAAAATAAAATGGTTGGAAAACAAACTCACTTATAGAATATGCAACAACAAACTCTCGATCCCTTTTGGTGCCTAAAGGTATACATCCAACTTCGATTTTATATATATATATATATATATAGCTAGATTTTAGGTTCAAAAATTTTAAAAATAATTTTTTAGTCGAATTAGATTAGATTTTAAAAATTATCAATATTATATATTAAATATTAAATTGAAAAAAAAATTATGTTGGCTAGTCAAAATACAAAAAATAAGAAAAATTTTTTAGAAAAAGATAAATGGAATGCTGAACAAAAAGAATGCCTTAAAACATTCTCTTTATTTCAGTTTTCATATATATATATATATATATTATCCTGAAGTAAAAACTAAGTTCAAGAGTTCTATGTGTTTAGAATTCCTATTTATCTTTTTTTATATAAATTTTAGATTTTTAAATTTGATTTTATTTTATTTTGATTAATTGGTTAATATTAAATTATTACAAAAAAATCTTTACAAATTATCTACAACAAAACAATATATGTTTTAAATTTAAAAGAATATATTTAAATGAAAAACGATATCCCATCCTATCTTCTTCTTTTTTTTTTTTTTTTTTTTTTTTTTTTTTTTTTTGTTTTTACAGTCCCTAATAATAATCTTTTCTCTATTGGGTATTTGCATTTTTTTTTTTTTTTTTGTTTTTACAGTCCCTTAATAATAATCCTTTTTTCTCTATTGGGTATTTGCATGTTGGTGTGCATGGCCTAAGCTTTCTCAGCTCCTGAGAGTTTTCAAGGAGCAGGATTTGATATTGGCTGCTCTTCTGGGTTTGTCAACATTTTTTGCTATTGTTGAGACTTCCATGACTACACTGTGGTCGTGGAAGGTATATATGAGATGATCTATCCATGGACTATGGCACACGCAAACATATGTTATAGGCTTAATTATATTTATGGTGTTTAAACTCTTTAATTTTCTATTTTGATATTTAAACGGAAACCATGTATAATTGAGTATTTAAATTATTAAAAAATTACAATCAAGTGCATTTTGCCTTACCAAAAAATTAAAATGGATCGTTATATTCAATAAATAATATCAAACATAAATATCCATTCAATTCATCTCTTTTTTTTTTTCCTCTTATATCTTTTCTCCAAGAGAAATTCTCTAAAATTTCTTCTAACTTTCTTTCAATTCGCAAAATTTTATATAAGAAAAGAGAGATAGAAAGAAAGGTAATAATCTAAAAAAATAGATAAAATAGTTCATTTTGATGTTTCGGTGAGAATTTCGGCTAAATGCATTTAATTATAAAAAATTACTAATTCAGATACTCCATTTCAAATTTTTTTTCCACTCAAACATTAAAATTAAAATTTTTAAAACATTAAATTCACAATTAATTTTTTCTTATATGTGGCTGATCTTTGACATTATTATTACTTTTTTGCCCCCTTTGGAAGTGAGGGGAGGAGAATGGCTTCGTGGATTGAAGAATTGAGTGGTACTTTCCTTTAAGGGGAAGATACATGATTGCTGTGTGAGTATGAATTTGAAAGCAAAGTTAAAAGCAACTCTAAGAATTATAATTACATTGATCTGATCATATATATGCTGCTCCACTAAGCATCCTATGCACATCATCATCACCATCACTATTAAGGTGGTCAAATTTTCAAACTTAATCAACTTACATAAAGATAAGCAATATCATGCCTTTGTTTTTATATTTTAATCAATTCATTTTGTTTTTTTTTTTTTTTAAGTATTGGAGAGGGAATTAAAAAAAACATTTTATGTACATTTAATTTATAAAGTATATGATTATTTTTTTGCATTTATCATCAAATTATATCTTTGTGCTCATATTAATTTATACTATAAGGTTCATTTGTTAGATTTTTTATTAAGTGGTTGTGAAATGTCAAAAATATCCTTAAGGGATCATTACTATATAGTTCTTCAAATTTGATCAAATACATTAATAAGGACTTCAATTTTCAAATTTCCACTATCTAATTCTTAGTATTATCAAGATATTACATTGGTTTGTCTCACTATTTTGTATAATCATATTTGTATTATTTGACCTTTGCTTTTTCTTTATCATTATTTTTATATTGACGAACAGAAAAGAGAAGAATTTTTTACCAAAAGACTTAGAAGTGTAATGAAATTATAATGCAATGACTAGATGGGTAATTTAATCGAATCTTAAGGACGATATAGTAAAATTTAAAGCTCATAAAGGGTAAACAAATTATATGGGAATATATATTTTATTCAAATTGTATGCAAACCAATGCCAATCAAATTTAGTGGAGTTCGAATTCTCTCAAAATAAAAGATTTTTCATCAATTTAGTGAGTTAAAGAAGAGCTATCTTGTTACGTAGCAATAATGTTATTGGGCCCATTAAGTCTTTCAATAAATAAATACAAATGTATTCAAACCAATTGTATATATTAATAATTTAAAATATGAATATGAGTATTATATATACATAACTTTATATGAAGAAATAAGCCGATTATAACTAAATTTATATACACATAAAAATTTTTGATTGGCTGGCTATGTACGACCTTTGGTAGGCAACAAGAAGTTTCCAACTTCTACCTCCCAAGACTCCATCAAATTGAATGCCAATAAATAGCCGTTTCATGGACTTTTTGCTTAACACGACAAATAGCAAGCTTCCACCGAGGTGACTTCGCTTTCCTCAGTGTTTCAGAGAACCCATTTTCAAGCCTGCGTTCTCTTTTCCAACCTCAAAATAACGACAGAGTCGCAGAGAATTTTCTTGCTTCATTGCTTCTTCTGTTTTTAACTACCTCTGGTCCACAAACTACAGTATCAGCATTATTACTGTAATAATGATTCGTAATATTCATCTATACCGCCCCATAATGACTCATAGCCTAGTCTACTAAAGAAACCAAAAGAAAACAAAACAAGAAAGACCCATTTTTTTTAGTTTCTTGAAATTAAAAAAGAGTTTGTGTTCTTCACTTCTTTGAAGTTTCTGCTTTTATGGACTTCAACTACTTCTGGGTTGTCTTCATCTTGTTCTCCATCCTCTCCATAAATGTTCTCTGCTATGGTCAAGATGGTATGTGTTTGCTCTTACTCGCATTTGATAATACAAAACAGACTGTTAAAACGTTTCTTCAATTTGTGTTTAAATTTGACAGGTTTCTTAAGCTTATCTTGTGGTGCTGCTACAAATTTCATTGATTCATCAAACATTTCTTGGATTCCTGATACTGAATATATAAGCACAGGAAACACAACCACCATTGATTTCACTGAAGGCACCTCTTTGACAACTGTCCCTATCCGTTATTTCCCATATACTGATAAATCTCGAAAATGTTATAAGCTGCCATTGAAAAATACATCCTCTGTAGTATTAATTAGAGCTCAATTTGTTTACAAGAATTATGATACACTTGAAAAGCCACCTGCTTTCTCTGTTTCGCTTGACACAGCCATTACTAGTACTGTAAATCTTAGTACAAGTGATCCATGGACAGAAGAATTTGTATGGTCAGCTAATAAAGATACAGTTTCTTTCTGTTTACTTGCCATTCCAAATGGTGGATCTCCCGTCATTTCATCAATCGAAATCCGGCCACTTCCTCGAGGAGCTTATAAGGATGCCATTGGAGAGTTGCCTAATAAGTCACTTAGAAAGTCTTATAGAATCAATAGTGGTACTAATGGTACCATAAGGTATCTATTAACCCTTTCTTTTATAAAAATCTCTGATTTTTGAGAGGTTGTTTGCAAATTTTAAGATTTTTATTTTGTTGGATATGACTAAATTAAACAGGTATCCTTTGGATCCATTTGATAGAATATGGGATGCAGATCAAAACTACACACCGTTTCATGTGTCGAGTGGATTCAACAAGCTACTTAGCTTCTCCAACTTGTCAAGTGTTAGGGAGAATCCTCCAGTTTCTGTTCTGCAGACTGCAAGAGTTCTTGCAAGAAGACATGTTTTAACTTACAATCTTGTTCTTGATACATTAGCAGACTACTACATTGTCCTTTACTTTGCTGGGATTCTTCCTGTCTCTCCTTCTTTTGATGTTCTTATCAATGGAGATATTGCTGAATCTGATTATACTGTGAAAATGTCTGAAGCTAGTGCTCTTTACTTGACTCGAAAAGGAATCAAGAACTTGAACATTACACTGAGAAGTATAACATTCTATCCACAAATCAATGGCATTGAAGTGTACCAGATTGTTGACATTCCATTAGAAGCTTCCTCAACCACAGGTTCTAGTTCTTTTTTTTTTAAGATTTTGAATTAGATTTCAGTTTAGTCGATAAAATTAGGCTCCAGTTGGGGGTTCGAACTCGTAACCTTACACTCCTGGAGAATGTTTCAGTACCATTTTAATCATGATTGTGAAATTTTCCTTCAGTGTCAGCACTTCAAGTTATTCAACAGAGAGCTGGGTTGGACCTTGGATGGGAAGATGACCCATGTTCTCCAATATCTTGGGACCATATTGGATGTGAAGGAAGCTTAGTCACATCACTGTGTGTTCATTTTAAATCATTTACTTCAATTCTAGTTCCAGTTTTTAGCCTTATGCAAAAATATGTTATGGGTTCATACCTTTTATTTTTATTCTTATTAGGGAGCTTTCAGACATCAATTTGAGGTCAATTAGTCCAACATTTGGTGATTTATTGGACCTCAAAAAACTGTAAAGTCTAATCTGCAATACTGTTTTAATGTTTATTTCAGTAATTTTCGGATTCCATTTTTAATAAAATGGGAATTTAATGTGCTTCAGGGATTTGCATAACACTTCACTTGCTGGAGAAATACAGAATTTGGGAAGTCTCCAACATCTTGAGAAGCTGTAATTCGTAGTATTACTTAACCATTTTATTAAAAGAAAAAATTCAAAAAAAATTATGTTTCTTGAGAAATAAATAATACACGTAATATTAATCTTTTTTTTTTTCTTTCAGGAACTTGAGTTTTAATCAGATAACATCCTTTGGAACTGAATTGGAGACTTTGGTTAGCCTTCAGATTTTGTAAGTTGTAATATTTTATTTCCTTATCAGGATATCTCAGTTTCCCAAAAACAAATTGTGATTCTAATTTTCCATTTGGATTTTTTGACAAGGGACCTGCAAAATAATAGTTTACAAGGAACAGTTCCTGATGACTTAGGAGAGCTGGAGAACCTTCATCTACTGTAAGTAAGCTTATAAACATAAAGTTTATCGTCAATTATTTGGTACCTCAAAATATAAAACTAAAGTAATTTATTCTCACTATTTAATGGTTTAAAACAGAAACCTGGAAAACAATAAACTGCAAGGCACTCTCCCACATTCTTTGAACAGAGATAGTTTAGAAGTCAGGTATGAAATTTATGTTCTTATATATATATAATCTTTGAGAAATGCCGATTCGTCGACATTTTTGCAGGACATCAGGGAATCCATGTCTTTCCTTCTATACAATGTCCTGCAATGATGTTTCATCTAATCCTTCAATCGAGACTCCACAAGTTACAATCTTTGCCAAGAAAAAGCCTAAGAACAATCATACGGCAATTATTCTTGGTGCAGCTGTGGGGACTATACTAGCTGTTCTGGTCATATCTCTATCAGCATACTTGTACACTAAGAAACAAAATACCGAAGTTACACATACAGACAGTAAGTAAAACTGAATCATTAGATCAAAAAATGGAAGTAGTACCAACTGGGTTATATCTGAATGCGTAGGGACTGCAATGGATATGCGAAAATGGAATGCTGCAAAAATCTTTTCCTACAAAGAAATCAAAGCAGCGACAAACAACTTTAAGGAAGTTATTGGCCGTGGCAGTTTTGGTTCTGTTTACCTTGGAAAGCTCTCAGATGGTAAACTTGTAGCTGTAAAAGTGCGGTTCGACAAGACTCAACTTGGGGCTGATTCTTTTATTAATGAGGTTCTTCATTGGATATAAGAGTCGATTTGGTTTGAGGATTGCAGTCAGCAGTAACCCTATTAATAGTCATTTGTTGCTATTGAATTGTCAGGTGTATTTGCTGTCACGGATTCGTCACCAGAATCTTGTATGCTTGGAAGGATTCTGTTATGAATCAAAGCAACAAATACTAGTTTATGAGTACCTACCTGGTGGATCATTAGCTGAACATCTTTACGGTAATGTTATGAACCAAATAGATAAAAACATCCATGAAGCCTTCATCGTGTCCGCCTGAAAAATTTTCCATTTAATGTAATTTAAGGTCTCAACAGTCAGAAAGTCTCGTTAAGCTGGGTTCGCAGACTGAAAATTGCTGTTGATGCTGCTAAAGGTATGTGTATATGTGTATGTATAAAACTAATATCCTTCAAGTAGAAGTTACAAGGCGGAGTAATAACATGAACTTCAATTGCCATTGAAGGATTGGACTATTTACATAATGGGAGCGAACCGCGAATAATACACCGTGACGTGAAATGCAGCAACATTTTATTAGACAAGGACATGAATGCCAAAGTCTGTGATTTTGGCCTTTCTAAACAAGTAATGCAGGCAGATGCAACTCATGTGACTACTGTTGTCAAAGGCACCGCTGGCTACCTTGATCCTGAGTAAGTTTTCTCAGACATTAATTATCCTCTTACTCTGCTAATTCTTAATAAATGTCAGCTCATTAATACTAATGTTCATGTTCAGGTACTATTCGACCCAACAACTTACAGAGAAAAGCGATGTGTATAGCTTTGGGGTTGTTCTTCTGGAGCTCATTTGCGGGCGAGAGCCATTGCGTCACTCAGGAACTCCAGATTCTTTCAACTTGGTTTTATGGGTATTATAAACTGGAAAAAGATAATAAAATTGTGTCTTGTTGTCCTTTTTTTGACTTAAACAGATTCTTAAAGAGTGAAAATTGTTTTGTGCTGTAATGTGATGATCAAAATGCAGGCCAAGCCCTACTTGCAGGCAGGAGCATTTCAGATAGTGGATGATAGTTTAAAGGGAACTTTTGATTTGGAAAGCATGAGAAAAGCAGCGACAGTAGCTGTAAGGTCAGTAGAGAGAGATGCTTCACAAAGACCTAATATTGCAGAAGTATTAGCAGAACTTAAAGAAGCCTACACTATTCAGCTATCATATCTAGCAGCTTGCGACATGTAAATCGCTTTCGAGATCAATATGAATCAAAGTTTGTGCTAAAGGGCAACGTTTTTGGAGCAATTTGAAGAAAAAAAAAGCTCTTATGGATGATATCAAAGTAATATAAATTATTCAGCAAGTCATTCAGACAGAAGTATAGAATTATACATTTACATGTATCTATTCCGTGAACGGAAAGAAAGAAAATTTTGTTTTATGCAAAATACTTGCCAAGATGAGTATTTAGTGCCATTTTTCAGATACTTGGAACTGTTGTGATCGGTGAAAAGACCAAGCTCACACATCCATACATTTCAATTCAATGGAGATATTGAGGGCTCCAGAAAAGAAAATCCAAGAACACATCAAACAAGTTGATGAAGAAACTAACCGATGCATAATGTGAAGCCATTGTTCGTGAGGAATTGAAATTGACATTTGGGCTTATACGTAACGAATTAATTTACCTGTGCAAAAACTTTTGTAACAGGAGTGCCAAAACAAGGATTCACCAGTTGTAGACAGGGACTTTGAAGCATAAAACCTGTTTCAAAGGAAAAACGTGAAGCATAGGCACACTCTTGGATCCTTTGAGATGGTTTTGATAAACCTTATAGCCCAAATTTCGATATGCACCATGCAGCCCAACACAAGTCACAATTGTTTTCGTTACAATGAATCATCTTTAAAATGAATATTCCTATTTACAACGATAAGAAAATCGAACTCAACAAATATGGCACAGTATCTTTCATTCGGGCTCATATATTAAACAAATCTAAGTTTTCCTTCTCAAGAAAAATACAACATGTAACTTTATATCTAGCATATAAACAAAAAAAAAAATACAAAAAGGAGATGTTTTTCAGCAGATGTTGCTAAACCACCCAGGAAACAATTTAGCTGTGGTACTGCTGCAGAAGTAAAGTTGATAGCTCTACTGTTTTCCAAATTTGGGGCCTCTTAGGTAAAAGAATAATGCTGTTAAAGCAGCCACAGCATATGGAAATACAGTCCAAATGCCCTGTATGATTACCAATTAGAAACTAGTATTTATAAAATTAATCTGATGCAAAGAAATTTTGCTTACCACAACTGTGGCAACAGTGGCAAGGGCAACCATAGGTCGTTCCCTCAACAGAAATCCAATAGCTAGCTGAGCTCAACAAAAAAGAAAGAGGTAGTGTCAGCATACGGCAAACAAAATGGACAAAAGCAGGACCACAGTTAAGGAATGGAACATATCGTTGATAAATAGAAATAAAACAGTATACCAAACCATTGAAACTCATCTTAATGTAATGATTAAGTGCCAGAATATAGGTCAAACCAATGAATAACACAGCTCAATCAAGCAGTCTGCATAAAACTATAATAAATAGACTTGTATGCAAATAAGGAAAAGAAATTTTGGGAGTTATGTAATTGTTACTTCTTGTTATGTAAGGGGTTTCTTTTAAATATTACAATTTAGGAATTAATTTGTAGTTTTTCTACCTATGAATGTCAGATATTTATAGTCAAAAATTTTACGCCAATTTGCAATTATAGCCCAACCTAAAGAAATAGCTGAATGTAGACTAATCTATAGTTGACTTCAAACTGTGTCCCAATGCGATAACCTATTGTAGTTTTGGCCGCAATTGTGGCTCACATTAAGATTCAGTTACAATTGACTATTTTTGTAGGTCAGATCATAGTTGTAAATTGGCATGAAGTCCAAGACCATTAGCATGATTTATCTCATTATTATTTTCAGGATGTCTTTCTTTATTCTTATTATGTTAAGGTTTCCTTTTAGTAGATGCTTTAGTGCTTACTTTAGCATCCTAACTGGATACCCTTGGCATTAGAAGGCTATTCAAGATTGATTGACAACAAAATGAGTGTTAGAGATTGCATAACTTTTTCATTTATCTTTTTGCCTGGTTGTGCATTACTTTTACATGACATGGTGCCCATAAAGCAAACTATTAATTTTCGTCTTCTGTATCTTAGATAGCATAGTATACATAACACGACTTAGATGTGGATTCTGACTGGTTCTGCCTTAATGTTTTTAAGGTTCTTCTAGATAGAAGTAAGGAAATTAAAGAGCAAACGATATGTTGCTGAATGTGGATATGATCGTATACATGCACAACTATAGAAACAGAAGGTTTCATGCACTAGACAGACCTGTAGTGGAAGGGTGATCAAGCCACCACAACAAACTCCAGCAAAGAAAACTTCTGGAGATATGCCCTGCATACAGACAACAGATCACAATTCACAAGGTTATTTTATAGTACTCATTCTAAATTTACAAATCCACTATAGACGGGATAAGGTGACATGAGGTTCAACTGAAGCAAATCATCCCTAACCGAAAAAAAGAACTGCAAAGAATCAGAAACCAGACCAAAGAGGCATTAAGAACTAAACTGAAAAACAAATAACTGAAATAACAATTCTTAAATTTTTAAAGGAACTGATTTAGCTAGAAAACCAAAGCCAACCAAAGATAGAGAAGGTTTGATTTTCCAGTTTGAACCAAAATTTGCAACTTTTCTTTTACAAAAATTGGTTATTTCAGTCTAAACTGATTAACCAAATTTCAGAAAAAAAAAAAAAAAAAAAAAAAAAAAAAGTGCAACTTTTCTTTTAAAAAATATTTGGTTGATTTCAGTCTAAACTGATTACCAAATTTCAGAAAAAAAAAAAAAAAAAAAAAAAAAAAAAAAAAGGAGAAGAGATATAGAGAGACGAAACCAAAACTAAACCAAGATAGCTTCGGTGTCAGTTGTTTCGATTAACTAGAAAAACCAAAACCATATTGTCTGCAGTTAATCAGACACCACCTTTGTTCCGCCAGTGTAAATTGAACAATCATATGAAGTAACAATCATTACAGAGAATAAAAACCAAATAATATAGATAATAAGAATCCCGACTGTCGCGACCTAAATAAATAAAATCCAGATGTAAACAATGACACTTAATAAGTGGTGGCAAGCTAACTACTAACTTGGTTAGCATTATACTTTCTTTCAGCATTGATTTGGCCCAAGCTCAATGTACAGCCCAATACCTATGCTCTCGACCATCATAAGGTTCTTACCTCTATTCCATTTCCACCCTCTACCCTTTCCATTTCTTACAATACCATATAAATCCCATAGAGTTGTCAGAGGAGGAATCATAGTCAGCATAAAATGTTCTCAACTCATCATGAAAACAGCATACTATAACATGGCTCTTACACTAATCCAAGCATATTGGTTATCACACTCTAATTCTCTCTTTTTGGTCGTCAGATTGCTCAAGAAAGTAATGTGACAATGAGTAACAAATTTTAATGCATGACCCCACTTCCTTATTTGTACTCTCCTATCACTATCGCAAGTACTACACCATGGCTTTTAATGTTTTCCAAGAAAACCGTAATGAGTACAACCAAAAGCATTGCTTTAACTCTTGACTGCATCACCTCTCGTCAAATTAACACTAAAACAATGGCTTAGTGAAACAGGCCACATAACAATCTACCCATTAACGTTCAGCCATTGCTCATCAGTAGATACCATTCAATTAAACACAATAATTAACCACAAGAAAAAATGTAACCTAAGAAAATCCAACAACCCAGCTAGTCAACTCCATGCCATCCGGGATATGTCACAGTGTAAAGAGAATGAAAAGGCTATATAATCAATGTAATCTTGCATCACGAATTATACCACTTTAACCAGCATGTCCCTGCGCTTTGCCAGGCTAAAGCCTGTTGGACTTTCTTCCACTTACCAAGCGAAAGCCCGTGCCACTGCAGCAAGTTCACAATAACACAAACAATAGGCAAGCGCACTTAAAAAAATTGGATTTGGTGGCACCCCAATCATGCTATACATGAGAAAAAATTGATAGACCAATAATATAGGCTTCTCCACTTTTAAAAAACCGACATCAGATAGAATCTACTAGCCAGCTAGATGTACAGCAGAAAGGTAAAAGTTTTTTTCTTTTATTTTAAAAAAAAAATAAATAAATAAATAAAATAAAATTAAAAGAAAAAAGAAAAAAAGAAAAAGCTAAATCTTGGCACCAAGGCCTGTCACTAACAGAAAGCATCTCACATTTGTATACTGTTGATCTAAGTTCAAAAATGAAGTTGGGGGAACCCTGAAAAAAGCTCAGTATTCAAGAAAAAAGAATTTGCACACCATTATATATAGGAGATGTTTTTCTTGAAAACTATAAAACCAACCAGCGACCTACATGTAAAGGAGCCTGTCCTTGATCGAAAAGTAAAAGCGTCTGAAAACATAGGTTGGCTCATATAAAAACTAGTGCATAATTAGTAAATAAATCCATATGTTAGACAACTCAGATAAACCCACAACCGTAAAAATTATTCCAATCCCATTCTTTGAAAACCACTTAAGTTGTGTGGCAAAGTCATAAGTTCAATTTAGAAAAAGGGGCACGACCTCCTTCAAATCTATTATTAACAGTAACTGACTTCAATTACACATGTCTTCTCATATCAATTTGTAGGAGACTTCCATGCAGATTTGGTGCATGACTTGACACAGTTCCTTCCAGTAAAAACAACCCAGAGCAACCTTACTGAGACTCTTCAAAAACCCTGGCCCCAAGCCATAAATTCCTCAACTCAACTCTGGTCGAAGTTCTTGATGCTGCTACAAAAAGGTACCAATGAAATTATCCCACAAAAATAGAGGTATTAGTTCTATAAAATGACATATAACAAGGGACATCAGTGAAGTCCCTTTTATTCAAATAGCATTGTAACGACCAAATGGCCCACAAATTCCACTTATTTAATACTAACGATAATCTAACAGCCAGTATACAGATAGTCCGTAAAATATCAAAAATCCACATGATGGTGTAGATCAATGCCAGAAGTTAAAGGGACATGAATTTCATAATTCTCGGTGCGATAATGCAATATATACACTATGTTTCACAGTTACATCTATATGCAAAATCACTGTCCTCTTATAACTCACCAACGCCTGTCAATGATGCCATACTTTTGCACACAGACGTCTCTCTGCTAATGGCTCCAACACCTTCTCTCTCAAGCCAATTGCCTTAACCTTACTATAGCCATTATCAATGTTAATCCAAAATGCATCAAATTCATACTTCTGAATACCAACAAAACTAGACTAATAATTAAGCTATAATACGTGTGCATTTTACAAGCAAGAAAACATCTAGGCAAGTTAATTTACGGACCCAAACCTTTGAAATGCAAACTATTCACCAGTTTGCTCCCACGTTTGCCCTAACAAGCTTACCCGACGTAGAATGTGGTCCAATCGCTGATTTACAGACTCCCCTCTGAGGGGAGTGTCGAGTGTTAACGAAATAATAACTATTCTACAACTCAAGGACCACATTAATATCCACACGATTGTACATTAAAACCTTCAGCAGTCGTTAAATGTCATAAAAACACGCATGCGAACAAAATCATCAACGAATCTGTAAATCTAACTTCAATATCTATATATATAACCGCCCTTCATGGTTCTAATGATTGTGAGCATGATGTTAGGTACACAGCACTCATGGACGCACTCTCAATCTGGCCTCTCCATCGCTTCGAAGAGTGAACTTCAAGTTCGGTGGAAGTCCTTTGTAAACCTTTCTAAAACGCTTTACTTTTGATGCGGTAGAAGCTGTTGCGGCCACAATAAATATCTATTTGTTGTGAAAGAAAGCGAAGCTTGTTATAGAATTGTCACGTACGAGGCGAAGATAGCTGCTGAACAAAAGCAACAATGTAGTTTAGCAGTAGCCA